CAGTTTGCTTCCATTTCTTCACAGAACTTGGCCTTTGGCCATAATTCCTTGCAAAGCCTCTTGCCCAAGCCCACTTTTCTTGACAGTCCATATGATGCCTCTGTGAAAATGAGCTTTAGAGCTCATCGTATTTCTCCAGGATAAATTTTTTTTATTCTGATAAAGATTCAGATCGTTTGTGCATGTCCTTTGATCCATTTTTTCCTATTTATGTCTCATTGTATTCCCAGAGATTAATTTTGAACTTTTCAGATTTTGTTTCATTTTGTTTGTCATTGCCCCTGTTTCTGTACTCCATATCATGTTTTTACTAATTAAATTTTTTCCAGAAAATATATATATTTTTAAATGTCTTCAAATGTTTTTGCTAATAACTTTAGAGTGTATCGCCTTTATCTGACTCCTATTTGAATTTATTCCAGACATCTCTTTGTAATGCTTGCAGCTATAAGTCGTTTGAATAATTTTTTACATATTTTTTGTAAATCTATGTTTTGAGTTGTGAGAGCTTGGATAACTGCATTAATTTCAACTGAATAAAATGTTTTTTATTCGTCTGCAGAAGACTGTTATCAAGGTGTTTGATATTCATTCGTTCTACCGAGTATGAGACTGATAGTATATATATGGTCAGTGGTAGGACACATTTTATTAATTCAGCTTTGCTTGTACTTGGTTAGCCTCTAAATTTACCATTATATATCCAGTTGTCTGTGATCTTCGGGAACAGTTTAAATACATTTGGTAAGAGGCTAATGCGTTTGCAATTCTTTAAAAAAGGAAATATGAGGATATGAAGGAAGAGGCTACATGGGGGCATCGACTCTGCACGGAGCAGTGTCTGTTTTCATAGAGGGTGGAGAGAGGGATTCAGAGTAGGGGTGGCCACGCAGGTCACGTGATTTTAAGGGAGGCTGAAGCTGATTGGGATATATTGATGGGTTAACACACGTGTTGATCAGCTCGGAACACATACTAGAATGATCTAAGCACCTTTACAAATTTGAGATGCTGTATTTAATTTCGGTTACTTAATAAATGTAACATTGAGCATATGGGCGAAAATAAACAAGGCTTAAAATGTAACCTATTGCAGTACTTTTTATTAAAATAAACTATTAATAATTATTTAGATGTCTTCCCATAAGTGTACTTATAAATAGTAGGAATATGAAACCATTTATTTTAATGTACCAAATAAAAAAATGTCACCGAACACCGTTTATGAACATTGCTTTAATTGGCGGTTAGTGCACCAAACGCTACACGTTTCAGAGGTTGCTCAATTGTTGTCCTGCAATCAAAAGGACAGTTTGCTGCACTCTTTCCATCCAAGGTTGTGGCTACGCGTAATTCTTTGTCGCTGGGGAATTCTGTCACAGGCGAGACGTCCTCCAAACTCGAAAGATATGAGGGCCCTCATGATAAGGAATGAATTTAGTCTGTGGCTGGGTTCTAGCACACTGTACGTGTGGCTCAAAGGTAGTGGCTCAGGCGGCTCATTGGGAGCTGCCTGGCCCCTGCAGCCTTCTGTTGACCTGGTTACCGTGAGTCGTCTTGTCACGTTTAATAATGCTGGGACCTGTCTGTGAAGATTAGTGGAATCGTCACAGTTGAGCGCATGGTAAAGAGGTTGGAGTGGTTATTGTTTTAAATATGAGCTTGCATACAACGAGTCGCTTGGTAGATGTATTTCTTTTGTTGTGAGGTTTTTATTTTATTTTTTCATTTAAATTTTTATTTCTGGATAAAAATGGAACTAGGGCACAACACTCTAAAAAGTTAATTCCATCGCTCATGAATTTTACATTGGGAAATAATCTGCTTAGAATTCCATTGGGCATTCGCTGTACTAAATTACAATTATTTTAATTTATTGTGCTTCATCAAGAAACGTTTTGAATGAAAATGATATTGTTGGCCATTAATGAAAAATCATTAAAACTGAGACGTAGAGTAGTAGAATCAACTTAAAATGTTTACATAGTACACAGGTTTGCGAGAACATTCAGGCAAGTCCTATTTGGGATCACGGAATGATTCGCAACAAGAAAAATGACATTAACAAGTATAGTACCACGTGCACGCCCATCTGATTCATTCCATGCTATTTAATATTTGCTCTTGAAAGCCGTGACATTTCGCTGGGCCTTTGAGATGCAATTTTTTAAAAATTCTGGTAAATATAGTTGTTTTCTTGAGGAAACAGCTGCACAACCACATACTCCAATCAAAATGCTTGAACACGGACCGTCACACTCATTGCAAACATGTCCCAAAAACATTGTAAAATTACACTGGCATGTAAACTCATAAGCTTTATACTACGAGCATTTGTTAGTTTAATTATTTGTGTTTTCTCATGAAAGCACTATTGAGGTTTGTAAAAATATTTTTTACGTTGAAAAGTGCCTGAAATTCCTGCAAAAAAAATGCAACACATTTTTAATGGAATGCTTGAGAACACATTGTTCCACACGAGGAGCATTTGAATATCAGAGAAGAGGTATTACGTTGGACTTCTTGTTAAGGTTTTGCTAGATTTGCAGTGAAAAGCCGTTAAACCTCTGGCACCCAGCAGGAGGTGTGGGGGAAAGGTCTTAGGTGCATGTTTGCTTTGTCGGGCAGTAAAACAACAGAGGCCACTGTAAGATTTATCTCTCCCTGCTGCAGAGAGAAGTATTTGTTTGAACTGTAGGTACTTCTGCATGTGGGCATTGTTCTAGCTGGAACTCAAGGAGACTTCATTTACAAAGCTGTAAAGAGATGTACTTGTACATCCAGGTAGTTCTTCCCATGTTTGTCGAGAATATCCGCCACCAGGTGCCAGGCCAGGTGTGTTAGTGTCCACACACACATGCAAATACATAGAGAAGATCAATCTCCAAATACCTTGTAACTCAAGGGAAGTGTCTTAGATGTCAAGTTGTATATAAAATATGCAATATTCCGGTTGAAAAGCCGTTGTTTATACTTTTGCGGCAGAAGGTGATGTTGCTGTAAATTAATTATTACTGCACAAAACTCTTAAATCCTGATAGCACAGGATGTTATGGGTGCTGGTTTTATGGGTTGTTTGTAGATGTCCCATTGGCCTTGATGTTTTTATGGTGCCGTTAGGAAAGATAGGGGCAGTCAACGGTCAGAAGTGTGCTCAGTGTGTGGTTAATGTAACTGGTTGGTGGTTCTATAGAGTCAGAGCAGTTTCAGAATTCATCTATTAAAATCGATTCTTAAGGCTCTTGACACAGGCATTAAATTGCATCAGGAGCAATATTGTTCAGTTTCTACAAATGATTTGTAAGAAATTGATAGGCATAAAGGAGGACTTGAAGAGAAAAACGTAGACCTACAGGAGCCCATTGCCATGACTGGAGATAGGGATGAGTGGAAAAAGTGTTTGTCCAGCCGTATTGTTGGCTGCCATGTGAAGACTGATGGATGAGAAAACAACTGATATGGAAATTATATGCAAATGTTCAATGAAGAGTAACGGTGCGAAACGTACAAACGTTTAATAAAAAAAGACAAACACTACAAATGAGATAGAAAAAATATGCGTGAAAGAGCGTATGCTTGAATTGAATCATGGCCCTGAATCACACGACATTCTGATTTCCCGCAGTGATGGGGAGGGCCGGTGGTGAATTGGTACGTCTTTGTTATATAGCATTTAAAAAACTAACAATTACTTGTGTTTAAATTGTGGAAATTAAGGCAAAATGAACGACCATCTTAGGCGCAAGGGTTTAATTGCAATAAATGCAGTTCATAATGGTCCAAATCGCTACTGCAAGTTGCATATCAGTAGCAACTTTATGTGGACACGTGAATGTGACATTTAGTTTTGCAAACTATTAAAATAGGCAGCCATTTATAGTGTTAATTAAAATGTCAACTTGCAGCTCTTACAATTTAAGTAACTTCTGTTAATGGGAATACATAATTTTTTTTATAATAATCAACACCCTAGGAATATATTGTTAATCATATTTATATTTAATAATTTAGAAATGTCTAAGCCAGTTAAAACCTAAAAAAACGTGTTATAACTATTAAAACACTATCATCGCAACTTGTGGTATTCATATTAAACTAGCAGCAATGCATGGAGTGAGTATTGCCTGCTGCAGGAACTTTAGAACTCCTTGTTTAGAGTAATTATACTTTCTAATTGTTTTCATATTGCAGGTTTCCTATGCTTTTTGCGGTAGGTGCATTCCAAAGCAATAACTGTGTGAACTGTAGCGCATACAGTACACACGCTTATCCCACATCTGAACGTATGAGTAAATTCAAACCTCATAACACATTTTGGGTAGAAATTGGTTTTCCGAATATACGCGAAATTGCACAAATTGAACTCTAATAAAGCGAAGGAAACCTGTATAAATCCTTTGCGATGTACTTTATTGTAATCCATATGCCATATGTTTTGCATATGGCATATATTTAGAATGTTTAATGCATGTTTATTTGCATTGTTTAAATTATGATCGGAAATGGATGCTTCAGCCATCCATTTCTCGGTTACTGTTATCTTTGTTACCACCACCATTGTGCAATTCATTATCAGTTGTGATGTAATCATGCCACAGTCAGTTGACTAGAGTCAGCCAATTTTGCCCTTCAAGGCCAATAAAGTAAGTACCACTGGAAAGTCAGCAGTGATTCTCCTGTGGATAGACTGGCGCCCCCACAATGGAAAATTTGAATGTTTCAACACTGGCTCAGGGCCACCAAGTGGAGATAAAACGCTTCAGCTTGACTTTATTGTAAGATGTTCTCGGCGATACAAACGACGTGTGAGCATCGTGCGTGAAGTCGTCACCACCCCGGTGGTACAAAGAGACCAGGACATGTCATGAGAAAAAGAACAACTCAGAGAAGACTTGTAGGTTTCCCAGGACAGCTACCTCAAAATGAGGACGATCCTGGGAAAAGTGGGACAGGTGGTTAACCCCAGGTGTGCGCAATGTGTGATGTCTTCCCTTCGACAGCTGGCGACCTGTACGGTGACCACTACGGCTCGGTGAGCGACGTGCTCGGGGCTGGCGGCGGTGCCGGCGGCGTGGAGGTGGGCGCCGGAGTTGGTCGCTCGGGTCGAGGCATCTCCATGTCGCTGCCCTCCTCGCCCATGCTGTCGCGCCAGCCCAGGGCAGTGCTGGGACCCCCGCCCCTTGGTGCCACCCGTCCTCCAGGTGACTACCCCCATAGCTCTCTGATGTGCTTTCAGGTTTTACGTTGTGATCCGGTACAAGGTGGAGCAAAATATTGGGCATCATTACGAACGACACGGCACGCCATACAACACAAAAACACGTCGGAGCGATGTACAGCACGAATGGGAAAACCTACGTGGCTGTACTCTGCTTTCTCAATCAATCAGTCATTCTTTCACGATGTGCGCTGCTGTTATGTTGCTGCTAATGACCAAGCCTAGCGGCAATGCATTGGGTTTGCGTCTTAGCGGGAACCAATTTTCAGTCGCATGTTGTTTACGGAAACTGAGACCGTGAAAGATTATTTCGCCGTTAGGGAACAGTCAAGATTATTTTTGTTATTCCTTTATTAACATACATTTTTTGGTTTATTGTTCTTACAGGCACAGATATGGCTACTTTATTTGTTTTCGGGAAAGATATTTGTGCTGTGTCAAGTTTATGTGTCTTTGCGTGGGGGGGAGGGGGTAGCATTGGCAGAGTGCTTAGTGCATTGTGCTATGAACCTGGATACTTGAGTTTGATTCCCAGACCAAACTGACATCAGAGGTGATATCAGAACCAGTCCGAGATCTCCACTAGGTTGACCCAGCCTTAAATGAGTACCTGGTGCAGTTCACATAAAGATAATTTGTGGGGGAGACAGGTGGGTAGATATGTCGTGGTCCTGGCCACACCAATCCCGTCGTGCATCTTACCGGCCTATATGGGTGCTCGCTAACAGCACTAGCCCCAACACTCATTAAAGGCTATACTTCAGAAATGTATGTGCATGTGTGCGTATGTGCATGCATTCATGAAGGTAGTGGTCTTGTGAAAATTGGTGTGAAAATTTTACCAATTAAACATTAAGTACCACCGATGTATTCACACGTACACGCCACATACCCAAGGTTAAATGCACAAACCCGCACAAATACACTAAACGTGCATTTGTGTTGCATTGAATGAAGCGCCGTATTTGTGTGTAGGTAATTTTTTTTTACTGAATTGTGTTGTGCAAATGCTTCTCTTGTAAATGATGCTGCGGTGTATGTCCGACGGACGGATATGGAGCTGTACTGACACGGGATGGCAATATATTTGACAGATAAGCTATTTTGAGTGGTTTTGAACCATCACCTATCTATAAATTTGTCACACTGACAGCCCATTTATATCATTTTATCAGGAGCAACAAAAATGCCAAGGATTAATAAAAAAATAACTTGAAAAACACAATCGGGGATCATAAAATGCTTGTCAGTGATATATGCAGCATTGTAATGATAAGTGCAAAAGATATTGTTTTACCCAAACAAATCACACGGTTTATCAAGTAAAGCAAGTAATGTATGCAAAGAGCGTGGCATAGTACAATACATTTTGGTTTCTGTTTTTTTACCGCCTTCACGGTTTGCGTACAGATATGGTTGGGCACCCAGAAGTGTACAATTTCTCCTCTTCCTACAGCGCATGTTTGTCGTGAAATTTGTCGGTTTGGCTTCAGCAGCCAAACAAAGCACTGCCCGTAGAGAGTGGAGCCGGTTTCTGCAACGGCTCCCCATGCACACAGGGAAACCACTTAATGTACATCACCGTTGTGTTTGTGCACAAGGCGTTTGGGCGTGATTTAGATTTTGGTTTCACAGAAGGCATTAGTGGATTTATTTTTATCCTAAATGTTTAGTTTTTTCGTACATTATCACTCGACACCCAAGTCATCTGTAAGGATATCTTTCTTCCTGCCATCATGCAGAGGGTCCCAGTACGGACATATGTAGAGCAGGGACCTCCCGCAGCTCTACGGTTACCCCCACTTGCAGGCCTATACAGCTGGACCCATCCAGGAGAATGTCATTCTTTCTCTGCACATGAGCCAGTATGTTTAATCTTTGTACATTGTGGTTTAAATGCAATAAACACAGAAACAGATTTTATAAACAAAGTAGATGGTGATGATCATACGATGGTGTCTGTGGGTGAGAACATCAGGAGTAGTTTAAACATCATTCATTGAGATTATCCCTGCACTTTTAGCAAGATTGGAGTATGATTATTAACAAATGTAATTCAGCACGCACTTATATTTTACTGCTTGGAAATGTTCAGCTTGAGAATAGTGGATAAACTGTTCATGAGAACACAATTATGTAAATTTTGTACAAAAAATATATATATTTTAAAAACATTTATTTTGTATAACATATTTTATTCATGTTCACTTGAAGGTTATACCAACAAAGAGTTAAACTTAACATTATAAAATGGACATTTCAGTTTAAAATGCCGAGCATGTGTTGAGGCTTTCTCGTTTTCTATTCACAGATGTCATTCGCTATTATGCCCAGCATTTATTACATTTATTCGAGACTGATGCTTCCTAAAAATACCCATCAATTTCCTCATTGTTATGCTCCCAGTGAAGGCCCTGTTTTTATTTATACTTGCATGCTGTACAGCGTGTGGCCTGCGGCCCACTGTGTAACGTCTGGCGTCCTCGTTCTGTACGGCTGAGGTGGTAAATGTTTGTCGCGTTGAGACTTCCTTTAAACCTGTTTCGTTTATAAAGTCCTGGAGTAATATTAACCAGCCACGGGAGGATCCAGTATTGTTTCTCTTTTGAGGGAAATACCTCCCCGAGCAACCGGCCCTCCACGTCCTCACCGCCTTACTCCTCACGAGCTTTCGCCAACTGCACCGGCTCCCCCCCTCCCGTCAAGGGTCCTTTTTAATTAAAGGAAAAAATGCTCTGAGGAATTGCAAAAGCGTTTTTCACATACTTTGGCATTCGGCTCATGTTACCATTTCTTTGTAGCCCTGTCTTGCAGCCCACCTAAAATCAAACGGATCGATCCACTTGTTTTCATAGCTGATATTCTGCAATACTGTAGTGTATTGTAATGTGTGGCTGTTGAGACTCGGCACATTTGTGTTTTCTGTCAAATAATCAATAGATTGCCAGATATGTGAAGATATTAAGCTGGCCCCATCACGATTCATCCCCCAGGGAATTGGTGAATTGTCCTGATTTTTGGTCACACTTCCATTCAAGAATTTATGCTTTTTAATGTTGGTTTTATTGTTTCTTTTGCATATTTTAAGATCTTTTTATTCCTCGTAATAGTGTGATCCACTCTCATTTGCATAAATGTATAATTATAATTTTATTTGTATCGCATACAGTTTGCATAAATGGTACATAATCGATTCTTACACGTGTGATTCCAAGCGTGTATTGTGAGTATGGATCGATTTTGCTCGATGAATTGATGCATTGTTACTGACATGCTTCAAACGTACAATTAAAACACTGAAACTGGAGCTGATGTTTCCATTAAAACTATTTACAAGATGTGAAAGGTCTTAGTTTTTAAATTATCATGCTGATGTTATATTTCAAGGCATATTGAGAAAAGCATTTGCCATTGCACAGCTGAATCTGCAGCACATTGTTGCCTTTTAAAGCAATGTTTCAGTCTCGTATAATGTGAGCAGCCGAGTCTAAAATTATGAGGCCAGGTGTTAGTATTCAACCCTGCATTGGTTTTCCATTAAATGAGAGAAAGTTAAAAAGCCAATCCTTTCAATAATTAAACTAAATGTAACGTGTTATGCTTTCTTCACCTCCATGTGCATCCACAATGATGATTGAGTCACAACCAATGGTAAATCCACTATTGGATGAAACAACCCCCCCTCCCCTATGCCATGCTTGTTATGGGGGAGCATATAACCTCACTTCACCGCACTTCACCGCACCGGTCAGTGAGGGCCCGTGAAGGGTGGTGGGGTGGGGGGTGCCCAGGGTTGGTCAAGAAGGGCTCCAAGACTGGCTCAGATATCACTTGCAACTGACATTAGCCGTGGCCACGAATCAAACCAGGTTTAGATTTAATTTCATTTATTTCGGCCGGAAGGACCCACAATAAGCTGTTAGGCTGTATTTCATAGGTGTCTCATGGAGCAGCACGTTGATGAACCACTGCACGACCATTCACGATACTGTGTTGGATCAATAACACTGTTGTACGCTTTTAAATAATTTCCCATCGGTCATTTCCATGTGGCCAAAAACATGGGACATTGGCAAATAAAATGAAACAAAGACTGAAAGGTCTGCTTATAAGCAGGGAGACATGCATGCTTGGAATTCCCCAGAGAGATAGAAAGAAGAACATGTGGATCAGAGCCTAAGCAAGAGACACTCTCGGGATTAGTAAAGAGTATGTAGGCTTGGAAAAAGCACATCGCGAGAAAGGATGATGGCCGGTGGTCTAGGCTAACAATGGTGTCGTAGCCTAAGGAGAAAATATGCCCAAGAGGACATTTACCATGGAAATACAGCAATCAAATAATTGTGTGTGTGGTTTGTTGCAGCATGAGACTGTAAAAGATGGCAACAGCTAGTGGAGGCCTTCATCCAGCAGTAGATAACATTTGCTAATGATAATATGCTATTCGTTGATACTTGTAGTGAAATGCAAACATTCGCGTGTGTATATGTGTGTGTAAGGAGATAAGATAACTCTGAATATACAGGTTGTGTAATGCTATGACATCGGGCAAAAGCTGTATTTGTCCAAGGTTTGTCCAAGCTCTTTTACTTGACCTTCACTCTATACTAAAGTAATGGTTGCCCAATGAGAGTATTCTACAAAAGCCAGTTACGAATTCCCCATACTATTGTCATGCATTTGACATAATAAGGATTTGTGAAACCTTTAAACACGATTGCCACCAGCAGCCAGGATTACACTTAGTGAGGATGCACGTGCCACACTTAACACTAGCATTTAGGAAATCGCAAGACTGACAGATTTGGGTGGGTGGCCCAGCTGTTTGGCACAAATGCTACTGGGTTGGTGTGATCCATTTTTACTCCATGGATAAAGCCACACAAAAATATAAAATGTTCACAGTCTGGTTAAGTTAGATTTAAAATTCTCAAGTTAGATTTTGATGGGCAGCACAATGAATTAAATCTAACTTGACACTTGGTGACACAAAGGACAATGAATGATTTTATAACTTAATAAAGAAGGCTACAAAGTTAGGCTCAATGTAATATAGAGAAAACGAAGGTGATTTACGACATGTTCACTAAACAGTTGGTTATATTAGTCAAAGGGACACAACTGTAAAACGAATCAAAATATATTTTCCATATATTTAAGGCAGTTATTGAAGGTGAACTGGGATGAAAGTGATACCAAAAAAAGATGGATGAGAGCAGTTTTGAGTGTTTAAAAATACTTAATTTACGAATGTAAAGCTACACACCATCATGCCTAAAGAATAACTGGTGTTTTTTTTAATTTGCACTGCCCACGTATTTTCACGTTCTACGCGACCGGGGTTGAGCGTGGGTGTGAGGAAGGCGTGATGTCAGTGGGACGCACGAACTGGGCTGAACGCTTTGGGATGCAAATTACTTCATCATGCAGATGTGCGTGGTGACGTCACCCATGCGCCAGGCGGCTAGCCAGCCAGCAAAACTTTTTTCCAATATAGTACGATTAGCATGTATTACCTACTATGAATGGCAAATACTGCCCTGTATATAATTTACAAGATGTAGCTTTGACACATGCTGGTTGAGCTGACAAGACTCCCTGGCTGCTGTAGATTTACTTGAGTTTCAGATACTTGTCTCTGTTGTATAGGCTTCGTCTAGCCAAATAGAAGCCATATGTTATACATGTACGGTCAAGTACTGCCATGTAGGCCAGACAGCATTAAGGTACCATGCTGCAGGGATAATTTTTAATCTGTAAAAGGGGCACACATTTCTAGAATGGAAAATCGGCTTAAATAAATATGATGCGATGATTATGGAATGCAGCTTTTGACGGGAAAGGTCCCCTGCATGGTGAGATGTTATAACCATTGCCGAGCCCTTGGCCACAAATAATTATTGATGGATACAGAGGATATACCAGTCGTTTATCAGGTGCTTGTTTAATGGGCTCTAAAGTTAACGCCTATGCAGTATTGTACTTCCTTAACCCTTTCTCGTTTAGATGACTTACATGCACGTCATCAGTTTTTCTTCCGTTGACTTCAACGGAATGGAGCCGGAAGAAAAACTTAAGATAAAATTACTTTATCGGTACCGAGGCTCCCACACCTCTTAAAAGTCCGGTCGTGTCGCTGCAGTTATCTGCAGTGAGTTCAATGTTTTTTATAACAACAGCGCTATGCCTCTAAATAAAATTAACACTGAACTGCTTGCGCGTTCTGAGATTTAGCGGTGAACGGGACCCACCCTGCAACTTGCAGTCATCCTGGAAATGGTTAAGTGCTTTGTTCTTTCTTTAAAAAAACGTTTTTGGTCTGTACGCCTGTCTGAACCACTCGCTCACATAATAATCTTCGCTGAACACGCGTAACCAGCGCATGGTGCCATTGTCCAGGTAAACCGTTTGGCGCTTAATGTTCGCAAAGAGTACAAAATGTAAAATCGCATAAACTGTGACCTCGGACGCGAAGCACGAGTCGCCTGACAACATGTAGCACATGTTCTTGGGTCTTTGGGTAAAGTCACGTAGATAGGGTCAAAGAAAATAACAAAAAACTACTACGTTTTCAGAAGACGACCTCTTGTGTTGCAATCGAAACGTCGTAGTTTTTTTGTTATTTTTGGTATGTAGCACATGCTTCACTTGTTCCAGAGCTCGATGTTTTTCGAAGGACACCGGCACTAGCCTTCACCATAATGAATTCAAGGAACACGAACACGCGGCCGGTGTTTTTTTTTTTTTGCCAATTGTGACCAGGGACCACATTTCCTGCTTCGCTGCTGCTTGTATGCGTTACTTCCCAGTAATGTTTAGCTCCGCGTTGGAATGCATTTTTTATATTAACCTGCACAACACTGAATACTGTCATGTAGCTGTTTCTGGACTCTTTGGAGTTGAGATTGTACTTTTCATATTTATTGAAGGTTTTTTTTATTTAAAAATAGTTAATTCAGTGGTCGTGTTATACTGGTAGGAACCTCCTGGTTACACCAGCCCACAGGGGATTATTGTGTCCGTCCGTCGTGCAGGAAGGGGCTGGGTGGAGAGGGGCTGGGTGGGGAGGGGCTGGGTGGGGAGTGGCTGGGTGGGGAGGGGAGGGTGGGGAGGGGCTGGGTGGGGGGTGAGAGGGGTGGGGCTGGGTGGGGAGGGGCTGGTCACCCCGTGGTGCCCTTATAAAACTCAACGTTTAACCTACTCATGCCGGCTTGTGCCCGCCCTCACAGTCGGGCATATTTACGGAATACACCACGCCGCCGTTGACCCTGGCCATTGACCGAGCAACCCAACGTTGCTACCAGCTCCCTCCACAGGAGAATGTGTTGTTTTTCCTGCTGTGGAAATGATCACAAAGTCTACTGCGAATTCACACGGCTGCCAGATTATCTTGTCCTTCTGGGTGTAAAAATGAACCTCCCCCTAACTCCTTCCCCCACGTGATTTGATGTTTCGTCATGATTCAGGACCGTAATTTAATTCCCGACTCGTTCCCCTTTTTTCGTCTCATCAGTAAATGTGTGTACATGTCATTAGCCTTCATGTAATATTAGCATATACCATAACATCAATTATTTGCACGTTCGATTCGACGCGTGTTTCGTGGGTGCTCGAGAATCGTTCTAAATCGATGCGTCGTCAAATCTGTGCTTGTTAAGAGAACCTTTGTTTATCATAGCAAAATCGAACCCTTAATAAACTTGCGTTAACAACCTTGCTGTTATGGCAGCTGCCCCTGTGCTCTCTCTAAGGTATGCCACCTAATTTGCCACACAAGGGCCCGCAGCTTGGAACACGGCACTTGCGGCATAAGGCTTCTTTTGTATGAATGCTGAAGAAAAATGCGTTTAAAATTCCCCAGGTATCCTATTGGGGGGTTGTGTGAGGGGATGAAATACAGTGTACACTGTGTTTAAGGGGCTCATTTTCTATATCGCTGGAGTAAGCTGCATTTTCTTTCATTATTGAAAACGTGATGAGAGACCATTGCACTTTATTAAGCAGTATTATGAACTGGCAAAGCACAGGGCAAATTAAATGGGTGAATAAATTAAATCTGCTGCTGAGAACAAAATTGCTGAGAGCAAAATTGCAGACATACGACACAACTGTTCAAATTATTAAACTTATTATGCATTGTATACCAAAGACAGACACCATTTTGCAGTGCATAAAATTTAGAGCAGTAATGGCAATACTCTATATACCATGTCTTGCTATGATAGTCAAGGGTTTTTTAATGAAATGTTTGAGCTTTGCAATATTTTGTTGAATGTGACATAAAGGTGCATGAAGAAGGCAAATGCTAAACAATGTTGCTTGGTAATGCCAGCCTCTCAGATTTTTGGCAATGAAGCAATACAATACGTGCAATTCAGTAAATCGCTTGAGAGTTCAGACACATTGAATATGACGGGAATTATATTTCCAATAGAATGCTTTAGATTGATTTGGTTGAAAGAGACTTAATAAAAAAGAGTACCCGAATTGCTTAAAAAACTAAATCCATTAGATAAATGGGGATGACATGTGCTATCGCAAAAAAAAAAAATTGTACAGACGTATCAATATCCCGGGATACAATTTGATGAAAAATATAGATTTTTTTTTATATCCAGTTACAATTTCATTCCTTGAAATTACTGTCTTAACATGACGGAAAATAACACTGGTAGTAATAGAAATGCGAGTGACGGTACACTGTAGACTTCAAGGCGTCTGGGTATATAAAGCATCGCTTTATTTTCGGGGCCACCGGTGGAGAGAAATGAGAAACGCTGGGGCATCGGGGCACCCTATGGCGTGGCTGAATGGACAGCTGAAGGGAGGCGTAAACGACCGTGTCTTCGGAGGTGCGTGAGGCCATAGCAGAAAAGGGCTTTCGTCTCCGGCTCTGTCAGCGGCACCGTATTGAAAACAAAGTTCTCGCACAAGGAGAGCGTTAACATAACTCCTAATTGGAGTTTGTCCATTCAACCATTCGGAGCTGACCCTGCCATTAATTTGAGTCAAGGAAAACACTCCAGCATAGTCTCTGCAGCAAGACCATTAACATTCCTCAAGAGACAAAGGCATGCATTATAGAGACGATAGATATAGCGTACATACTTTAAAACATATAAATACATATCGTAATGCGGCCTTTTTTTGTTGTGGCACCTTTGCTATGTGTGTAAAGTATTAATACAGCATAACCACAATGGGGTTTTTTTGCACGTTAACTGACACCGATTTAATTCATCCTGGAACGTCTCACCTCCGCCACAGGAATGGCCCCACACAGTGCTCACCCACGCTTCTATTGCAGCAGCTGTCAATAGTACTTTCACAGCAGTGTGTACTGCTTTATTTTCAGTAAATGTATTGTGATCTCCGAACGTTATACATGTATTATTTATAGTGTAACATTTGCCAGTTTTACAACACGCCTGGCTTTAAATAATCCGTGTGCCAGGTATTTCGGAAATGTTTGTCCCTGCAGCTCAGAATTGGAGAACTGGGGGCACCTAGTTTCTGCAAGCACTCAGGAATGGACAATTAAGCAATTACAGATAATTTTCCTAATTCACCGATATCGTTGGGACACAAAGGCACATACTGTGTTACATGTAAAAGTCATTCTACGTATCTTTAAATTAAGGCTCGGCTCTGAAATTGTAATAGAAGGAACAGGTGTTCAAATAAGACGCAGATAGCGTGTTATTTATTAATTTATCATTTCCTAAGTTGATCTAAGATAGTAATGGTGTGTTCCTTGGCAAAGAGGAGGCCATTTGAACAAGCAAGACATTCGTCCCACATATCTGTGTATGATGTCTCACACGTTAAGCTGTTTAAACAGTGTGGTTGAACGTAATAAAGCAGGCCTCTGTCGCTGTATTAAGGTGCAAGTCACGCACGTTGAAAATGATATGTATAGAGAAAGGATTCTAAAGAAAACTCAAACTTGTTTCTTCTCTAACAGTGCCTGCCCAGAAGCCAAAGTATGCAGAAGTCCCCAGGGTTCCAGAGTCTGCGAAGCTGGGGCCAGCAATTTCAACTGAGATAAAAGAAGGAGCTGGGCTTTTCCTGCATGGTAAGAAGTGCTCTCTATTTACTGTATAAAAAATGAGTGCATTTAAAACAAGAATTGTGCACGTACTTGTTATGCACCCGCGTGTGTGTGCGCGCGCGCATGCGTGGGGAGCGGCAGTGTAGCGGTTAGCACGGTGCGCTGCGAACTCGGCTGAGTTCTATTCCTGCTCATGGCCAACACCGGTCTTGGGCCTCCCCTAGGTCAACTCAGCCTCAAATAAGTACCTGGTGTGTGAGCATCGCTATTGGGGAGACAAAGGCAGTCGGGTGTGGTGTTAGCCTCCCACCCCCTCGTGTACCGTTCCGGCCTTCATAGGTGCTCCCTAACAGACCCTGCCCCCACAGTCTGCTAAAGGCTATATGGTAGATCTTTGTGGGTGCTTGAGCTCACAGAGAAAGTGGTGGCGTAGTGGTTAGCAAGCTGCGCGAAGAGCCCAGTGAACTGGGTGTGCTGCATGGCGATGGAGTGATTATATTGGGGGCGTTCATTCGTACCTGACTAACGCCTTTATTAACTCGGCCTTCAATGAAGTTTTGGGGCCTGTGTGTAAACATTAGCACTGGAGAGACAAATGTGGCTGGGCATAATGGTGGCAAACAACACGTTCATGTTGCCGAACTTACTCTAACAGATGTTCATCAGCAGCAACAGTCTCTATATCCATATTGTTGAGGCACCTATGTTTGTACACTATACATAAGCATATTTCTTTTACGTTTCAAGATTTTTCCTTGCAGAACAGTTGGTACATCTCAGTGATTTGTTCGTGCCTGCATTGTGTAGGAGGGATGGTCAAAACATTTTGGGAATGGAATTTCAAAAAGTCACAGCGCCCTCACTGTGACCGTATTATGATATCTTTCTGTGTCATGGTGTCTCTCTACAGTAGCTCATCTCTAATGGGGATCCTTTGCCAGATGAGGAAGTTCCTCATCTCTTGCAGGAGCCAGGATATCTATTTTGGAATTACTCTTTGGTACTTCAATAATGCATTTGAGTGTCTCTGTGAATAGCATTAGTGAGGATGTGTCTCCTTGCCTGAATCCTCCTATAATTTATAATTGGTTACTTTAAGCAATCTCAGTGTAGCTGTCCTATCAGTATAAATGGTTCTGATTATAATTTTTTATTGATAGCATTGGTTTGTAAGAGGTTGGATAAGTGCATATTTTTGCACTGAATCAAATGCCCTTCATAGTCTACAAAGTTAGGCAAAGTCGTATTTTATATTAATTCGTTTCTTCCAGAAGCTTATCCAATAGTATGTATATGGTCAATGGTAGAGACACCTTTTGTAAAACTACCTTGCTGTTGTGGTTGGTTGGCCTATATATTGACTGTTATGTAGTTATCTTATCTTGGTGAATAGTTTTTTTGGAGTCTGCTAAGAGGATAATGGGTCTTTAAATCTTCAAATCAATGTTGTCTTCCTGTTGACTTGCCAAATAATTGAAGCCTCATTCCACAATTCACATATTTCATTTACGTCTAAATACTTAGTAAATAGGTCTGCTAATATTTGAGGAATGGCGATGATATAGGGAGGCAGTGGATAGACATGGCTGATGATGACTCGTGCTTTGTTTTTTCCTGCCTATGTTTTTTATATTTAGTATCTAGTTTGATAAGAAAAAAATCACCCACGATTGAATATAGTGTTTTATTTGACCAATAGTAGACCTTTATTTTAACAGTTGAGAACCCATTGAGACTGCAAGTCTCTTTTGAAAAGGGGTGACTTGAGTCAACAATACTTGGCACGAGAAACCTTGACATTAAGTGAACATTATTCATGGGGTACTGTATTATGTATTATTTCAATTTTGTTTTCAGATTTACCTTCATCTGATGTCTTTGGAATCAGATCAAAGCCCGTGGAGATGCAGTGTTTACTCTGTAAGGGAGACGTGAGAGCCCATGCACGAACATTACTTTTTTTTTACGTATGAGGTGCATGTAGTTCATTTTCACGTTTGGGATATTGGCTGTGACTTTGACACAAGTGTCCCATTGCTGTGATTGTTACACAGGTCCTTTAGCATTCCTCTGTATAGCTGATGGAAGGTGCGTTTTGCTAATGCCCTGCAGCGTTACTGGCCGGTTGTGGGAATTGAAACATAGTCTCTGTTCAAAATGTGACGAGCTTGCTCACCACTGGGCTATCATACGATTATTATTCATTCATATATCGTCATGAAAGTAGCATAAGACTACATACGTTGCATATGTTGCCTTTTACAGGTTCCTAGCATTTATGCTGCTAAGGCAGCATTCATCATTGACTTGCAGTGTAGAAACTACATAAGTGGATACAAATCAATTTCTTGCACACAGTAGTACAGAAAATTGGCGGATAGAAATATTATGTCCGTGCACGCATTGCGGATGCACGGGGGGGGGGGGGGGGAGTGAGCACAGGAAAGTCAGCTGCAAGTAGTAATTCACTCGTTTGGGTGGTCGTGCCTCCGCCGTCAAGTGTAAATACACTAGCGGAATGCAGCCCTTGGGGGGGCTTCGGCTTGCACAACAGATCGGCGTGTTGCAAGCCTCCTCCGCTCCAATTCGTCGCTTAAAATAATCTACGTGTAACAAACAGCTCCTTGCATTATTCATTTCGAGTGCTTCAAAATTCCTGCCGCTGGTCCCTTTGCTTTGTGCCAGTTCCACCATTGAGCTTTTGGCATTGAAAGTGTGCATTCAAGTCGCTGGATGTTTTTAAAGCGTCGTCTGTCTGACAGAGGGTTCCCACCGAGCATGTGCAGCATGTGGTGATATCAGCCAAAATGCGCCTTTGATGTGCAGAGGCTCGTTCATCTGCTGGACATTGGTCTGCAGCTGCAGGATGCGCAGGAGTCCACAGTTGCGCCGTGACCGGAAAACAGACGGCCGGCAGACTGAGGACCACCCGTTCTTATAGTGAAAACAGAGTGTGTAAAATAAATCTCATTACAATTTCCGATATTATTAAAGCAATTGTGCATGCATTTATTTCATTTTTTGTATTTGGCTTTTATGTTTCTTCAAGGTAAGTACATTCATTTCAAATAATTAGTCAATTTCCAATTGTTTCTATTGCTGTCATGAAAAAATGTTTTACAGTGTGTATTCTGTTTTTATCCAGAATGTTATTCCATTCATTCAAATGTATTTTATGATTCAAGATATTTCACGAGTATTTAATTAACTGGGTCAACTTGAAAAATATATTGCCGTTGTCCTTTAAAAATGTGATTTTACAGTTCGTGTTATGTCCCCTCAAAGCATGTTCGAACTGTGGCGCGCTCACACTATGCACACAGGAAGACTTTCCTGTGGCTGGTTAAAAGTCTGCCCAAGTCTGCCTCTTGTCACGTGATTTCATAGACCTCATTACATTATTCTGTGGTATTGTACACCTTCGAGATGACCTTTAGAGCAGGAAAAAATGGGAGAGAGAAGACATCGTGAAATGTTATTATTATTACAATAATATCTCTTCCCACCTGACACCGAGGAAAACAGCCCAAACATCTTGTGTCCCTGTGAAAAATTAGTATCCTAAACCAGCAGTGCTTTCTGGTCAGCTGGTACGATTGGCCGCATTGGTTATTGTTTGAAGCAGGGCTGTTGTCTTGAGGGAGGAAACCGAGTTTGAAGGATTGTGAAATGGGAACAAGGTTCAAAGAAATGCTTGGTATGTTGGAGTGAGTATATATATGCAGGCCATGTTAGGGCACTGTGACTGGGGAGTTTGTTTAAGCTCACCAGGAAAGGAAAATGAATTTTACAAAGCCTCTGCTTCCAACCTCCTTATATTAAATAGTTTGACATGCGGGTTTTTATATATACTGTACTTGCCTCATTTATGTGGCATCGTTTTTTAAGATGTTAAATTGAGTCAAATAAGGTTAGGAGATTCAAGCGCTTCATTATGTGATGTTGTTTGCATTCCCAACTTTATTGCCAGCCTGGGTGCTCATGATGGATTGCCATCATAATGTCCCTTGACCTGCTTAGTTTTGTAATGCTTAGAAAGTGGTGTCATTCCAGAATGCGGCTCATCTGTTTAATGCAGCTGTTGTAGCATTGCTCCTGTGCTCAAGGCTATATATAAAATATAAAATGACACTCCAGAGTATACTGGTTTGTCCAGATTATAATCCTTTGAAACGCTTTTGCATTCTTTTTATGTTCTAACGCTCGTTTTTGTACATATTTCAAATGCCCAAGTATTCATTATGCCTGCCAGTTGTGGCACAGGACCTTGTACGTTGTTTTGATCAGGCATCCTTTGGTCATCTATCTCTAAAGCTAATTCAGATCACAATTTGAGGAATCGCTGCATGCCTTGCAAAAGTTGAGCTTTGTAGCTTTTGTTCTCTGAGCTAGCTTGCACCACAAACATAAAAAATGTAAAAAGTACAACAACTTGAGCGTTCATTCTAGATTTGAGCATTCATGCCAGTCAGGTTGTAAGTAATAATAAAACAGAGCCACATGGTGCTGTCTGAAGTGTTACTTCAAGAGCAACACCATTATTGGAATAGTGGCATTATTCAAGTCAAATGTAAAGAAAGAGATTCTTGGTTTTTAATGTCCCTTGATATAGCAAATTCATTCTTACAATTGAGTGGCTTGTCAGTATTTTACCTGAATGTGTTGTTTTAACACATTTATAATATTTAATATAAGAATTATATCGGTCAACTCATGTGTATAATTGTTTGTTTGAGGATGATGTAGTTTATTCAATTTTTTTTTGGGGCACCAGTCATATAAAATTCCTTTTTGTCCACAAAATCGGCCTGAAACGATTTTTCGAAATAGCTTGATACCAAATTACCGGACAGCAATCCTGAAAGAGTGGAAATGTGTACCTCCATGGTTTCTGTAAAATTAGTTGTTCATGATTCAGATTGATACATTAAATACAAATTATACACCTCTTCATAACTCCATAATAGTTTTTTTGGGTTAGATCACGTAAATATAAATGTGTCGTTAAACCCGCCACCACCCAACACACTTAATTAGTAAGGGTTGTCACGTAAACACAACATGCTAATTCGTTACTAGTACAGCACACCGGTGTGTTGGAGAGCAAATCCACAACATTTACAATCTGAGTACGACGTTTTGCCAATAATTACAACGAGCTTCATCAGGCGACAGCCAGATTTGTGGAGAAATCGTCCTGTTTCGTTCCTTAAATAGAGGATAGATGTGATGATGTCACAATAAAATAGCAGTACCTGTGATTGTCTGCTCACAGGTGATCCCCATTGACGTATGGTGGCCTGTATAGGCATGCATTTAAACAATGTATTATTTGATGATTCGCTTCCAAGCAGCACTAAGCCTGTAGTTATTCGAACGGTTAAAATGATTTATATTTCTCTCAATTTCGATGGATAATCTAATTAGTATTGGCCAGTAGTAACTGGTTTTGCACAGAACTTCAACATCAAAATCAATCAAATGTCCTTGTTGGCCACGCGTGTTCTCATTGGCATAAATGTTTGAATTTTTATTTCTAAATGTGGCTAGAATATTCTCTTTTATTTTATTGTCAACACCTTTCCGATAATGTCACAGCATTATAACTGCTCAACCCGAGCTGTAAGTGTTCTGACACTTGCATTGTTTTTGTACTGTTTGCTGTTTGGCGTTCTCTGGTCTCATACTAGTGAGACAAGGCCATAAAGAATGCTGTCTCTGGTGCAGGCCAATCAAGTTTAAGACAATGCATATATGAAATAATTATCAGAGCACTTTTTTTTGCATATTTTGCCACAAGTATGTGTGGTCAATGCAGATGTGATGCCGAGCAAAGAGGTGTATATATTTGGTATTTGAACATCTTAACGCCTGTTTTATTGCCAGAAAGGTTAAAATCTATTCTTATTTTTTGTATCATTTTGGATACTGGCAAAAAAGGTCCCATAGATAGCATTTGTATATTTTTTATTAATTGGCACCATTTGTGCGGCCCTAGTTTCGCATTCAAAAAGTCAAATGACCCTTGCGTCTGTGCTAATCTGAGTCGGTGGTGGACATTCCACATCCCTATGATAAGGGCCCAGCTTATTTGTGGAACAACCACTGTTGACGTCCCCACAAAGTGGTTCTAATTGTATAGACCCTGAAGAGATGATGGGCTAAACAATCCCAAACCACTACAAACAAATATTCTGATTCTGAAACCAGGATTTAAATTCCAAACTTTTTATTGTGGGTCTCTCACTCACCACCTGAATTGCAGTGGAGGCTCTGAAAGAGGCTGACAGAAATGTGTCAAAACATTGCTTTGATCACTCTGATAGCACTAAATATGCTTCAATTAAACCTGTGAAAGGAGAAAAACAACCATCAAAATAAAAAAAATAGATTTCTGGTTGGTACAATTCATGTTTTCGCAAAATGTCCAAGTTACTATTCCATGCACATGGTCTTTATCCATACTTCAAAGAACCTGAACAATTTATTCAATTGCCATGTAGTAATCACAGGACAAGTGGGTCCCCACTTACCTTTTGTCGTGAAAATTAGAAATGGAGCAATTTTTCATTGTGTGTCCTTGAACAGGAAGCCTGGATTTGTCAATGCAGCCTTTGCTTTGTGGAAGAGTACAAAAAAAAACATTCGATATACTTCGTGGCTTGGCAAGCTCAGTCCAATTATGTGGCTGCAAATATATCTTTAAAATACAGACAATAATGTGTGGGTAGCTATTATCGACCATTGTCCACTAATGTGTATCTCAAAGTAGTGCACCATGTCGGAGTATAATTGATGACTTGTTGACAGCATAGCCTTGAAAGGATTTTAAATTTCCACAAGCTTTCTTGCCATTTAAAATCCTCACATCATCAACAGGAAGGCTAATATTTGAAGATTTATTATTTCTGTAAGTTAAGCTGGACAGGAATTCTAGTGGCTGTGTGTAACATAGCAGTACTATTTGTTCTGCAGGGAGGGCTCAAGTATTTATACATTCAAACTTAGCGTTTCTCAATTTTGCAATACTTTAGCTCTGGCACAGGAGAGCTGGCAAGACATATATTTAATCATTAAATGAAAAATTCGCCAAAAGCAACCCACGAACATTCAAAATTGGCGATGTAAACGCGGGTACGGAAGGAGGGCCTGGAAGACAATGGAGCGTTACCAGCTGTTTTTACGCCACACCCTTGAAGAATGTGAGAAATGTTTCTTTAAGAAAGGGATCTTCCACCTGTTCACTGGGCAGCACTGAAGTTAAAGGGTGGCTCCTCGTTCTGCAGGGCAGCGTGAATGAAAGCATGGTAAAAATAGTTTGCTTCGCCAACAGTTAAAAATGTGTGTTCTCGGCTTGTATTTTGTTGATCGGAATGTTTCCCCTCAACATTTCCTCAGCGATACCTTTGTTGAGCACAGCTTTTTGGTTCTAATCCTGACCTTCATCTTTGAGAGAATTATCATGCTGTAAATATCAAGGTTGGGTGGAGCCGTAGTTCACTCACTGGTTTGCACACTGGCCCCTTAATCCACTTTACCAAGCCACACTATCTGGTGAAACTACCTCCACAACTGGTACAGCACTGGTGGTCCTTCGGCTAATGGTGGATTGACAAAGGGCTGTAAATTAGTTTTTAAAAAATTCAAATGTATATTCTTTGGGAAATTGTGGAGCGACAACATTTTATGGGGGCAGGTTGGGGAACTACTTTATCCAGTAGTGGATTTATCATGGCTGATGAAACTGAAATTTTTAAATTTTTCTTGAAATTTCAGTATTATAACACAACACTTGGACATTTACATTAAATCACACAGATGTATTGCATAAACATTGCTTCCAGGATTTCTTCACTTATGTGGTTTTCCTTACTATAATTTTAGATGAACAAGGCAGTCAACCATCCATGAAGTAGCAGATTTCAACATTGATAAAAAATAGCGTGAATGGCTTCACTTTATTTAGTTTTAGTCTTTGTTGTATTTTTTTGTATTCATCATCTCTGTAAAATAACTTTACATGATTATTTAATTTTTAAATGTTCTATTTAGTTATTTTCATTTAAGATTCTACTTTTTAAAGTACATTACATAAATTGACGTGTCGATGGCGGAATCACCTGGAATGTGCTCGGTCCAAGCAGGTTTAAGTCTGGATTGTGCTTACGTGGGTGACCACTATGGATGAACAGGTGTTATAAGATTTGTTGTTATGCTAATTGGTCAGCACAGGACGGTGCAGAAAATCCATTGATTTACTGAACCTTCACCAATCCGCTATGACCAGCGTGGTGAAGTATGGTCAAATAACACCCATGACGTGCACGGCATTGGGAGTGCCTCACCCAGTGCAGTATTTGGTTGACAAAAGGGCTGTACATTGATGAATATGAATATATACAGTATTGATTACTCTGCCGATTGGCGGTTTGATGTTCTCAATACATTCTCCACGTATGCCACTGGGGCTTGGTGATGTCATCTGCCACATCTCGCTTGTAGGTTTCCCACCTATTTGGGAGGCTGGATATGGTGGCGGCCATCATGTTTAAAGTGGCCTGAGTAATGGACCACAAAAAGAGCAGTGGATTATTCTCACTATGAGCTGTACGCCTTTTGGCGTCATCTGGTGCAACACCAATGGTGACTAGGCTCTAAGAAAAGCTGTCTCGGGTGTGGACCAATCAACTTCAAGGACAGTGCATATCATTATCATCATCAGAGTTGTTTCTTTTTGTTTGTATTTTGACTGCTTGTGTTGTGGTTATTGCAAACATGATGCCTTGTATAAAGGTGTCAGTTTTTGTACCAGTTGAAAGGATAAAAACCTATTACTATACAGTGGATTATTTTCGTCAATCAATCGACACGATTGACCAGTCGTCCGATCTCTTCTTTGCTCCTTGCTTCATGGCTTGTGGTGAACTGATCGAGCGGCCCTGTCTCACGTTGGGTTGGCAGATGCGGAGAAGGAGTGCAGTGTCCAGGAGACTGCGGACGCGTTGATGACGCGCCTGGGACTCCTGCTGGGAAGCAAGGCAGCGGCGTGTAGTGTCCCCGAGAGAGCCGACACAAAGGTACGTACATCCTCGATCACTGCGACAAATGTGGTATGTTGGAGTTGATATGTGAATGGGCGTGTATTCTCAGCGTTGAGGATATGCAATGGTTGTGTAATTGTTTCTGCCTTGTTGATTTGCATAGCATTTTGTCATGCACGTTTGTAAAAAAAAAATCCCGCTTTGTGTAAATATGCTTGCAAGCTACAAATCGCTTCTGAAGTGACTCGTTTTGTTCCAATCCACTTTGTAGGAGAGTCGAAGGTTATATCCAAGTCAAAAACATTCCCTGAATCCTAAGCATTAATCCTAGGAATCGTTTCACTTGTGCCGCTGTCATGGCAGGCTTAATGCAATAAAAATATACATCACGTATGTTATACACTTGAGATTAAACCTGACAACAACAGCTTTGCCCTGGCTACCGCTGTCTTGCCCACTTAATTGTGTAACCGTTCTGACGTGTAAGCTCTTTTTTTGCACTGTCCCAGATTGTGAGCTTTTAGAAAACTGTTGCTGTTAAGCTCCGTGCGCGTTGAAATTCTGCCAGCCTCGCCTGCATTACCATGGGGGAAGTATCACGTAACTGTAATTCAGTCGGACATGACGTGTCTAGTTATTGGTTTCTGCACGGAGGTAAGCGACTATGGGTGAAATCTGCCTTCCCTGAATGGCTTCTCTAAAGGTGAGGCTTTTAAATTGTAGCCTAACTCATCACAGGTTTGCAGACATATAGTGTAATGGCTAAGCGCGCTTGTGTAAACCTTGTCATATTCTGTTTTTAACAGGGAACGGTTCTGCGGCACGCCACAGTTTAGCCACGAGCGGCTTAGGTTATGCGAACACGGTGATTAACCGCAAGTTGTGTGACGTACAAAACCTGCCATTCTAAAACATGTAAGGCGAACTACAAACACTGGGGGGTTTTGGGTTTGTGTTTAGAAGAAGAATAAAAAATATACTATTCAAAGTAAAACAACCTTCTACGTGACTGCACTGGCAACGATTGCCCACTTACGGCACGGATGAGGGCAGTGGGGGTGGGGCTGGGTGAACGGGACTGTGTTTCTCATTTCTTTCCCGCTCCGTTCGTATTGGCTCTCGCTCCGACGTGCAACAGCCGGGCCGCATAGGGGCCATCCAGCTCGTGCGTAAGCATGTAGGGGAGAGGGGGGGTTAACCCAAATGCGTATGCTTGCGTATGGGGGGGGGGGGGGTCTACTGACAATGTGCGTCCGCATTGAAAACGGGGGGGGGGGGGGGGTGAAGCCTCGATAATAATTTTTCTACATTGGCCTTCAAATGAGGAGTTAGATAGTCCGGCTGTGGACTATCTGGTTGCTTAAACACGTTGATATTATGAATCATTGATCGTTTCTGCGTGGATTCAATATCGGCCGTTCTATAGGATTCTGGGGGGGTGCGTCAAGTGTACGTACGCAGGTAAGGGGGGGGGGGGGTAAAAAGTACGCGTTCATACAGGGAGGGATGGAGGGGTCAATTTTTTTACAGATTTTTGCGTACCTACTCAATGGATGGCCCCTAAATAGCGCGTGTTGTCGCCATGCCTCACGCCGCTCGCTCGCTTGCTCCCAAGCGACACGCTCTCGCCGGGGTTGCTGCTGGGAGCGCCGCTGCTTGAGAGAGGCAGTGGTGAGGAGCAGGGTGTGTTGAGCGGGTGAGCGCGGGCAGCGTTGCTGACCTGAATACAAGAGATTGTTTTGTGCGGCGCACGGGAGGCCAAGCCAGAGGCCCCCCTATTAATCATCCGTTTCCAAAGCGTAATTAGACAAAGAGCATCCGTGAGAGCGCCGTTCGAGTTCTTTCTTTACGCGTAAGGGAAATGTAAGGCTTTCTTTTTTACTCTAACGTGAGCTGACAGAATTTGGCAGTGTTAACTAAAGCTTTATCAGGATTTCACTTGATTCGGCACTTGTTTTTTGAAAGGAGCTGCATCCAACGACGAATTGTGTAATCATATGGGGCTACATTGCAGTCCATAGTAAACACGGGTAGTTAGCAGCTATATTACATGCATTTTTGTATCATCAAGCATACCGTTATTTGTTGGGTGGTTAATAAAAAGTTTTCATTCAGTGACTTTCAATAGGATTCTGTGAGCCAAACTAAAGGGTATCTTAACAGGACAGGGATTCCGTATCAGGTCTCCATAGTTGCATGTGGTGCAAGCGAGAGGTTTGAACATAATTTCCATTTCAAGCTGTGCTCCTGTCTGTAAATTCGAGCCAGCTCATTTTTAGTCACATTTAAACAAAATGTGGCACATCACAGCCCAGATTTTGCTGGAAATTAAGATGAATGTGTTCAATATGAGGCTCAAAATCTATGTTCACATCAATCCATAAGCCTACATATTGTTGCTATAATCCATACAGTGTCTCCTGCCACTTTGGATTGCTTAAAAAACGTAGCATTGAACTGTAACACGTTTAAAAATTGACTTTCCATCCTGCCGTACCAAAGAAAAATAATGCAGCTTTAGTTTAAAATCTACTAATGATTGTAATATTATTAGGAAATATTTATAAACAAGGTAGTTAATTGAAGGTTGGTTACAGTGAGGTGCTTTTGGGAGACCTGAAGTTTTATTTAACCGAAACATTTCTTCCACCTCCAACTCAGCTTATATATAAGCTTCTAGCTTGGCAGTGTCTCATTCTTCACCTGAAGACGGCTGCTTGCGTTGTAGCCAAAACGTGGTGAGAATTATTTTATTATGTTTTATTTCATTATTTTATTACTTCTCTTCTACGTGACTTTACCGAAAAAAACCAAGAACATTAACAAACCGACTAGCTCTCGCAAGTTGCGAGGTTCAAAGGCGGCGAGGACCGCAACGTCAGTATCAACAGGAAGGATCGTTGCTATGTGTAAAACTGGGCTCGCCGCATAACAACGGAGCTGAAATAGTGAACCTTGGACGCGACTGGGTTGTTTGCCCAGGCATCTGAGAGAGAAGGGTCACTCACAAGCTTTCCGCCTCTTGATTCTAAATAACTGGACACGTAATGAAAAATAATTATACGTTTTATGCATGCCACTGGGAAATGCTCTATGATCTCTATAAACTACAGGAATGTGGTTTAAATAATGCAATCAAATGTTACATTTGAAAGATATTATTCTGAATCTGACCGTTTTGCCTTAGCATGACACGGCGTTACAACTGCCGTTCAAATGGTTTCTAGGTTCGCTGTTAGATTTTAATTCGGTCATGCGTGGAAACATCACGAGACAATCCACAATGGCCCCAGAGTGAGTCGGTGCTGGCGTCTTCCACGAGGAGCTCATAAAACCACAACGGCTGCCCACGTTTAAAGCGTAAACAAACAAGGAGCATAATGCACAATGGTATAAACGGCTCGCACCTCGCCGTAACATACAAACGCCCCTTCTCACGCGCCGCCGCAGTGATAAGCGCTCCTAATCTTCAGAGCTCGCCGCCAAGCCACGCACACGTGCCAAGCCCCCCTGTCGCCGCCTGTTGCGCGTCCAGTCCGAGCGCTCCTTCTGCTCGGCGCTGCAGGGGGGGGATGCGGTTCTCATCGTCGTCCGCAGAAAATTGTATAATTGGTCTGCGTGGGGAACGACGCTTCCACGAGACACGGTGTCCGGGTTCCGAATTTTTTGTTGAGCGGAAGACGAAGCGGTCACTAAAGAAAGGTTTGTTGGTTTTCGTTTTTGCTCGCGAGACTTGCCTTGTGCTATGATGTATTTTAATTTCCTGCAAAAGAATGTTTCTCAGTACAATGTGGAGTTGCGGTTGTTTATTATATTACTATTGTAATCGCTAACTCATGAAGGTTTTGACTAATGCAGAGATATGCGCACGGCAACAGGGATCAAACTTGATCTATACCAACATGTTTGTATTTGTCTACATGGGCTTATGTTGACTTTAGCATCTGCTCTTGTTAATGATGTTTCAAAGTTGCTTCAAGGGAGTTTTGTTTTTGTTTCTTCATGGGAGTGCTATTTTCCCTCCCCAAGCAATTATATTCATACTTATTATTAATGCTATTAGATTGTTCCTTCGTAAATTACATAATTTTATAAATTGCTTACGCCTTTCACAGTGAATTCTTTCTTTTCAGAATTAAAATGAAAAGAAATTGTATAAAATTTTTTATTGACAATGGATTCCTCTTGAAGGACCACTGGAATATTAACTAAATGATCAGATTTTACCTATCCGTGCAGGAAAAGAAACAAACATAGCAATGAATATCGTAATGACTGTAATTGCTGATGCTCAATGGAGGTGAAGCGCATGGCTGAGCAGAGATCCCAATCTGCTCTGTTGGCGGCGGGTAGACACAAGTGCCAGCACTGTTTTGCCGGAATCCTTGCCCACGACACAGCGGCCACTTGAACCGATGTGTCCTGAGATTGGCGGTGGGCGTAGAAATGTTCGGTTATCTGAACGTTGTATTCTGCCCACCTTACTCCTCGTGCGACTGACGCTCTTGTCAGTTGTGATGGGGGGATGTCCTCGCCATGGTATGAGGGCAGCATTTCCTTACGCCTTGTATGCCGTGCTGGGTACTGAGCAAAAGGATCAAAGTGTTTTTAAATCAGGGCCTGGTGCTCGTGCAGCCAAGTCGCCCACCACTGCTGGTGCCTGGGGGCCCATACACTCTATAGATAATGGAGTGTGAAGCCTTTTCAACCTGTGGAGCAGTTGAGAGCTTTGATTTCCTTCCAATCTATATCTGAGTCTCTAAATATACTTTATGATGAAAGGGCCAATCACACAAAACAGGTTTTCAATATTTTTTTCAAAATGCCACGTGAGATTTTAAAAGTTATGGGACTGGTTTGAATCGGATTGCTCTAATTGCTTCACGATTGCGTGCGTTCATCCATTTTTTGAGAATTAATCAATTCAACAAAAGTCTAAGAAAACCCATCTAAATGCACATTCAACGTCGTGTTACATGGTAGAATGTATTCTATACATATTGACCTATTTAGCAAATATGCATGACAATAATATGCATCACACAGGGAATCAGTAGTGCAGTGGTTAGAGTTCTGTGCTGCATCTCATGGTGACCTGCCCGAGTCAAATTCCTCACTACAGCTAACATCAGTGGCGAGTGATAGCTGGGACTGGTCCTGGCCCCCTTGCTTCACCAACGCGCATTGACCAGTATTGTGAAGTATGGTCATATATACCCCCACAACTGACACAGCATTGGTAGGCCATCATCAAGTAGTGTATGGACTCATGTTTGTAACGTATTATCACATCACAAATGTATTCATTATTGTAAATTATCGAACAATTTCAGTGTTTGGTATGACTAAGTCAGCTTTGGATAAACACGTTTAAATCTCTGCAATTTAACATCCCCTCAGCCTAAAGTGATCTATTTACTGTTTCATTGAAAGTTCTGGTTCCTTCTAATCTTTGAATTTCCATGACACACGGCTACTGAGTGGAGGATTCTTTAACATTAGTCCAGACCAGCTTTGGCAGCCACCTTGAACCAGAAGATAGGTAAAGGCACATCCCTGCAATTGCTTGCTCAAACATGCCTTTTTTGGTAGAAGGGCCTCCACTGGAAGGAGCTGTGGAGAGCCACCTTAGAAGGTATTTGGCCTACTCTTCCAACTGGCCAGACAGTTTTGTGCTGAAAGTGTTCAGCTTGCAAGGAAACGTTACAACAAGTGCATGTTCAGGTGCGGCAGCGATAGTGTTTCGGGTGGTGCCCGGGTTGTTGTGTGGATATCTGAAGTTATTTGACCGAAGTGGCCCCCACTGTGCTTCTTCGCCAACCCCCCCCCCCGCCCATCGCTCGTGTAGCCATCGGCAGTCAGTGGCATCAGCCCGTGCTCCACCCTGACGAGCGGATCCCCTTCCCCCGGGACGGGCAGCCCCTGCTCCACGCTGCACGGAGGGCCCGCGGGGGGCTCCAAGCCAACGCCGCCCAGCAAGGGCAGCCCCTACAGCAGCGTGGGCAGCGCCAGCTCCACCCTGGAGAGCAAGGACAGCGGCATTATCGGTGAGCGGCGCCGCCCGTGTTCACCGGCTCGCTAACGTCGACGCGCCACTGCGCTCGTTATTCTACCGCTGCTGATGTCTCTTTCGCCCGAGAGTGAATAATGAGGGCCACGTGGCCAGGATGAGTCTCTCAGAGCAATGGATTGCACAATAAACATTTAGTCTTAATGGGCTCACACCTTATTAAAATATTTGATTCTTTAGTTGAGTTGTGCCAAAAAATGCCCATCACGTGCTTCATAATTTTAGGTTAACAAAAATTGCAAAAGGGGACTGGTACCTCGTACATGCGAATTATATATCCCAGTATAAATATTTCATTCATACATTCCATTGTATTTATGAACGTGGTAATACCGTTCGCAAAATTAGATGGTTTATTTACAAGTAGATGAAGGTATACAATAACATTGTCTTTACACATTGTCTCACATCTTCGGGTTGTCAAAAGAGGGCTTCCAAAAAAAATATCATCGTGCTCAGAGTGAGCACCACCTCGAGAATAATGACCACTGCAGACTCGTGTTCCAGACAACGGGGGCTTTCAGCGTAATGCTGAGGTCAGGTGACACAGCTCTCTAAATGTCACAGAAATGATCACGAGTGCTTCATTGATGCCAGGAGCAGGTCGAGGTGAGAATAGAAATATGGGGTTTCTGGCCAGCCTGCTACCGGCGAGTTTAATGAATGGTAGCCTGCACTAAATAAAATGTCCTTTTGAGACGCGGTCTGCTCGTCTGCCTTTTTATTCGGCAATAAATTTAAAAGCATTTGGGGCCGCCTTTAAAAATTATTCTGATAGGAAATCATATTGGGCTGTGCATTTTAAAATTTGGCTTCTCAATGTGCGTGTGTATTTATTTGTGAATTGTTTTTGTGAAGGTGTACAGCAGTGACTTTTAGCATCGCGATTAAGATTTTGGGAAAAATACGCTCTCACTTGTTGGCCCCTTTTTGATGAGGTTGACTGGCAATTGTCTACAACCCTGTTTGCCACCATAATAACGACTTTCATGAAATCGTGGTGCAGCATAGCAAGTATATTTTTATTAGCACGCACCTTCTTTTGGTTATATACTGCCACTGACATCGCAGCGGTTAGGTACCCTCGTGTGCAGGTCTTACAGCACTGTTTAATGCAGCTACGTAATTACTGTACACAAAATAAATGCAATATAACACGACAGTAGTTCTACATGTTTAAAAAAGCAATACTCGAGTCGATTCTTAGGTCGAGATGATTGATATTTGAGCTAAGACCGATGGAATGAAAGTGATTTGAGGCAAGAAAAAGAAAATGACATTTCAACTGATAGCCCATCAATCATAAGGGATGAAAACTCCCGATAAAGCCTCTTATATCCTACTCATTGCCGGAATTGTGTACCGATTCCCGAATGCAATTTTGTTTCCTGTATAAATTCACGATAATGGAATGCTGATACGGCAACTAAAATGATGATTGATATTTGATATCAGCAGCACCCTTAAAAGGAGTAGGGTGATGTGTCGACTGACTGACTGACTGACAGGTAGGTTATTGCGAGTAACCCGCGTATAATGGGATATCTTCATTTTAGAACAGTCAGTGGTGATATTATTGCTCCGTTGTCAAGTCTACATTGTCATGTTGGGTGCAGCCAAAGTAAATAGGGGGTAGGTATGTTATTTATTTTAGGGGTTTTCAATAGGATAATGGATTGATTGTCTGGTCAGAATTTTGTGTCACCAGGGTCCTTTGTTTGAATACTGCCAGCTTCGCAGGCAAATGTGAATCAGAATCAGAAATGTTATTTATACCGGAGGAATCCGATGAGCTATAAAGCTCTTTCACAGATGTCCAGTGGAGGCAGGTCAGAACGTTGCAACAAATAATACTGACACGCACAATAGGAGTGCAAATTATAGGTGAAGGTAAACAAATCACTTTAAAATATATAAAATGAGACTAAACGATTTCTTTTATCTTACGAGGTCTGAAGTAGTGCAATTTGACCAGTGATTTTTAGCAAGGATAAAGGATCTGTGGTTCCATTTAGTTACACGCCTGTCTCTTTCTGGCAGTACTGTATATCATGGCAATGGAGGGTTTAACAGAAGGGAAGATTGGATTTTCCTGTGATAATTGTGAGCGTGTCATTGAACGTTCGGCATTTTGGAACATTCGTTGTACAATTTCATCTTGTAAATGGATTGTAAAAGTGAGTGATTAATTATTTAGTACCGTTTATTTACACACAGTTGCCATGCCTTTTTAAGAATAACATGCTGGACACAGAACTGCATTTCACAGTATGATTTTAATCTAACATGAAAAGACACTGGCTGTCCCACACACGTGCGTGTGGTACAAAATGAAGCACTTTATATGCAAGAAAGCACGCACACAGCGCAGGAATTGTTCACATATAAAAGCACCTGTAGGCATCGCGAGCAGACTGCAGCCATCTCGCAGTTCCTATTGAGTTGCATGGACAAAGTACGCGATTCTAAGTTTTTAATGCACTGCAGAGGTGGTAAATGCAATGTCTGAGTGAGTAACCCCAAATGCTATAATTCTTGTTTGTACGAGGCAACAACATAACTTTATTTCCAGCGAGCTTCATGACAATATTTAAAATGTCACTCATTTGTGTATAGTGATGAGTTTTATTCATATGTTGCTGTATTCAGCCATTTTGAATGCCTCCTTGGGTAATATTACACCCTTTTCAAAAATGCACATAGTTTGCATTTTTTGTGGTGATCAAGTATGCTAACCTAAATGCTCAGGCATCTTAAAGAACGGTGACATTTGAAATGTGGTTTTACCAGAGGTCACTTGAATATCAGGTGATCCTTTAACACCAAACCATTTTGTGCCCATGTTTGTATTTGATATCAAACAAAACACTCCAAACATGTGGGACCAAAATTTACGTAAAACAGTGATTTAAAGATAAATGTATTTATCTTTGCTCTTCTTCTTTTCAGCCACAATAACGAGCTCCTCAGAAAATGTGGAACGGAGTGGCTGCAGCCTGGAGCGGAGTAAGGAGGAAAGTGGGGAAGGTGGCGATGGAGGAAGCACGGGCACCAGTCCCTGGCACCACCCGGGCCAGGCCGGGCCACAGGGAGAGCCGACCGGTGCCGCTGGGACCAGGCCATCTGTGTGCAGCCAAAGTCTGAGTCGCACGTTGGAAGGAGCGGCCGGAGCCGCCCAACTGCCTATGCAGGAGGCCGTGTCTGCCCACATGATGCCCAGGCCCAACTCGGTGGCAGGTGCTTGCTTATTTATGTATTTATCTGTCCATCTCTGGCGCAACCAGCGACAAGATGTATTCCAGTGTTGAAGGCAGAATCCCTTTTTGTGATGTTCTTTTTGCTTTAATGAATTTACAAGGGTGGAACTGGGTGGTAAAATTGTTAGCTCACTGCGGTGTGAACATGACTAGCCCATTTCGATCCCGAACATTAGTGGAGAGTTGTGCTCTAACTGGTCTTCTGCTCTCCCCACACTTCACTCACGTGCCTTTACCAGCAGGGTGAAATATGGTGAAACAAAAACAATGACTGATATGGCATGAAGAGGCCTAAAAAAATACAAAAGAATACTAATTATGTTAACAGTTTATGTGGCCAAGTAGTATTGTTGGAGAGCCCAACTCACCATTATAAGGTTGTGAGTTCATGTCATGGCTCGATTACACCCATCATTCTCCAAAGGTCAATAAAATGAGTACCACTTGAGAAAGTCAACGGTAGTTATCGTATAGAGAGACTGACCCTAAAATAATGTTGAAATTCCACTGCTGGCTCCGGGTCACCAACAGAAATGGAATGAGCCCCATACCATTCGAGCGTGAATAGATAGCCAGTTTGACTTTTTTCCTTTACATATACTGCTGAATTGTGTCTTTATTGTCACAAAAAATCTTCAATTTTGCCTGGTCATAACATGGTTAATAACAGGAAACCAGTGTGTTTTTCGTGCCCTTGTTTGTTTATAACTTAGTTGCTCGCCTATTCATTCAGTGCTCTGTTCATTGTGGAAGTAAAAAATGCTGAGATAAGCAATTTAATTATGACCCAGAGGATTACACTAGGGCTAGCATTGTCTCAGTTGTGTTATGAACAAACCAGAACTGAATTATGTTTGTTTAATACTCAGAACATTTTCATATGCAGACACGTCTTGTGCCGTCTATGTTCAGTAGAGCCTTGCTATCTCCACGCTTTTGTAAGGCAAGTACACATTTTTGTTTAGTTTGACACACAGTATGTTGTGAGATGTGTGTAAGAGATGTGTGCATACTGCACCACTGTAGGTCTCTGTTAATTGGCATGTTGTGTACTTCTATGGTTGCTTGTCTGAGACAAATGATGGCACATGGTTCTCAATGGGAAATTGTAAGGTATTCTGGCTTTACTATCTTGAAGGCTTTGTGGGTCAAAGGGCTTGCATTCCAGCCATACCAACCCCAACACAGCTTGGTATTCAGTGACAGATGTGTTTCGTTGCTTAGCTTTTACCCACAAGCATATCCACATGCAGCAAGGAAACTTTCCATAAATAAGTTATCTTTCTTGGGTCAGTGCATAACTCATGTCAATAATTCCATTACTCGTGGATGTAGGATTTTGCACCAACCTGGCTTGAGTGATGGTATTTAGAAAATGAAGAGGGACAGGCCACGAATGGCTTTGCCAAGTGGTTGTGAAGTTTTGACGGCAGTGTAAGGCTGTGAGGAGCAGAGACTGTAAATGGAGTTCTGCTGAACAACAGTAGTCAAGTGCTTTGACCGCATTTATTAATCAATATCTTTGCGGTGTGTCATTTGAGACGAAATTGATCAGTCAGTTAATTTCAGTGGATTTTTTTTTACAGTCGCCACCGCATCAAGCTCATTTGGCGTTATATAAACAATGTAGCCATCTCCAGATGAATGTAATGCGTATTAATCTTAAGTATTCAAACAGCATTTTTACCACACTAGCAGGCTTTAGCAGTTAATATCTCATGTCAAATGTGGAAATAACTTGTAAACATCTACTCCCTTTTAAAGTGTTTCCTGCCTTTATATGTTGTATTTAAAGGAAAACTGGGCAGCCAATGCATTGTTTGGGAGTTCCTTCATGTTTCCTAGGGAGACAATGTGCACTCAAAGCGCAGCGCATTTTAGTATTTTGCTCGACTGACCCTTTCACAAAACAGAGACCCAAGTTGACAAACGCAGTCGAGACCATTTCATCTTCGTACTGCTGACCTCATCGTGACGGCTGGATTTGAATCGGCAGGCGATTTTTCCGTGACTGGATATCAGCAGTGTTTTTTTGTTACATCAAGATAGCCTGCACGCTTAACAGCGTTTCCAGGGGTTAGCTGAGGCCAACAAAAGTAGAGGACATTCAGTGCATATTTTGCACAAATATGCAACCAAACAACAAAACGAGTAATGGTCACTGTGTCTGGTACCCACACAACTTATGCTTAACCGCCTGGTATTGTAAAACTATCTAAAGCAAAGTGAACCACTGGTAAATGTGCGATTTCCATGCTTGATACTGAAACAGGAAGCCCTAATGTGGCACAGTGGCAGTGGAGCATTTTTTATTCCCCGTTCCCTGCTGGTTAGTGGGCACGGGAGCAGCAGTGAGGAGCCTCGGCTGGTATTTAGCCACGTGCACCTGAAGTGGCCTAAAAATCCTGCACCCTTCATTCAGTTGAGCTTTTTTTTCAACAAAATTGACGGCAAGAGGTGTGCTCTGTGCACATTCATTCACAAATATGCGAGCACTATGCACCACAGTGGCGAGATGTTAACTATCTCGCCTGGTATGAAGGAGGTCGTTGGTTTTATCCCGACCCTGACGCCTGCATATTTGTAGTTTAAGTTTTCTCCCCGTCGTCGCACGAATTTTTCTCCAGGTCCTCGGGTTTTGCACTCCACATGTTTGGCTGCTATACATTTCCACATGATAAGCCACTTTGTTGAGCTATCATTTGTGGCCAGGGAACTTCTGAAAAACAACTACATCGCTCAATGGGCCTTACCTGGCAAAATAAAAATAGTAGTTTATAATAAATTATAACGTCATTCAGGACCGACTCCCTCATGTCATTCAATAATTTTTCTTGAAAAAAAATCCTTAAGGATGTGGTCAAGCAACCCAAGCAGGACTCTTCTGAAAAGAGTCTTCAGACCTCAGTAAGGCTCTACCAGATGTATAAAAGACTGTATTACAGTATAATAACTGCAACAACCTAAGTGCATTCCTGCATCAAAAATGGGGTTTCCGAAAGTATCAAAAAGTGCCCGATCCTTTATTATTATGACAACAATCTGACTCGAATATTTATTATTTTTATTCCTTTAAATCATAGTGGTTCCTGCGGCATTGTGACCTTGAATGGGCAGACACAAAGCAAAGCATGGAAGAAAGCTGCTCCATGTTGAACCCATCTCTGTGGCTCATACCGGCCTCGATTACGATGATAGATGTGATTTATATGATAGAAGGACTTAGAAAATCTGCAACAGTTTTAGCAGTCATGCCCCCTATTTCATCTGCCCATGCCGGGGCCGGCTTTGCTGTGTGGAATGTTAGGAGCCAGGGCAATGAGAGTGCGTAATCGGTGGCGGTCAGGGTTTGCTTGAGGTGAAGCCATGCCCTCGTCTCAAAAGCTTCTTTGTGCCATTTAACGGGGAATGGTGCGGCGTGTTTTCCGTTTCATGTAAGGCTATAGCTGCAGTAGGTCCGCGGCTCTGAGCAGCTGTATAATGGGGGCTCTGTGTGGCTCGTGCTCACCCTGGCTGTGATTGCAAATAATCTCGTGCAAATTCGATACCGTTCAGGTTCACCTTGAAGAGTGTTGAGTCACGGAGGCATAATTTTGATTTCAGAATGGGAGATGGTTTTATTATTATTAATACATTTTAAGCTTGCCAAAAATATATACATGAATGGTAGATTCAGCCAGTTTCAGTTAAGATAATTTGAATGTAGTTTTTTAAATTTTTATTTAATTTTTTCAAACAATTCCTCTTCTGCTGATAGTTTTTCCATGTTATTATGTCATGTATCTAGGGCCCTTGCTGACATTTTATTTAGGAGCAGTTTTGTCAATACATCAATCACTTTGTGGGCGATTACAGTGAATTATACTTTGGCTTTAATTTGGATGCTATATACAGCATACACTGATTAATATACCCGACTGACTACAGTTTGCCAAGCAGTGGTTTGGTTTTTGCACTGTCCAATGCACAATTGACATCTGATTAAGGTTCTCCTAGTGTGAAAATCTTACCAGTGAGTGTCCTGTGGCTCAGTTGGTGCGAAAGCAGAAAGGAGCCCCATAACTAAACTGCAATTACATGTGCTTGTCTTGGCACAAGTGTTGGTAAAAGAGCGGATTCGCACTTCAGACTCGTGCTTGGATGATGTGCGAAGAAGCACTGTGTGTGTGCCTGAATAAGCGACAAAAATACCGGGTCATTGAAGGGTCAGAGCTGCGGAACGTGTACAGCGGGTAATGTGGTGCTGCAGAGTAGCAGCGATGAGACGCCATTATCTTAGCAGGTTTATAAAGTCACTGGCTGTCGGCACGTTTTTGTGGCCTTTTCATTTGGAACTTTAGCAGGTGATTTACAACCAGAATCGAGCAGTAATCCCTTTCTTGTGGCCAGCGGCTTCTGTGCCCAATGAGAGCTTATAAAAATGTGGTTTATAACTTAACCTAATTTGGCATTTTTATTTTGTGTTCTCTCATTGAAATACAATGTCCCCCGTTTGTAGCTATTAAAGAGTTTTATGAATACTTTCTCGGCAGTCCTTATCTAGTGGATGGAAATCTTAATGCCGAGGGGGAGACCAGTCTGCGAAAGGATAATCATTCATTGGGAGATAATAATTGAAACTACATCATTATGACAACGGTGTCCCCTTCACCATCCTGCACAGCCCCAGTGTGGTGAAGTATAGCCGAACAATCCCCATGGCCGAAATGGCACAGAGCAGTCCTTCATCTTGCAGTGGAATTAAAAAAAACGTGTTTAAATATTGTTATTGATGTGTGTTATTGATGATAACGCAGCACTGTATTGCACATTCACACACAGACGCAGTGCATGCAATCGTACACGCACGCTAAACATTTACTCCCACTGGATGCCAGGGCCTCTGAACAGGGAATAGGAACCTGGTAACAATTACCAATCGTTTGCTTGTCTCTCCTCATTCTCCCACCTATTGTGAGTGCCACTAAGAGCACATCTATTAGTAATCTGTGATTGGCCCAGGCACAGCTGCGGGTGCCGCATTACAAGCAAACCTTGGGTGTGAATGGCAGCCTCCGAGGTCTCAAATACGTGCGCCATGGCTGACGGTCTCCCTCAGGAGCGTCGAGCAAACAACGGCCTTCCTTGAAACCACGCCTGTCCGTCAGTCAGTCACTCTTCTTCGAGCGTTTGCATTTTAAGACCTTGCAGCTGCCCGGTTCAAGGTTTATGTTGCAGACATTTTTTTTGCGAATCTACTTTTGGTTCCTCGGGTAATGCTTTATAATGTGACAGATGTCCCTGATGGGTTTACATCGGATAGCTGCCAAAAATAAATAAATAGATAACTAGTTAAATATGTATTTATTTGCATGCAGTGCTAGCCCCCCTAGTTGGACTTTATCCCAGTTATTTTTTTCTCTCGTGGGAAATGGTGGGGATACAAAAGATGCCCATGCTGCCTGTGTATTGCTTGAGTCTTTCCTTCCCCTGGGCTGTTGCAATGTGGGTCTTACTGCAGGTGCTTTGCTAAACACTTTGCTTCTTTTCTAAATTCCTCTTTAAAAAAAAAGCCCCGAGAGAGAGGGGAAAAAAAAATTACTTCCCAAGCTGACGTAGCGATTGTGTGCGAAGAAAGAGCCTTTTGTAGGTGGTTGCTCTGCGTCAATGCGTAGTCGTGCAGAGTGGTGAATGTACGCCGGCTGGATGTACCTTTTTGAGGACTGGAGGAAAAATGAAGTGCTTTGTATTTCACTGGAAGTAGCTGTTTATGTGGGGGTTCAACAGGGCCCTTAAACCCATGCAGGCTGCCCCATTTGTGAACTGAAATAGATATATAATTGAATCTCACATTATGATGCAATGGACCTAATTTCATGATCATTAGGTATCTTGAGCATTGCAGCCTGAAAATGTGAATGCATTGTCCCCTTCATCCTCATGTACCTCACCACTTTATTGGCTTCTTGTTAAATTCTACCCCAATACTGTACATTTGCAGCACTGCCTTCTGATAATATAATAATCCGCATTAAATACAAAACCTAGATAGTAGACGCTGTGGTTGAAATGTTGTTCATTCAAAAACGTTCTTTAAACAGCTATGATGCACTATCTTGGTGCTTAGAATTAAGCTCAAGAGGTATGGGTATAAATCATGTCATCATGATCAGTCAGTCATTCATCCATTATCGAGTCATCAACGTAATTTACCCAGAATAGTTAAGTGGTGAGGTGATGCCATTTGCTGTGCCATCAACCCCGGTTATCTAATGGAAAGACTGGCTTCTCCCATAGCAATATGGAGTTTCCTCCACCAGCTCAGGACTGTCACTGTAGATTAACACCGCCTTCGGCACCTCTGACCACGGACACCTTAAATTATATTGTTCAGTTTAGAAATGTCAATGGCCCAAGTCATCAGCCATCGGCCATGATCTATCCACTGCCGGATGACGTACGCCCTAATCAATGGCCTACATATTCAAAGTAAATCAGAAGCTATATTTCAACTGGAGGAATCTCTGATAAGCTCTTTATAACAGATATCCAGTAACATTCCATTTCTATGATGAATTATGCAAGTTGCTTCAATAAAGCCAACACAACCCTGTCCTTACATGCAGCAAGCCATGCAAAGCATGAAAAAGATAAAAGGGCTGCACTAACTGCTTAAGGGCATAGTTGCCCATTAAGGACACGTGTGCCAGTCTGGAGCCCTTCACTCCGAGGCTCTCGCTTTGTGCACGTATGCCACACTCCATGTGTTTTAACCCCACGTGATAGCCATATCAACATTCATGCCGTGCTTGACAGAGGACAGCCAGCATGTAGCTTTTCTTTGCCAGATATGTTGTATCTGCCATGGCATTCACCCTGATGCTCTGTACACTGCTGCAGTGCTCGGCTCACATCCTTTGCCTGCCTCGCAGCGCAGCAGGGAGCGGTGCTTTTAGTACTGTATTTATGGGTTTCCTTAATAATAACGCTTCTTTATATAGCTAGGTCAGCCCTATGTAATTTATGCTTAATCATAAATATATTATTTTCTAAGGACTGCTTTTGGGAAATTAGTTCAGAGGGGCGACGGGCGCAGTAGAGATATCTCTCTCGATATTTATAGGATTTAATTAATTGAGCATTAAGGTGTAGGAGGGCATTTTACTTTAATTGTGTAATTTTATGGAATTTATAGAGCAATCTAATGGGTGTGGGGATACTTTATTGCTAATTATGGAGGTCCTGTACTTTGTAGTTAAAATGCGATAATTGTAGTGTATTTTAAATAAGAAAGTGATGTTATTACATGCTGGGTAAAATACGTATTTGTTTAAACCCCACATGCATTGCCAGTTGTTTTTTTTGTAGCACTATTCATTTTTACATTTAAATGCATTCACCTGCAACCTTTATTATTGTTTTAATCTAGTATTTTAAGTGTGCTACTCTAACTGTGTTTTATTGTGTCTTCTACCATTTACATTTTTGCTTCTTCACCTGCCGCCTTCGCTGCTGCTGCACCACTTTGGCTCGTGTAGCCACGAGCTCGGCCAAGCTGGAGGACCTCTCCTACTTGGACGAGCAGCGCTGCACTCCGCTCCGCACCTCCATCCGCATGCCGCGGCAGCAAGCAGCCGCCGGTCGGCTTCAGCAGGAGCTGCGAGGTGATGGCATGGGCCAGAAGAGCCCTCCTCTCCCTACCGTCACCCTCATTCATGTTTGTTCCTAAATATTCAGAGGAGCTAACTCTTGAAAAAAAAATTCCCCCCTGAAATATGTCCTCAATTACTTGATCACTAATCCCATGAGTCATCACCCTGCCTTCTCACCACCCAGTTTCTCTTCGAGCTGACCTACAATTAGCATCATTCGACGAGGGCTCACATGTGACCTATGAGCCTATGTGCTACACATTATCATCAGGCAGTGTTTGTGTGGTGTTGACATGGGCACACAGCTGTGTGAATTGCCTCTAGTCGGGTAAACTGTCACGCAAACAAAAATTTTCCCGATGCTCAAATGAGAAACGATGTACTCATTCCTTGTGGGCCCAGTTGGCAAATGCACCACCACTTTTGTTATTAATGAGCACTGTCTTGTAAATGAAAATAAACCTTTGAGTAACCAGGCTGCATTTATAAGTGCTGAAGTTGGTAAGCATTTTCTGCCTCTGCAAACACAGTCCCTGAATTGTATTACCTTTCCTGTCAACAAGAATAAATACCTGCTATATTACATTTAAAAGACAGTCACACTCCATAAGCTATCCGTGCACCGTGCATCTCTGCCTTTCCACACCTCACTGTGTTGGGGTCTCAGATTTGGGTCCGTGTGGCTGTCGGGTTCGGAGTTCATTGCCGTGCTTTCTCCGTCCCTACAGCTCGCTTCTACCCGTTCCAACCACCGGAGGCTGTCCTAAAGCCCCTACTCTTCGAGGTGCCCAGCATCACGGCTGACTCCGTGTTCGTGGGCCGGGACTGGCTCTTTCATGAGGTCGAGGTGGCACTGTGCAGCGCCGACTCGCAGCGTAGCCGCGGGGCCATGGTGGCCGGGGACATCGGCTTCGGAAAGACGGCACTGGTGTCGCGGTTGGTGGCGCTCAGCTCGCATGGCAACCGCATGAGGCAGATCGTGTCGAGCAGTTCCAACCCAGCCCCCAGGGGTGAGTGTGGGCCAAACCCCGCAGCGCCTGCCCAGGCAGCAGTGGCGATTTGCGACTTTGCTTTTGGAGACGTGACGGCCTTTGTCTCGGCAATGTGTGCAGGTGCTTCATTTGAATAATGAGAATGCAGAGGAAGTGGCGACATCTGAGCTTCCTTCACAGGATGGGAGGATGAAATCCATGCAGCTTCCTGCAAAAGAGCCGGTCTGGCTAGGACCCAGCTCTAGTGCTTTGTTGTCTTCATATAAATGTGTTTGTTCCGTCTTGCATTTATCAATAAATCACCTGCACGTGTCGTCTGAAACTGGGAAAGTCGAGTTGGAGATGCCAGTCCCTTCAAACCAGAGCCACTGCTGCAAATAAAGCTGCCTTGTCTTTTGGATTGTACGTGCAAAATGTCACGATATTATTTTGCCGTTTTCCAAAGGTTTTTGCTTCTGCAATAGGTGTTTAATTCTAATTTGTTTTTCTTGATAATAAGCTTGGGGGCCCAAAAGTGGATATAGATGCCGAGCCTGCTAAGCATTCATGTGATATATTGTTGTAGTGGCAGTTTAATTTGCTTACAAAGCCCACCCTTGCAAGATTGTAAAGTTCCTCTATTTAATACTCTGTATTTTTGAGAGTGCAAAAACACAACAGAGAATTAAAAGAAATGTAATATATTTGCTGGGGGGTTATGCTACAGGCTCAGAATAGATGGGTGTTGGTGTTCACTATATTTCGTACACTGGCTAAAGCTGTCTACATGTGTTTTCAAATATCGAATTCAAGAATAATGAAAAATATGTTGCAAAAAAGCCACATTTGTTTCCATAATTTTGACGAAATAGAAGCAGGTAAGTATGAGATGATTAATTAATTCATTGCTCAAAGGTGAGTGTTATGTTAATAATATGCACATCAAATCATGCATATCAGAATCGATTACTAAAGGAATGTAAATTATATGCAAAATATAAGCTGATATTACCTTCAGGCTAATGGAGTGGATAAACCTTTTATAAAAGAGAATACAAATGAAACAGCAAAAATGTAAAGTCCCTTGATTAAAATCGCGGCCAGCAATAGTGACAAACTGTTGAGCAACACGCGCATTGTAGCGAGCGCTGCGGATTTTTAGGATAATAACCCCGGGGACAGGTTAAGGGCCCCGCCAGTGGCTTGGCGCTCATCTCCAGCTTGCTCTGCTTGCGCTGGTGTCTGCGAGCAGGTGCCGACTCCCTGCAGGAGCTGTCCCTCACCTACACGCCACAGCCCAGCCCTCACAGCAGCAGCAGCAGTGCCAGCCTGGTCAGCACGGGCAGCTGCCCAAGCACCCCTGAGCTACGGAGGCTGCGCGAAGGAGCTGTGACTCGTCTGGCCGCGCGGGTAACCCCCTCGCACCCGAACAGCCGCTACTTCCATCACTTATTCAACTCAAGGCTTTTGGGATTGAACGGTTAAAGGTTTCGCTAAAGTTTTCTTAAGGATTTAAATGCCTACCGCCCAAGGTTGGAACACAATCTGGATGCATTGTGGTGGTGGTGGTGGTAACGAACACCCGTTAACAGCGACTTGGAAGCGTTGGTGGATCACGCAGGAGGCTATAATGTGTGCTTGCTTGGCAAACATGTTGCTGTTGTGTATAAGCAGTAGTGCAAATAGATTGTGCAGCTTGACTGTTCTCCGCAGACGTATGTATGTTTTCTGTGCGCACTCAGATTTTCTCCCACATGAAAAATGTCCCTTTTATGAATTGGTTAATGTCTTAGGCAGAATCCTCCTAATAAAGAGTAGTGACACTCAGTGTTGCTTTGGTGGGTAAAGGGTAGAATGTAAAAATGCATATCATCTCATTTGTATTGATGCAGAACAAAGATGCACCAACTGGATGAAATCCAACAATAACAGGTGTCCAGTCTGATAATAATTTTGGCCCATGCACAGCAACAACAGTGATGGATTATTTACGTACAGAGAGAAGCCTTGAAGCAAGTCTGTTTATACACCGGCAATGATAATTAGCTGGTGTTGGAATAGATGGTGTGCTTACTTTGTGGGCTCTTGGGTTTCGGTGTTAAAAAACAGCCTTGGCCTCCGATAATGTTTTGTGCGTATAGTGTTCAAAATATTTGTCGCCTTATCGACTGAGAATACAAGCGTAGAGCTATCTTGAGCAAGATTTTTTTTAATTACCAGCCTTCACAATTTGAACTTTGCCCAGTGCGTGCCAGTTTGTTTATGCTTGTAATGAGCATGTCAATCGGTTTCTTAAAGTTGTAATTGTCTCACAGCAAGATTTATAATGCTTTCTGTCCGGCTGGGTAGGGCCATGGCATTAGTGCTTGTCTGGCAGTCAGATATTTAATGACTTCAATTTCGGAGCAGGGGTCAACTCAGGCCATTAACCATCCATTTCAAAAAAATTGTACCACACTGTGAGAAAGTAACTATGGTCATGTACTGTCATCAAGTTAGATTCGTTTCAGCTTACATTCACTCGGAGCTCAGGGAGGTTACTATGCACTACCGAAAGGTAATACATAAGTGTTTTACAGCCCTTTTCTCAACCCGTTCCTGGATTCAATTCCTAAAATTCTCCTTATGCAGTGTCAGTCATGGAAGTTAGTTGTTGGCCGTACTTCACCACGCTTGTTATTGCGGGTGGATAGCACTTGCAGCTGATGTTAGCCACGGTCAGGAATCCAACTCAAGTGACTGGGCTCAAAACATAGTGCGCTCACCGCCGCGTCACTAGCTTCAAACAAATAAAGGTGCAGCCCTGAGGTTTCTTGTCCACGCCCCTGTTGGCAGAACGTACTCCACTAGAGCGAGAGCCAGAGAACCACCTTTAGAGGTTATTTTCCTACCCATCCACGACGGCTAGAGGTCTTGGAAGAGGTGGGAGTAACCCAGACTTTATCCCACCTCATGTAACCTCCCGAAAGACTAATTGTGGTGTACTCATTTATATACCCCTGGGTGGATAGAGGTGGCGGTGATTTAACAAACTCGCCCGTTGCGTTAATTTCCGGGAGCCGCCCTGTTTATAAAGCTGTCCGCTGTTGTTTTGCGTGATGTGTCTTTCAAAGGTGGTGTCCTACCACTACTGCCAGGCTGACAACGCCTACACCTGCCTGGTGCCCGAGTTTGTACACAGCACGGCGGCGCTGCTGTGCCGCTCGCCGCAGCTGCCCGCGTACCGCGAGCTGCTCATGCGGGAGCCGCACGCGCTGCCCGTGCTCAGCCTGCGCTCGTGCGTGCAGGACCCAGCCGCCGCCTTCCGTCGCGGAATCCTCGAGCCGCTCTCCACCCTGCGCAGAGGTCGTGCCCCTTGACTTAACCCCTCCCTGCACCCGGCAGGCACGCGTGGTCGTCAGCCCGGGAACGGGAAATAACAGTTGGGACATCGCCACCCTGGGAGGTCCCGTATTCTGTGCGGCTTGGACATGTGATGTGTTTGGGGCTCCAACACTGTCAAGATGATGTTTTATGGAGAAGGCAAATTATTGTTTAACTGAAATGGGCTTTCTCCCTGTACAAGTACCAATCTGGATCATAGTCAGGACTCCTGCCCTTCCACAATACAGGATTAGAACGCACGTGAGAATTTCTTGTTCTGCTCTAATCACACACTAATCTCACTGAGCTGCCACGTGGCGCGCGTGCAAATGCTTAATGTGGATTTGCATGATTTATGCGAGGACACTTCCGGTTTGTTGTCCAGGCTCTGAAAAGCCCGGCTGCGAGACTTAATTCTCTACTTTGTATTCCAAGCCAGTGTGCGAGAGATAATTCTTCTTCAGGCTGCAGGCTGCGTGTGGCTGCCGTGGTGCTTTTACGGGTTAGCGTTATAGGACCGTTGCCTAGCAGCCCGTGACAGGGTTAGGGATGTCTCGTGGTGATTCGAGGTTGTTATGGTAAAAGTTGGTGATAAAGGCCCGACGCCATCCTTGACACCAATGCTGTGACCCCCTTCACCCCCTAGCATGCCTCTTGGCCCAAGGCAGGGAGAAGGAAAATCTGCTGAACGTTTATATGTGTTGCTTAGCGGGCTCTTTTAAAGCAAATATGCCGCTCGGTGCGCCTTCGATGGTTGTATAGAATTGCAGAGGCATTAAATAGTACAGTAGAGTATGTTAATACATACTATGTTATTGTGTTCATAAACATTAAACTCAAGATAATATTTCCACTACCAGACGATCATTACTTAGAATGATTGTTGTTATTTTATGAAGAAATGTTTGCATCGATTAAGCCACAAACTTTGTGAGACATTCATAGTCTGCAGTCAAATCATTTTACTGTCCAGTTGAGTAATAATGAAATACACCAATGATTAACGATGCTATAATGTAATGAATTCAATAACACCGCAACCATGATTAATAATGCCAATTAATGTCTAATTGGACTGGTGGTAAATAAAGCCATATCCATAAGTTGAGGTACAAATCACATTTTTTTTACTTTTCCAGAACCCCGGGTGCAAGTGAACGATGCTAAAGAGGCCTTAAACCGGTGTCCCCTGATTCTGTTGCTTGTTGATTTCCCCCGAGAGGTGTTGGCGTAGTTTCTTAGGTCATATTTGCAGCAGTCTTTTGCAGCTACGCAGATAGCTGAGGAGAAGAGTGTGTGTAACACTCAAGAGACGTTGTTCAAACGTAATTTTGACTCGTTTATGAAAGACACATGATCTATCGTGGAGCATCACGGTGAATCGCGAGGCACCAAGGCCCACAACCAAGGTTTCTGTCATTCGATCGGGATGCAATTAATTTAAACAAACAACGAACATTTAATTTGCTACGTGTCCGTTTTATGTAACGTGAAAGGAGCGATGAATCACACATGTGAATGTGAGAAACGATTTTGTAGCTGTGTTTTATTTGGCTCTCTTCCCTCCTTAACGCCGCCTCAGGACAAAGTGAAGGGGGGTGGACAGGTAGCGACGAGGGAGCTCGGTGATACTCGGGCACTCACGTCTCATGACCGTGCCCGCTGGTGATTACAGAGAGGAGAATCCCGGAGGAAAACTTCATAATCCTGATCGATGGCCTGAACGAAGCAGAGTTCCACAAGCCTGACTATGGAGACACCATCACCTCCTTCCTTGCCAAGATGTTGCCGCGGTTCCCGTTCTGGCTCAAGCTGGTGGTGACCGTGCGCTCCAAGCTGCAGGTGACGGGGGACGCGGTCAGGGGGTGCGTGGAACGGGCGCCATCACCACGGGAAGGCTCCAAGACGCACCGAGACATGTCGTGCTGTTTTGGTTTTCTCAGAGATAGTCCAGCGACCTAATCCTGTAAACAAATATTGGTGAAAATGTTGAATTCACTGCAGAAATGTAAACAGGATTTTTTTTCCTATCAAAGGGAAAAAAAAAAGATCTTGACGTTTCAATCAACTTGCATTCCGGATATTAAGCAATGCAATATAAGCGCTCGATTAAAAAGTGAAAATATCACTAAGTACTGTTAAAACAGATATGTGTATCTGGTATTTACTTGTGATTGGAATGACCTGTGTTATCAGATAGGAATGTGTTGGCTGCGGTGTGGACGTTAGGAATAGAGGCATAGAACGCCTCGGTGCTAATTCACACGGCGCTCAAGCCCTGTGGGAAGTTAATATTAGGCTTCAGATATGCACTTTGGCTGCTGTTATTCTTGGAAAAGCATTCATAAATGCAAAGTGCATATTTTTCCATCTAAATTTGGTTGCAGATGTTCTGTTAGTAGCAGTCTGGTGTGGTGTTTTTCTCCACTTATTTTCGAATGATAGCCTATAAAATAATGGTAACTAAAAAAATGTGTATAAAGCATTTGCGAGTTTAATTTTAGGAGCATTTTAATTACATTTGTGTGTACGTATGCAATGGCGGAGCCAGGATTTTCAGGTAGGGGGGGCAACCCCTCCAGCAATGGGAAATGATAGGAGTTGTTAGTAAGTAAGGACTTGTGTGCGGCGATGGCACAGCCATCGGTCGAGGGTCGAATTTGAACCGTGTATGATCGGCATCGCGCTCGCTGAAGGTGAATGCCTTCAGGGAAGTCGTGTACTGTATACGCAACTGCGCACAATTCTGTGAGTCACTTATAACTGCTTTGCCGTTACGTATTGACAATTATGGACTCGGACTATTGTCCTATCATCTCATAGAGTCCCTGGCACGTAATAATATGCTACACAGTGGCAGTGGGGGTCGCAAAATGCCGATTTATTACTTATATACCCCAATGATCCGATAGAAATTAGGGATTTCGATCGGATCATTGGGGGGGCACATGCCACCCCACCCACTGGTTCCGCCAGTGTACGTATGACTTTATTAAATCGGATGAATTTATTTGATGTAATTTTGCTGGCTAATCAGTTTCCTTACAATTCTGTAGGGGGTTATAATCATTGTAGCCCAACTAATGCGGTTATTTTTAAAGCTATCATAGTGTGGAACGAGAGCAATGTGTTAATTAAGTGGCAGACACCCCATCTGAATTGAGAAGCGGTCACAGATGACAGATACAAAAAATGTACGGTTACTTTTTCACATTCTAACGACTAGAAATTTGTCTTACACCATTATTTTATATGTTCTGCAATCAGATACTTTTCAACTTCACGTTTAAAGTTTATGTTTTACGTAACATTTTCAGCAAACCATAATGAGAGTAGTCGCTGCAGTCTAAAGGGCCTGACTCTTGACTGGAGTTTATCCAATTTTGTGTTTTACTTGCTGTGCTTTGTTGGCTTCCACCGACAGTGATTTGTTTCCATGTGTTCAACGTGGGGAAAGGCTGCTGTCCGAACTGGTCCAGTCAGCTGCCGTTAGAGACACCGCTTAGCAGCGCAAATGAGTGCCCTTTACCTAAAGCGTGATTAATCTCCCCTTGAAGTGGGATGGCGAGCTACTCTGTAAAACCTTCCCTCCATCTAATAGCACTTGCTTTCAAGGTGACCTTCATTTACATGACCAGCATTTGGCAGAGCATTCGTAAATTCAAAGGGCTCCTTGTTGTAGACGTAATGAAGATTTGGGAGCATTCACGCCAATTAAATATTACATTCTGATGGGCATGTACCTATCCGCCTGTCCTATGTTGCACTCCCTTCGTCGCGCTGCAAATTCTAATTACTGTTCACCCACCTACTTTGCCTTTCTCGTGTTATCCCTCCCTCCTTTCCACTCATCGCCACCTCTTTATTTATTGACCCCATCCCTCCTCCTCTACCTTCAGGCCATTGTGGAAGCTTTTCCATTCCACACAGTATCCTTGGATGGCTTTGGGGAGCGGGAGGAGATTTCCGCAGACCTGCAGGCCTACGTGTCGTCTCGCGTTCAGAGCAGCTGTGAGATCCAGCAGAACGTGTCTCTGGGCACGGGGCGTCTGGACACCATCGCTCTAGGCCGCCTCGGGGGCCACCTGTGCTCGCTCAGCCGTGGCTCCTTCCTCTACCTCCGCCTCACCCTCGACCTCATCGAGCGGGGTCACCTCGTGCTCAAGAGCTCCAGCTACAAGGTCGGCTGCAGGGTCAGCTGATGGGTTCACTTTTGGCCATGCTGACGCTTCACCGGGCATGTAGCGATCCGCGTCCCCCCACCTCCCCAACTCGTCGTGAGCAAATGATTGTGATTCCGTTGAAGAATCAATAAAAAAAAATTATGTTGTGATGAATGAGGTGGCCTTTAGAGGCTCCAATGCCCACGTTAAAGATTTATACAGAACATTTCTGAATTTAACATCGGGTATTCTCGCACGCACAATGCTCTTCTGCGTGTGTTGTGAGAGCCTAAGGGTAGATTTTTGTGTTATATGCCTATATTTGCCTACTTTTGAGAATACACTTGTTTTAGTATTCAGCTATATCTTCATTTATTACCAGGTGAGAGCAATTTGAGATACTTTGTTCAAATGCAGTTGCAAAAATAGATACAGAAGAAAGAAAATACAGGACAGTGAAAAAAGATGTATATAAAATGCCAAAAAATAAACCCTTATTCAAGGCAACTATTAATAAGTGTGCCTTTCCTATAATCAAATGAATAACTATGATAAAGAGCTTCCATTGAATATTTGTATTTAATAATTTCAGGAGGCAGTACAGCAAATAATCACGAGCTCTGCATGTTGGTTTTCTCTGGGCGTTTGTGTAAATATAAATGGCAAGGTTAGTACGAAACATCTCAGACAGCTACGTACCTGGGGGAAATACAACAGGTGGACAAGAGAACAAAAACTACTCATCAATAAATAAACTTAAATAGAAATAGGAAGCAGTTTGACGACGAGTATATTAAGAATCCAGCGATTTGCACGCTCGATGATAGCGGAGCTCGCTGCTGTTGCTGCTGCTTCCGCTGTTGCTGCTGCTGTTGCTGCTGCTGATGTTGCTGATGCTTCTGCCACCATCGTCTTGCAGGTGGTGCCGGTGTCACTGGCCGAGCTCTACCTGCTGCAATGCAACATGCGCTTCCCCACGACGTCCGCCTTCGAGCGTGTGCTGCCGCTGCTCAATGTGGCGCTGGCCTCGCTGCACCCGCTCACGGACGAGCAGACATTCCGCGCCGTGGCGGCTGGTTGGGTGGCACCGCGTGCGACGGCGTCGTCGGGCAGGTCGCGAAGGGCTGGCAGCGAGTTGGACGAGGTGGCACCGGCTGATGAACGCCGGCAGGACGCGCATGCGGCGGCGGTGGCGGGGATGGCGCCACCGCTCTCCTGGGAGGATTTCCAGGCGCGGATGGAGATGCTGTCGGCGTTCCTGGTGCGGCGGCGCGACGGCACGCGCATGTTCTGTCACCCGTCCTTCCGGGAGTGGCTCACCTGGAGGGCAGGGGAGGGGCAGAGCACCAAGTTTCTTTGTGACCCGAGGTAAGCAATAAAACGGTCGAGTACAATAGTCGCATTGTATCTTGTAGGTGGCCACCTATGAAAAGCAGGCTTACCGTAAGTGTTCTTGGGTCTTTCGGTAAAGTCACGTAGATAGGTTCAAAGAAAATAACAACAGCGGTCGTATTCAGGACGACGACTGCTTGTGTTTTGCGATCGAAATGTCGTAGTTGTTTGTTATTTTTTGTTATTTTCTTTGAATCTATCTATGAGACTTTACCAAATGACCCAAGAATTTGAATTCCTGCAGTTACGAAAGCTTTAAGTCAAGATTTATCGTAAGTACTGTACTAAAATCTACTTTTAAAATGTAGGGGGTTGGGAGGGGGAATTTGCTCTTTTCCTGTGATACAAAGGGTTAAAGCATTCTTCAGGGCATTAATATTTGGATTTGTGTTTGCAATTGTAAATGTCTTGTGTTTTACTAGAGATTTGAGTGAAAAAGCTTTTGTGATTAACTGCAGCTCGGTGATAAATTGAATGAACAAGGGAGTGATTTTTCACTGCTTGTCAAATGCAAATCAAAAGTTTGGCAGGAAATGCTTTTGAAGTTTTTCCAAAATAATATTTGATTGCCAGTAGAGCATGAGCATTCTCCCTTCTCATGACTGATTGCCAAGCTCCAGACTTGTACGAGCAGGAAACGCAGGATTAGGCCGGTGCTCTTCTGCGTTCACTCGGGAACCTTTCCTATCACATGCTGTGCTGTTGTCCATGGTTAGGCTCTTTTTAATGTGGGGAACAAAGGGTCCGTTTCGATCAAGTTGCGCAAGTAACTGCATTGGCAGTGGTTTCCTGACATGTGACCAAACAACAAATTACTGAAAGGATATAAAAAAAAACCTCATCACTGTTAAGCGTTGACAACGATGATGGCAGCAGCAGCAGTGAGGCTCTTTGCACATTTTTATTGTTTGGACAAATGTCATTGGCTCAAACAGGCAAATTAAAGATTCCTGCATAGGCTTATGTTTCCTTACAAAGGCGAGTGGGACAGACAGGCTTTAAATGTGTGTGTCTGTGAAAACAATCTTGAGGAGCAGAGGTGCCCCTTCCCCCGACCCCCCACTGCCGCTCCCCCGAGGCAAAGCCTAATTTGGAGCTTCGCGCATCCTCTTTCATGTGCTCAGAAACAATTCTAGGCATGTGGATATCTGATGGCTGCGGTGAACTGACACCAGACAAACGCGGCCAACTCTAACGCGGATCTGGTTTGGCTTTGCAGTCAAAACACGCAGGAAGCCAGATGTACACTTTGCATACCAGCATGGATGACCATGGCCGATAAAGGACGAGGCTTTGCGTACTTTGGGCTCCCACGTGCCGGCACGCTGCTGACTTGTGTGCACCTGTGATGAGCATTGTCCAATGCAATGTCCAATGCGAAGGCATGTTACCTTTTGAAGGGGTTCAAACATCACACTGCGTTACCGCAAAAGACCCACCACGAGGCAGATGGCCAGTGATGGGGGGACATTCACACAATTGTATCTGCTCATGGGGCCAATGTATGAGGACACATGATATGCTAAATAATGAAAGTGCTCAAATCCCAGTACTTTACCCTTTTCCTTATTGTAATTGTGGAGGATATTTGTTATAAATAAATCCCTTTGGCTTGTCTGTTGGCTTAGATGCTGGCCTCGATAGGCTTTGGTCTGTCATGCTGGTGACTTTTAACATATTGTCAGTTTACATAACTTTCAAGGTGGGTAGTTTCATTAAAAATATAAACACAGAGTATGCAAATTCAAAACACAAATATCTTCACATCTGATATATAAAAGAGTGAGTTATCTGTAATTAAACATTTCCTCTTTGATATAGCTTGTTTCTCATCGCCCTCAAAGCGTGCAGTGAATGCTGCAGTAGAATTAACTCCTAAGCTGGCGACGAGGCCAGAAAAATGGATTTGACTTTCAGAGCGAGGACATTAATGGTAGACCATATTGTGTGGTATTTCGAGTGGGGGCCAATGGCTTTGCCCGAATGCAGCTTCACAGCTATTACAGTTGCCAGCACCACACGGGCAGTCTCTTGGCCACTGCGGTTGTCAAGTCCCCAGCAAATCTTTCCTTGACATTTGCAGGCAAGGGTCTCTGGCAAGCGGTACGCGTCTTTGTCCTTCCTTGCCATTTACACCCGCTCAAGTATAATCTGGAGGTTGCCTCACAACCCCAGTCGAGTTAATTCTGAGTTGGACCAAGTGGCCCTTTTAAGGGAAAGAGTTTTGTTTGTGTTTGGCAATCGATGGACGAGTACACCCAACTTGCATGGATTTTTTTGGGCGTCGCTAATTGGGCTGAAAATATCACTGCACGTTGGCAATTGCGTGCTCGCCGCCCGTAAAACTGTGTGCTCTTTGCTTTACTTCTGCAGTGTTGAACCAAAAAAGGAAATGTTGACGACTGTTACAAATGCTTTGTTTGTTTCTTTAAAAAAAAAAGAATGTGCCTGTGTGAGCACAATGCATTAAATCATGAATCCTCCTGTATAGTGCAGCTCCATCAGTTTATTTATTGTCTATTGTGTGGCATAAGCATTGCCAAGCTCTGGTGTAGAGCGCACTCCAACGCAGAAGCTCAAAACGCAATGTGGTAAGCACATGCGTCCGAGTTGTTACAATCGTGTTGAGAAGTTATTGAAGAGAACTAGGCACACACAGACATACACACATAGCAAGATTAATGATGGAATTGTAATTGCTGGGCAATTAATGTTATTAAACTGCAAGAAAGAAGTCATAAGTAGGTCGTATGCATAGAGCAGCACAGTTTGACTTGAGCCTGCCAACAATGTCAGACACTGGCTATTAAACGATATTGGAAACAGTGTAACTGGGCTGGATGCTGAATCCTCTGAAAGTGGAAACACATGCTGTGATTAATGATCCGTTGATAGCTGTAAAAAAAAATTACATCACTTTTGGTGCCCGCCTCGTTAGATGTTGTAAAGTTCTGCTCGCTGAGTACAAAAAAAAGCATGCCACTGATTACCTGCTCGAGTTATAACGAAGGTCTTGTTCAGATGTGTCTCTTGAAGTTTCACCTCCTGCGTTGAGGTTAATTGCTGGAAATGTTCCTTTTAATTGGACATCTGGAACACTTTACTGAGGAAGGCGGTGTGAGCCGTTTATTTTCTAGTGGGTAGTGTTAATGTGTTGCTCGGTAAATAACGTTAGGTCTCTTTTGAAGAACACTGGAACATTTATGCCTAAATCTTAAATCTGAATTCCCAACTGCCTGCGCTATGCATTTATTTAAAGATTTGGAGGAAATTATGATCCTTCAGTATTATACTTTTTCAAATGCTCATTTGAAAAAAAAGGATATTTATAGGCTTGCTTTTGTAGCTACATGAAGGCACTGTACATAATTTTCTTCAAACCCATTCTTTACATTTTAAACAGAAACACCTTTGGAAATGCGAGACATGGTTTACTTGGCATTGATCCCATTTTCAGTGATTTGCAGGTGTACACCCTGATGCTTGTGCTGTCAGTATTGAGATACCCATCTATAAACTAAACCTAGAAATGAATGGAAAATCCACCCAAGGTCAGTCATGTGCATCAAAAAAGAATGACAAAAGGAAGCTGGTATAGTGACAATCGGCACCTGACTTGTACAACTGTTGGAATGGGTCTCTCCTTGTAGTTGGGGAATGTTGTTTGTGGGGCGGGGATGGGGGGGGAGCGTGTTGACTCTGGCGGAGCGGGTGATGACGGAGTGCGATGTGGGTTTGTGCAGGAGTGGACATGCGCTGCTGGCCTTCCTCTTCTCGCGCCAAGACGGCAAGCTGAACCGACAGCAGACCATCGAGCTGGGCCACCACATTCTGAAGGCACGAATCTACAAGGTGAAATGTCAATGGGCATTCACCCACGTGCCACGTGCACACACAAAGACACAAGTTCCCTGTGTAGACGTGGCTGTCGACAGAGGTCGCAAACGGGTTTTGATTCCTTACCCGTACCCGGCCGCACCAGGGTCGCAAACGGGTACCCGTACCCTAACCGATACCCGGCTACCCGTACCCGGCCGGGTATCGGGTAGGGTACGGGTATCGGGTACCCGATTGCGACCTCTGGGATGAAGCCATGTTGCAGGCGCGGGTGGGTTGATTCTAGGAACTTGAATTGTGAGAAGAGACAAGACGTTGGGAAATGAGTGACAAACAGTTACTCACCAGTGACTCACGGCCTACCCGTACCCGTACGCACCAGGGTCGCAAACGGGTACCCGTACCTGTACCCGGCCGGGTACGGGTAGCCAGGTATCGGGTAGGGTACGGGTATCGGGTACCCGATTGCGACCTCTGGCTGTCGGTGAGCACATATTAAGACCGGCATGGGACATGATGGGGTGGTGTGGCGTGACCAGAACCACGCCCGACCATCTTTGTCTCCCCAATTCTGATGTTTACACCCCCATACAAGGTACTCATTTGAGTTCACCTCGGGGGATACCCAGGGCCAGTTAAGATATTACTCTTGCATTACTATGAGGGTTATAATGCAGTGCATTAACCACTTTGCTACAACTCCTTCTGAAACACACCATGATGTCAGTCCTACATCACTAAAAAGAGAATCCAATAACTAATTGAATGTTGGCAGGAGATTTGGAAGATTTTCCAAATTAATTAACGACAACAAATGAGCGTTTCATTTGATCCACACACTTCCTTTTTCTGGCTATGGCCACATGGCAGTTTGATGCGAAATTTCTTGTTTTTACCCCTCATCACCCAACAAGATTGTCTCGTTTACAAACATTATTTATACATGGCCAATATATGGATACATTCTGACTGATAAAGCTCCTCCTTAAGACTTTGCGTGGCTGAATTAAACGTTAATGTATGACCACGTTTTGCTCAAACTGCGTTGATCTGCATCAGGTAGTGAGCTCGAAAATAAAGTGCTGCAGTTGCCCACCACAAATGGTATTTTTATCGATTTTGCTCTGGCATTAATCTTATTTATTATGTTAAACATTGCCGACAAACATCATCTGTGTGTCACCATCAAAATCGGTGTCATCATTTGATGCTGGTCTGTGGCCAAGAAGCCTTGAACACGACACGCCCAGCTCCAGGGGTGATATTTACACTTGGAGTTATCCCACCACCTGCGCAGCTGCTCAGCTCACCGCGCCTCTTCAATGCAGGCTTCCACATTTACGGTGCTCAAAGCAGAGCTACGGGAAGCTGTGATTAAGTGCAACACTTTGCATGAAAAGGATTCTTTGTAGATTTCCTTTTTTTCTCTCTTTCTTGAATGTTAGAATCAAAACACGAGCCTGGAAAGGCCATCCAGTTTAAATAAACCCCTGAGTCTGTTGGGATTGCTATCAGCCGTTAAGTTTGAGTTTTAAGAAAACGTAAATCTTGCTGACTTTCCGGTGTTCACGTTATTATTCTCTGGCAGCAGCTGGATAACCATCGGGTTCTATCCCATGCAGACCCATCGGCGGTCACATTCTCACACTGTGTGCAGCTGTGTGCAGCTGTGTGCATTGCACTCGCAGACATTTGTTTCTATGCTTTGCGCAGGGCTTAAGCAAGCGGCTGGGCGTATCCTCATCAGTGCTGCAGGCGCTGTGGGTGGCGTTCAGCACGGACGGGCTCTCGACGGCGCTTGCCTCTTTGCGCAATCTGTACACACCCAATGTGAAGGTAATAGCTGCCATTGCCATGTCATCAGGGCCCCTGGGTTCAGTTGACGATCACAGCAGCTGTCAAAAGTTTTTTATTGTGACTACATTTGTTTACCAAATAAAGCTTCACTGAGTCACATAACTCTTTCTTTGGAGGATCCTGCCAATTTTTTGCGGTCGGGGATGATGTTTGCTGCATATGATAAGAATTTAGTAAGTTGAGTCACTTGTGGGTAATTTGGCAAATTTGGACCAGGACATCTGCACATGCTTGCAAATAACATCCTGGATCTTTAATGTCCACTGAAGTAGCTGACAAGTATTGTTCTGGTTAATACAACTGCTTTATTAATTGGGGTGGTCGCTGGATTCGAACCGTGCACCTGTGCAGCAAGCGGCAACTCGATTACACTGGGAGGTGTCACCAATCCATATGACGGGCGTGACTGGGGGCAGGGGAAGATGAGGTTGCATTTCAGTGAGATGTCTATGAAATCTAGACATTTGTTATGGTGATACTCGGTTGACAGTGGTACACAAACACAAATAACAAAAATGTGCCATGAAGAAGGAACATTGCCCAAAATTTTAGGTTATTATATATTTTTCATTTTCAGGCGGTGTTGTTGACCAATGTGAGTTTTTTCATGATACCTAGAGATATATTTTATGGCTGTCTTTTTGAGAGGCTGCAGGAAGTTGAATGAACAAATCTTGTCTTTTCAAAATGTTGCTGGTGTTGACAATATTGGTGAATTGATTTTTTAAAAAACCTATGTTTGTATATAGACCAATTCTATGTGTTTTTTGTACAGAATGAGCAAAACGGGTTTCATTTTGAGAGATTCCCTTATTGAACCCAAGGTCAGACTTTTCAATGTCTTGGCATTTGGTAAATAAAAAACTATCTTTTATGAATGGGTTTTCAGTTGAACTCTAGAATCTCAGGTCAAAGGGCAATGCTTTATCTTATCAGATCTCTTGGCAGCAGGAAGTAGCTGTATAACCTGCTGCCGTTTGTACAGACTGTCTTGTTTTTTTATAAATAAAAAACATGGGTTCCATGGTAACATTACCAAACTGTCAGTTAGGTAGCTGACCGCTTTCCCCTTAAAGGATGCAATGGACTGACTGATCATTCATTGTGTGAAGACTTTTCCTGTGTGCTTTGGGCTATATCTCATAACCCGGTTCTTGCTGATATTTGTTCAGCAGGACTGCATTCTCTTCGTACAAAAGCAAGGTGCTTTAATACTCTTTGACGGCAAGTGTGCCGAGAAAAAATTCTTTAGTGGCTCCCCTATTCTTGGCCGCAAACAAAGCGTGTTTGTAGTGGCCCTTAAGTGACTTCTGGTACTTGTGTTTTGCGCGCTGGTTTGGTTTTCGTTGTACCCACCTCCGTACAGGTCAGTCGGCTGTTGATCCAGGCAGGCGCAGACGTGAACCACCGTACAGAGGCGCTGGGCAACGCACCCATCCTGTGCGTTTACTCGCACCTCGGTTATCAGGTGAGCAGCAGCGCCTGCAGAGGCGGCAACGTATGGCATCCCACTTTGATCAGCTCTGCATTCATTCAGCTATTGTTGTTACCAAAAGGCAGCTCATATGTTCTCCGGCGATTTCTTCCCATTCAAATTTCCTCCTCGCTCAATCCTACTTGGAGTGCGTACAATCTAATAATGTTATCTGCACTGAATCTCTGTTGTGCATTATCACTGCCACAAAGGGATAGTTTTGCATTGTGTGTGTTGTATATAGAAGTGATTACAAACTGGAGTCGATGGGGAAGAAGGGAAGGCAGCGCATTTAACTTCTGTGAGAGCCACTCTCTGACGGGCACTTGAGAGTTGACCAATAATCATTCTCGGCTTGCTATCAACCTCATGGACTCAAACACACGCTCACGAGGAGGAAATATGAAGCTCAATTAATTTTATAATTCGCTGTGTCTACCTGACATTAAAGTTCAGGCTCAATCACAAAACATTCCATGAATCTGTGAAGGATGTTCATTGCTTCCAAAAAATTCATTTTTTTTTCTCCAATTAGTTGTTTTTACCTCTTTTGAAAATGGATGGTAGTATTGAAGGACCCTGCTTTGCAAATTGAGAGAGCCTGCAGGGAGCTTATGGATAATAAATGCACGGTAACTTCACATTAGTCTCATTTTATGTAAATGTGTCTGAATACATTTACAAATATAATAAAATCTTACGTTGGTATGAAAGCCTGAAGCCTTTATTTGTGCATGCATCCCCACTGCAAAAGAGGCATATCTACATTTTCAGCTTGGAATTAGGTATTGAGCGGCACACCGCTGCGGCACGTGCGTGCCGGATGGAAACGTGGCCGGTTAACGAGCCAAGCAATTTACTGTTCGTCTGTCGCAGGATATGGAGAGCGTTCTCCTGGAGATGGGCGCCGACCCCAACCTGGCCTCGGAGAGTGGAATGTCTGCGCTCTGTTACGCTGCTTCCAGCGGACACCTGGGCATCGTCAGAATGCTCACGAGGAAAGGAGCCAAGGTGAGGGGACGGCACATGCGCGCGCGTAATTGCGAACGGTACACTGGTGCGGCTAGTTATCGTAGCGCATGATATACGGTCATGTGCATTGCCCTTGAATTTTCCTCGGTGAGATTTTATCGGGAATTCACGCCGTTTGTGTGATAAAACATTCATGAAACCTTGTGGCGGTGTATATATTGCATTGTGCATGGTTTGTGTTTGCGTGTAAATTATGAGGACCTTTCACGCATTTGTTTGGATCGGTTCTTTTTAGAAACAAGGGCATCCTTTATTTTGAACGCTTTCTTCCTTTGCCGCAGTGGTAACAGTCGGCTTTTTTGGTTAATCACTGAACCACTTAAGAGCCCATTGAAATAGTGAACTGCAGTTAGTTAGAACTTGTAATTCATTGAAAATCGGCCAAACTTTAAAAATACTTGTAGACAATCAATGTATCACCCCAAATGTATTATCAGAAAAAGTGGTTCATATCCATTCATGAATGACAGGTCCAATGAGTCTCTTTCACAAGAAAGCTGTGTGTTAAAATTAACACCAAAAAAAATAATAAAAATGTGCTTGCAGACCACTACAGTTTAATATTGCATGAATGAAACAGCACAAATATAGTACAGCACAGTTTAATTTCGTGTACATGAAACGCTTCATTCCCCTTGTGATTAAATTAATTTATATTGTGGTCATTCCGTTAAATCTGGGGTCCCCAACCCCCAGGCTGTGGACCGGTACCGGTCCGTGGCCTGTTAGGAACCGGGCCGCACAGCAGGAGGTGAGTGGTGGGTGAGCGAGCGAAGCTTCATCATCTGTATTTACAGCCGCTCCCCATCGCTCGCATTACTGTCTGAGCTCCGCCTTCTGTCAGATCAGCCGCGGCATTCGATTCTCATAGGAGTGCGAACCCTACTGTAAACTGCGCATGCGAGGGATGTAGGTTGTGCGCTCCTTATGAGAAGTCAGAATCCGACACTTATTTTAGTCCACGCGTGGCTTGCCCATTATTTTATTTACCTCTTCCGTCCGCGCACTGCGCACTTGTCTCAGTCACAGTTTTGGTAAGCCCACGAGCTGCTAACCCCTAGCCAAAATGAGTACAAAACAAATGTCGCTGAAGAGCTTCTTTGAAAAGGGGGAAAGACCCAATGATGAACCCCCCCCCCCCACTCCCGGTCCTTGAAAAGATTGTCTTCCACGAAACCGGTCCCTGGTGCTAAAAAGGTTGGGGACAGCTGCGTTAAATGACAGTGTTTGTTGTGCCATTGCGTTGAAAATAGCGCCTCTAGTGGGTCCAGGGCTCACGTGAACCAACCACGTACAACGTACAGTAAGTAAAGCGTCGTTATTTCAGTATTTGATCATTCGTAATTGGGGATAATTTGGCACGGCTGTGCTTTTGGCATATATACAGTATTATTCATTCGCCATGAGCTGAATATCTGTACCGAATGGTCCAATTTTGGCATACACGTGGAGCGATGCCACTCGCTATGACCAAACCAATGACTCAGTCTGGTGGCGGCGCACGTGGCGAGCATTCGTGCAGACCCGTTGCTTTGGACTTTACCTTGTTTATGCACTCTGTGCAAGCCAACCCTCTCAGAAATGTCATCTACACCCACATCAAGAAGTAATAGAAAGGGACTGAAGTATAAATCCCTTAGTCTGCAAGACAAATGCAAAGTTTTGGATAGAATTGATGCAGGTGTGTCAATGCGTATGGTGTGTGAAGAGTTTGGAACACAAATTTGGGAGAAAAAAATGGGGGCAGGAGGCACTGGGGAGTACCGTTGTATATAATTTGGAATATTGGATAATTCGGCTCGGCCATATGTGTCGAATTAACAAGGGTTTACTGTATTCAAATTGAAGACAATCGATTCCCGCACACATGACTTGATAGACGTGTAGTGATCATAATATTTAATTATAATGTGTTCATTAATGATAAGATATTTTTAAGATAAATGTAAGAAATTGCAGTGACAAGTTGAGCTTCTGAATCGTGTCATTGTAGGTCGACCACGTGGACCGAGCAGGGCAGTGCGCGCTGGTGCATGCTGGGCTCCGGGGACACCTGGACATCATGGTCCACCTGCTGCAGGCCGAGTGGACGCTCGCCGGGCGCCAGCCGGGCCCCGTGCAACGATACCAGGCGGTGCAGCAGGCGCTCACCGCTACCGCTAGCAGTGGCCACGTGGAGGTGAGTACGCGTGCGTGCGTGCACGGGTGAAGGGATGGCCCCGTAGTACTAGTCGGGTGATCTGAAGTGCCCTCTTCTGCGAGGGTTGCTCCAGTTCGGGGCTCGCTTAGAGCCAATTTCTCACCTCCCCGTGCACTTGGGGCACATTTTGTTTTAAATTAAAAGTGTATGCCAATCTGATGTGTTCCGGTTGTGAAACGTTTGGTGAAAGTTTCTTGCTGGAGGAGGTCAATGTGCGGTGGACTTCAAATGAGAAGTATTGTCTCAAAATTGCCTTGGTGTGGATGATACAAGAAGACACCTTTTTGAATAAACTGAATGAAGTTATAAATAATTAGACATGTGTTTTTTACATTTAACCCTGGGAAGAGAGTTGTCACCTTTTAAAGCTCGGGCTGGAGCATGGTTACCTCAAGGAATATCTGTTTATAACACAGATGATTCATCGCAAATTTCCAAACCAAAGCCCTCTTATCATTTTCCCCATTGTAAAAAGAAAAATCATGACATGTTTTGAAGTTCTCTTTCATATTATTCCAGGAACATAAAATTAAATCAAGAATTGCTTGGCAGCACAATCATATCATCACTCAAATACTGATAAGGCAGCACTTCCCTTTAGATTAATACAGTTTTTTTTATCTTTTTGTCAGCTTGAAAGATGCCGATTAAACAAAAAATAAATACTGCCGCAAACTTTTAGCAGCGTCAGCACTGGTGGAAGCCCGAGAGAGGCGCAGAAGTGATGAGTTTGGTGCCTCACAGCACTCGGACTGCGTTCTGAGTCTGACCACGAACACAGTTTACCTGGCAAGCACGTGCAGCATGTGGTGCAGCGTTGTTTTTGTTTGCCTTTGTCCCCAAAGGAAGGTCCGTGTCCAAATTTGAGGTCAGTGGAAGGACCTCTTATTATTCACTGGCTTGGAGAGATGAGCTTGGACGGTTGGCTCGTTTTCATTAGGGTGTGCAGCTTGAAAAAAATTCTCGGAAATTTGATCGCAATCATTCACGTCTTTTTTTCCACGATATTGTAATGTTTTTAGCAAAAACACTGCATGTAATGAGCACTGTTTTTCCTTCTCTCTTGGCACAAATGTTTACATTAGGCTTTGAAGTTTCCTTCGCACCCACAAGTGATGTTTTTTTCCTCCCATTTCCAATACCGTTTCCAGACGGGATTTCCTGTAGATTTCACATCTCATAAATAGACCATTGCAGTTTCTCTTCCCTCTGCAGTCGGTCACGGCAGAAAAATAATGCTCGGTAATAACGGCCTTTGCTGAATTTTGAGGGCGGTTCAAGAATCACATCCACGGTGTAAATGGGATGTGTCGACGTGTGTATGATTTCACCATTTCAGTGTTTATCACCAGCCCAAATATTAAATTAAAAGTGTTAAATGCTATTTCCATACACATTTATTTTTACTCTGCCACCATTGATTTGAGGTGTATCCACTTCTCTAACAGTGATAGCCTAGACAGTCGCTTAGTGGCCTGTGGTCCATTTGAGGGTATAGCATTACGAGATTCGTGATCCGTGTACTCATTACTTTAGCTATATTCTCAGCTACAGGGTGACAGGCTATACAAGCAAAACAACACGTTATTACCACCTTGCATATTTGGGATGTGGCTTCTTAAACTTCAGTGCTCGTGACACGGCACAGAGTTCTATGTTTACCAATCGTAAGGTGTGCGTGCAAAATGCAACGACCCCATTTGTATTTGAATGGAGACGATGCAACAAAAAGATTGACTGCATAGGGTCTGAGAATTAATTCGTTTATCACGCATAGTGAGTGAAGGACCATTGCTCAAAACGTGTGACCTCTTGCGATAGCATTCGCACCAACTGTTATTTCAGCCATACACCGTAGTCTCGAGTGATTTGTTTGATCCACGTATCACGGGGGGGGGGGTGGGGGGGGGTCAACCACAGGGGCGGCACCATTCTTTTGCGGGTCGCAGTTCTCACTTCAAACGTCAACAGCCAACTGAAGTCTGCAATTTTCTGGACTTTGCGTGTCAAGACGGGGCGATGTGTCCACAGTGTGACAGCCGTCTTCCCCGAACTAAGCCCAATCACTAGGAGACAGGTTTCAGATGCAATGGTGACATTTCTGATGAAGTCGAACCACCAGATGCCGAGAAAGGGGTCTTTGGCATCGAATGTGGAAGGACTGCAGCCAATCCAAATCAGCTTGAAGCAATGTCCAGGCCTCTGCATCATACAACAAAACTGACAAAACACAGCACTGGTGGACTCTTAATTTGGTCCACAGACTTAAAGACTTAAACGTTTCTGGGACCAAGTAAGAATTGAGTTTGATCAATCAACACCGGTGGTCTGTATAGAAGTGACTGAACTTCAGGTACATGGCCACTTCTGGTCGCCCTTAAAGGTGTGCCCTCCCATGCTTGTGTTGAAGGTGTGCTCTGTCGGCTTCTGCTGCTGCTGCTGCTGTGTTGTCAGGTGGTGAGCTACCTGCTGGACATGCTGCCAGATTGGGACGTGGAAGATCTGGGCCGGCCCCACATTGACAGCTTTGACACCCTCTGGGGAGAGACAGGTGCGTCCCCTTGCCGTCGCCAGCCGCTAACACCGCACATCGTTGTCGACGAGAATGCTGGGTCATGTAGCACTGTGTGTGGACTGCAAACTCCTCGTAACAATATACTCGCTCAAATGAGCCTGATGCTAAGATCGTCTCTGGTTACAGCTCAGCTTCTGAGCCACTGGTGGAAATTCCACATTGCTATGACAGAGGCCCTTTTTTGCTACATAGGACAACCACTGCGTGCATTCCGCAGAATATTGGTACTATATTATTGACTCCAATAGGATGATGGGCCAAGTTGACCCTTTTCCTGATCAGGATTTAATTTCTGATTTCCACACATTTTGAGCTCTCTAACAACAACACTGGTTACTAATTATTTTGGTTTCAACCCTTTTGTCAGTTTACTGCTGGATGAAGGCCTTTGCGTGCCATATTGGTTGGTCATGGGGGGTTTTGACCATATCAAATCTCATGGACTGTGATTATAAAGCTACAAGTAAGCAGCATTGCAGTCATAATTATGCATGGAATGGGATTCATCTTTGAGCATCTCACTCATTGAAGAAGGACCAAGCGGTCAATATGGGTGCTGGCATGTGGATGCTGTCTGTTCGTTATTCGTTGTTTTTGTGAACCCGTGGGAACTGCTTGAATGACTGACCTATCATCTCCTTAGTCATTAACGGCTCTCCATCATGATGCAGATACGTATGGGATGTGTGAGTTTTTTTGTTGTCATTTTGAGAAAATAAATCTTGTTGAATACAAATGTGCGAAGGTCATTGCTGCTCTCAAAGCCATATAGCTTGGCTTACTTAGCAGTAAATGTGTCGGAATCATACCTTACAAGTGCATGTTGTGTGACCTTCCTTCTAGTGTTTCCGTAGACACGTGTGTAGAGTATCGCACCTGTGTGCAGCAGTGTGGACGATGGAGCTAACGTTACGTCCATTAGGCACTGTGGTGCTGTAAAAGGAAAGAGGAGCTGGATATAATTGTGGCAAGGTGACATCATAAAATACCTCAATGTGGATGGGGTGCAAGTTGCCCTGTGTAGCGCCCATTTTGTTTAGACTCCACCCTTTGGCATCAGACTGCAGTAGCAGTGTGCGTGCTGCGACACTCTCAGGTGAGATTACTCCGCTGCTTTACTTTCACGAGTATGCTCTTTGTGCTCGGCACTGCATTGTAGAAGGCTTTTTATCTGCCCAGCTGATGACAGCTGTTCTCATCCCATTACCCCCAAAGGCCAATTGCATAATGGGGTCAGGTTTGTATTGTGCCCCCTTGTAATACGATATCTGTGAGAATGGTGGCCCGAGTCGACACCTCAGTCTCTTCTGGTATAATTTTCGTGTAAAATCAATTTATATTTGTTATACAATATCTGTATTTCACAAAGGTTACTAGACTTGTTAGCATTTATAATTAATCACAAATTTGCTCTTTTGCCAAATCGTCCATTGGCATTCAAGAACTATCCCAAAGGCATATTGCCATTGGCATGGGAATGGCCAGCAAAATTAAAGCTCTATTTTTTTGTTTAAACATAACGTGTTGCTGAGAAGACTGGCTTTAATGTGCGACTATCGCGATGTTGATCTTCTTACTCCGATTTATTGGAGTAACAAGAAAATTGGCTTCGGAAGAGCCGTGGATCTTGATCTCTATCAGCGCCAAGGGTGGAGTTTTGAGGAAGACTGCGGGTTTGGCCGCGTAAGCGCGATGCAGATGCCACACCAGCGTCGAGCAGCTGTAGCGAGCCAGCCCCCCGGAGTACGCGGCAAGAGGAGGCTTTGTGTGGGAATACCAATTTTTACTTTGTCGGGCAGACAGCGGCGAATCTAATTAGCAGAGAGCTGCGGAAGGGTTTCACCGGTTCCTGCCGCAGCCGCCCGCAGGCATGTCACACGATAGACACCTGCAGTCAAGCAGGGATCACATCTTCATTCCTTCACACGGATCCTGGCCCGCAGCGATGCGTTGGGGCTCGTCTTATCTTCCGTTGCACATCCCGTAAGTGGCAGGGGACGTCTTTTAAGCGATCGGCATGGCGTTGGGCTGATCTTCCTTGTCCGCGTTGGGAAAAAATGGTTGGGAGAAATATCAAGCATTCCCTCGTGTAATCTTTTCATCTTGGAGAACACGATGAGAAAAGTAATAATAAGAAAATCATTGAAGGGAATAGCTGAGCTCGGATGTGGGTATGACATTTGTGAATCTGCTGCCATTGCTTTCACACTGTGAGTGACTTGGAGGTATACTATGATGTACGACTTGTTCAACCAGTAAAGCCACACCTCATCTTGTTTATACCTTCCCTGGCAGTTATGCTTTAATAGTTAATGCAGCTGCCGGGGGAGTGTGCTTTCCGTTCATAAAATCGTATAAACAATTCCATATTATGCAATACAAACAGCTTGCAACTAGTATTTATTTCAACACGTAATAGAACCTGAATTTTTTTTTTTGCTTAGATTATGATAGGCTTAAGGGAAATACACAAAAATGTACCCCTTTTTATTCGATAAATCGTCACATTACATTGTAGATTTGTATAATCTCAAATCTATATTTGTATAATCTAAAATGTGTTGTTTATCGTGTGCCGTCTTGTTTATTCCATCTCGTTTGATCCATTGGCCTCGATGTAACATTTTAATCAAAATGACACATTGAAAATGATTGATTCTTACATAATTCAATGCATGTATTGTGAGTGCAAGAATTAAGTGTAGATTTTAGTCAATGGTTCCCGGAATTGTAACTTGTCTCATTAGGACACCTCATAGGGCAGAGGCACAAATTGAGTGTTCAGCATTCATCTCCTGCTTAAGCCTCCTCCCCAAGAGGACGATAACACAGGAATTCATGCACAATTACTACATATTTGTTCTCAAAATAACTGTATTATTTACCATTGTTTGTGTTTTTGCTCTTAAAATATTCCCACTTTTTGTGGTTTATGTTTGATGCAAATATAGAAATCAAAATGCATTTCCGAAAGGTCGGTAAAAATCAGCTGCAGATGTGTGATTGCGCTAGAATACATTCAGACCAAACTTAAGATCCCATCTCATACAATGATTTAGCGGATTTAAGATTGCCGTGGCTTGCATACTATGGTGATTGTCACGTTCAATTATGAAGCAACATCAGCTCAACACATCAATTCTTGTACACGTGGAGGTTGTTTAATTAATAGCTGGATCATTGTACTGTATACATATTCTATGGTTCTTACGGTAAAGTCACGTAGATAGAAAAAATAATGATAAAAATAAAGTGATTAAAAATATCACGACGTTTCGATCGCAACACAAGTGGTCATCATCAGCTCTGTTCCTGATGACGACCGGTTGTGTTGTGTTGCGATCGAAACGTCGTGATATTTTTAATCACTTTATATTTGTATTATAATTTTTTCTATCTACGTAACTTTACCGAAAGAACCATAGAATATGAATTCCTGCAGTCACGAAAGTTTTAAGTGAACATTTTACAATGTATACATTAGTAGTAACTTGAAATAAAAAAAAAATCTCAACTTAAAGACACGGACTCGAAACTGCTTAGATTTCTTGCAAATTAAATCACAGCCACTCAAAATGACACCGGCGTTCTTTTAAAAAATGTGTAACAGAAACAATTAATGCAGTGCCAAAGTAAATGTTAAGCCGCACCAGATAGTAGGGATGGCATTGTTCATCGTTCTACCTTTTATTAGCTCTTGTAGAAAATGAAAGGTGGCAATGAACCTGAACAAAATGCTATTAGAGGGTAGCAAAGGTTGCAGATGCTCACAGAAGTGATGTGTGCTTTCCTCTTACTGGTCTGCTGGAGTTTATGGCATTTGCCAGGATAACGCGGGAAGTGATCCGTGGCTTGGCCGACTGATTAACTGCCGGCGCTGCTGTCACGGTGCAGCGGCTCCAGACATGAACTGCACCGACCCCGTTAACGTCCACGTGTATTTGAGACCTAAAATCTAAACGACCGATGGGCACAAATCCGTCCTGTCGGTCCATGCACTTTTAATTTGCACATTTAGTGTGCACTTGTCCATTTTACGTTGAATGGAATTTCCTCCCATTACATTTTATAAATCGTCATAAATGTCGTTACAGTGTAGCTCATTAAATTCATTTTATGGGATATTTCACGTAAATTCTTGGTCAGCGCGAAATGTGTGCTCAACGTAAGATAAGAGGGATGGTAAAGTGGAGGTTAGAGAAGCTAATGATTCTGTCAGCACTATGAATTTTACTATTTTTTTATTACACATTGTCAAGAAAATAGCAGCGTTAGAGTTATTTAAATGTAATCTATAACAGCACATTAGTTTGACAAATGCATATTATTTTAACAAATGTATGCAAACTTATTTTGCTCACAGATGCCATTAAGTGACACATTTAACATTCGACGAGATTGAAAACCTGCCTCTACCCGGGAGTGTTTCTGGTTGCCGTACGGCAAAGCCGTCGTGACAAAGCGATCCCAGGGGGGAGCCCTTGCCCGCTTGCTGGGTATTAGCAAATGCTGACACTAATAGTCAGCCTTGGGTTGTAATCTTTGAAGAACTCTGCATTTTTAGCTCTCCACCAAACCTGTCCCAATTGAGTTCAAGAGAACGTTTGTCACAGTTACACAAGGCTGTTAATAGGAGGCAGTCGGCGCACATATCGTAATCCATTTGCTGAGCACCCTAACTGTCAGTTTCTTCACGCACAGGATTTATTGGTATCACATGAGTGTTGTGCTGTCTTCGGCAAAGAGAGGGGCTGTATGCCTGCCAGTAGAGTCTCAGATAAAGGGTGAAACGTACCCACAGCAGGTACTGCTTCTAATGGTGCAATATGCAGTACTGTGATGCCAAGTCGTATCTAAAACCTTACCCAGATTCTATTAGTTTATTGTCATCCTGGGTACGGTGACTTGGATCACAACGTTGTATTTTTTTCTGCAAATGCGAGTTACAATTATCAATCAGTATATATTATTTACAGGTTACGCGTAAGTAGCCGGTAAATGCCAATGTGAAAAAGGCCTCCATCGATCCAGGGTAGTAAATCTTGGATTTGTCGTTGAGTGCAGGTCCCAGCCAGCCAGCGCACACGCAGGCACGAGCACACGCATGCCAGATTACTACCAGAATTACAAGGATTTCCTTTACAGCAGGGAGCAGGCGTCTCCCGAACTTGGCCCGAGATTGCTCTTCTTATTTGTTATTCCGCTATCATTTGAGTTCACGGTGAATGGTGCAGATCTGATTTCATTAATCTGTTCATATCAATACATTTTATAAGGATTTGTCACTACAATTGATGAATTATAGTTCTCTCTCTTTATAGGTGAAGAGGTGTCTTGGTCTGCTGGTGTCCTTGTTTGTCAAATGAGCAGGCAATGGATAACACCATTATCACGAGATTCCTGTGCAAATGCCTCCATTTCCTCGTGGTGGGGTGATATTGCGGCTGGTTACACAAACACCTTAAGTGATTGTTCTCTCCAAGATCTAAATAAAGTTTTTTGTTTGAACTTTCTCGACTACTTCAGATTAAAAAGGCGAAAATGTCATTTGGGGCACTTAAAGAAGCCACCATAGGTCAACTTCAGCTTATTGACCGCAGGAGATTCCATAGTCACCATGATGATGACGGAATGCTCACAAGAGCAGTGCTCGGCCGCGGGGTTATCGGCACGGTATAGCTCGGCATTCCATCAGACTCCTTCTCAAGCTCACGAGCTGCCTGTTCAATAACGGCTGGCCCAACAGAGAGTTAATGAAAAGCGGATGATAGCAATAGATGATGATGATCATGATGATACCCATAAAGTCTTAGCAGACGTTACAAAAGTCACTTCTGATTTTTTCATCCGAGGTGGCTCACAACTCCTGCAAACAGTAACCACGGCCGTGGGAATGTGACTGCCCCACAAGTGACCTCACCTTGAGTGAGTTATATTTTAAGCTGCCGGATGTCTCTGTTGCCGTCTCCATGGCGATGCGGTGTCGTGTGAGGCTGTGCCCGTTGGTGATGGGTTTACTCGCTGCTGCCGAGCAAACTTAGCCGAGCATCTGTAACTTGACGCCCAAGAACAACAACAACAACAACATCGACAACATTCCTCAAACACCACCAGTCTTCAGGCCCATTCATGGACATAAATATTCCGTAGTGAGGAAGTGGTGTATAAATAAACTGATGTGTTTCTCACTTGTAATCTCATCCCTGCCAGAGAGATCGAGGCAGGACAGTACCCACGCACGCCTGAGAGGAAGCAGACCGTGAAAATCTTGGCTTGCAGGCAGGCTTGCCTGACCTTTTACATTACCCCAACCTAACACTGCCACTTGTCCATGCGGAGGTATTTGCTGAAGTCTAGAGAATGAGCATGACGGACGCATGCGGGTTTTAAGTGAGGTCTATCTGAACGTAACCACAAGTGTAAAGTACCGCTTCGGCTCCTCGGGTGTCGTGCGCTTGCCACATCCACGTCTGCGTAGAGACCGCCTCGACTGCGGTCTTGACAATGTTGTAGCTCTTTGTTCAGGAAGGTGTATCGGCAATATAACTGGACAATTACCACGGGAATCCTATTCAGCTGCTATGAATGGATCCAGGATGCTTCCTGCACGCTGGCCAGACCTCACAAGCCCTTCCTTCTCGGCTAAATGCCACAGCAGGTTCTGCGCAGCCAGCTCCCCACTGTGTCATGGTTTCGCTGATCGTGAAAATATTAGTTTCTAAGAATGGAATCGTGGTTCCAGGCTACGGATCATGAGAATTTCCAAAATCATATTTACACTGCAGATCTGATTGAGTCACTATTAATGAATAGAGTACTGGCTACAAAACACCCGCATGTCTTCCCTGTCTGTTTTTCTGGAATATGAGATTCTCAGAACAGGCGCTTTCTAAATGGGAAAATGTGCCGTGTGTCAGATGGGCCATGTGTCAACTGTTGGGGATGGTGGCATTCTTTTGAGGCCCTTTGCTTTTGTGCTTGGGGTAAAATTATTAATTGTCTCGCCGATATTATGATTGGTCGCATTTCATTGCCCCAATTCTATTCAAGAGTCAATTATTTTCTTAACAATATATCGGTGAATGGTGTAGCCTCCAGCAGCTGCAGGTGTGACATGAACCCATTACATACAACATATACGAATCAAAATACATCGATTCTTACACACCTGACTTTGATTGTATGGTGAGCTTAATAACAGTTTTTTAATCGATGAATTGATGCATTGTTTCACCCTGGTATGTACACTGGCTGCTATTGTAGATGTGTGGCTTGAAGTCCATAGGCTCAAAGGAGAACGTGGGTAGCAGAGAAAATATATTGCATGTGTGGAGATTCTTTACCAAGGGATCCAAGTGACCTGCCTCTATTTTAGCTCGCACCACGTAACACGTTTTCCTTGGGCTATTAAAATTCATCGGGACATTTCCAGAATGTGGGGCAAATGGACCTTATTGAGCGCGCGATGAATGACGGAGGAATATAGGACGACTCCACCATCGCGCAAACCGATAGCGTTGGTGACCTAGAAAGAATTTATTGTACAGCACATGGTGTAAGAAAAAAAACAGGGTGTTGGCATTTCATTTTAGAGCACGAGAGTTACTGCACTGCAAGGTTTTTTTGCAGACAGCCTGTGTTTCTCTCACGGATGAGTCAAATTTAAGCTTTTGATGAATAGTGTTGTGAGGGTAGTATTCGCATTTTGATGCGAGTGATGCAATTCCATGAAGTGAAAAATGACGTTTGGTACTGAGACCCCGTTCAATAATGGAAATAAGGAGTGTGCCGACTTGGGGCAGGCTGTACCAGGAGCCGCCTTGCAGACAGGAAACCGGCATGAGCCTGCTAGCAATTATCTCTCCGAGATAGCCGCCACTCTTTCCTCGCTGGAAAAACTCAGCTGACATTTCAGCACTGCAAGGCTTGCAATGTAAACTACCTCGTGCTCCCTCCCTGATAACCCGACAGGCAGCTCAGTAGGGGTTATTGGAATATAAACATGTCATGTTTTACTTTGCGCTGTTTTTCTAAGAGGCGACGTGTTGGTTTTGGTGTGGTCGCTTTCTTTGTTGGCCTCGTGTTTTTGATTTGACGCGGACACCTCCGCTCTTGTTCAGGACCCGATTTTGGGCAAATGCGGCCAGCGGCTGCGATTCCCCGCCTTTTGGGAGCAGCGCCGCCCATTCGTATTCACGTTGCGTCTCCAGCGTGTCTCGGCTGTGACCTCTGGACACCGCGAGGCCGGATGCCTGAGAGCCTTATTGTCAAAATCTGTCGGAGCCTGCGTGGGCTGCAAAAGGAGTTTAATTTGCCGGGAATGGTGTAAGGTCACGCAGAGCCAGAGATATTGCTATTGGTGTAAACCAATAACCTGCGGGTGACACTTACGTAGTCAAATTGTAATGAAACTGCCTGCAGGGTGATTTATTTGGAAACGAGGCAATATAAATCCTCGTTTGTTGTGATTTAATGGCACAGCATATCTGGCGTATAAATAATGTCTCTCTAAAGTGGATTACACAGTTTAGTAAAAAAAAGTTGCTAAAATAATCTGCGCAAACACATTAAAATAACTAAGTACATAATTGCGTCACTACAATTCTGTCTGTTGCCATAACTTCCTTGGGCCTGAAGTACATTTTGTGTTTCCTTGCCTTGATACCTCTCTGGGAGTTCCATCCCATGACAGTCCATATTTGGGCATGACTATCTGATAAGCACTTAAAAGGGTGAAATGCATCAGCCTTCTTTGGTTACTAATGTGTTGTTAAAGTACTGTCTGAAATATCAAGCCAACATTGTCAGCATGTGAAACTCACCTTTTTTATTTACATGCCTTGTCAGCCACACGGGGTCGGTTTTACATACTTCACTACGCTGCCTGGTGGTGGGTTCGTGATAACCCTTATCACTGATATTTTGGATATAATTTCGTAATAAAAACAATGCTGAGCTGACGATTTGGTTGTTGCAAGTCCTCTACTCTAAGATCAATGCGACTTCTCACAGCTCTGACGGCGGCGGCGACCCAGGGCCGACTCGATATCTGCCGGCTGCTGCTGGAGTGGGGAGCGAATGCGTCTCAAGCCAGCAGGCAGGGTGTCGTCCCTGTGTTTGGTGCCGTCCGCAAGGGACACTGGCAGGTAGGAGCCACGCTCATCTTCCAAAGCCACAGCCGGTGCGTGATGCCGTGGTCAATGGATGATGTGAACAGAAAACGTCGTTTTGTCAATCTGTTGTTGGATGAGGACCTCTCCACGCCCATGCGGCTTTTGAGGATTCATATTGGTCGGTGTGGTTTGGTGATGGTAGGGAGCGTAGAAAGGGCAATACCACATGGGATTTTACTGCACTGAGCGAGCAGCAGAGGGCTGCCCACAACCTTTTTGGTCGCCCATCCAAGCAATATCCAGGCTCAAAATTTGCTGAGCTTCTGAGATCTGACAAGATCAGATGCACTCTGGGTTAATTGGTCATAGACGCATAATATGCACGCGGCACGTAAAGATGCATTGATTTTTCTCATCGATTCTTACACTTGTGATGCATATCTAATTGTGCGTGCAAGTATATTATTTATGACTTAGTGTAATGGAGCAAAGTGTACCAACAAGATGCGAAAAAAGAAGAGAATATACAAACGAGTCAAATAGAATTGCTTTTTGAGTATAATTGTTACTATTCATGGAATCCCTAGCGGGTGACTCATTACTCACCTAATATGTACTTAAGCAATTTTTTTGGCAGACGTAAGTTTGCCCTACAGTAGCCACGCCAAGGGGTCGGGTATCCCGTTTAGCTCAGCACAGTGGTTTCTTTAGCCAGAAGGCAGCGAATGAAGGGGGTGGTGCTTAATGAGTGAAGTTACGATTGAGTAATTACCGGTAGTTTTTCTATTTAACCAAATTTGGCTCATACCGGCAGCATTTAATGCTGCTCTGTAAATTATATCACAAGGTCTTTCACGTTATTTGCTTATCGTTTCCTGTTTTGATAATATTCCGTGGGTGGATATTCAATCATTAACATCTTGCAGTCTTCTGCTTTGGTAGGCTATGATTTGTCGTGATTTGATATTTATAAAATACTGTAATTCGACTTGCTATACCCATGCCTGTATGTGCATAATGTAAAAAAACAATTGTCATTGGCACTGTGCATTAAACTGTTATTTAGTAGGCTTTATAATTACCAGCTTCTGCAGAGTTTGAGAATAATGTGAAACCTTACCAATGTACGATACTGGTTAACCATTCATAACAATCCATCAAAAGACATTGTCCTTGTATAATATTCCATCAGCAACATCGTTTAGTCGTCACAATTCATTCGCAAAGATTATTTCATTCTACCAATTCTACCAGGTATTGTGATCTTGCATGGGTAGACCACCACTGAACGTCTAACACCTGACAACACGACAAGTGTCGGGTGTGAACGATCAATCTGCTGAGTCGGTGCCGAGTATTTAAGCGAGAGCTTCCCATGGCCGCAGGTGGTGGAGCTGTTGCTGAGCCACGGCGTGGACGTGAACGTGACGGACAGGCAGGGCCGCACGCCGCTCATGGTGTCCTCTTCTGAGGGCCACCTGCAGACCGCCGCGTTCCTGCACTCCCAGGGTGAGCGCGGATCCTCCGACCAAGACAAGCGGCAACTTTTACGGATGAACAGGCAGCTTGGCTTGTTACTGAAGCAATATCTGATGCGCAGAGTTCACTTCCAAGGCTGCATGAATACAGTTGTGGATCTCGGGGATTTTGTGATTGTGAGATCTGTATGTTAAACTGTGCAAAATGTATTCTAGTGTTCTTTCGGTAATGTCACGTAGATAGAAAAAATAACAATCAAATAATAAAAATAAAGTGAGGTGCAATGCTTTGATTGGTGTAGACCTACTGCCGGTGTCGGAGACCTCCTACATTAATATTAGCTGCCCCGCCTATCTCTAAACATTTCTTAACAGCTTACCCTCAGAGGCTAACCTCCCTGTTCCTGATGACGACCGCTTGTGTTGCGATCGAAACGTCGTGATATTTTTTATTCGCTTTATTTTTTATTATTTTATTGTTATTTTTTCTATCTACATGACTTCACCGAAATGACCATAGAATGCGCACAACGTGTTCTTCCTGCGTTTCTGTCTGTCCCATTGTCTGTGTGCTTCATTGGTTGTCTCTATTTTTACACGTCTATACTTTTTTTCTGTCTTTTATTACCAGTCTGTCTTTTTTTGGTCTGTTTGACTCAATTTTCTGTGTTCATCTTTTTGCCTGCCTGCATTCCTGCCTGCCCTCTTATTTCTCTCCGTATATTTTTATCTGTCTGTCAGTCTGTCAATAACCCTCCTCCTTTCCTCCTCCTTCGTTACCTCTGTATTCTATTCCTCTCACCCTGTCTCTATGACACCTGCTGTAAGGGGACCCTGTGTACGTGAATAATTTCCATCGTAGTACACCACTAACAGTACCTGCATGCCATACCTGCTCCTCTGCCATGGCCCCACACGAGGCATGGGTGGTAGCTTAATGACATCTCACATCATCCCCCACACCACTAACTTCCCCCGCCACTCCGACACTATATTTAAACGTGCACAGTTTGTACGTGTTATCCGCACACATTCCAAATATGCTCGTGCAGCTTTCCCAACGGTATGCAAATTAAAGGTGATGATTTTACCACCCAATGTTTTATTTTATTTTGGATTACACAAAAAGTAGTGTCAAGCTAGATATATTTTATCTAGTTTGCATCGAGCTCCCATGATGTCCATCGGTTTAGTCTCCCCCGTGATACTCCAGCTGACAGCGTGAATGCCCGGTGCCTTCTATGTTGCGACCGGCTAACCACCGTGCATGGCATGTCCCTCCAGGGGCCTCGGTGGCAGCCGTGGACCGCGAGGGCCTGTCGGCTCTGAGCTGGGCGTGCCTCAAGGGGCGGCTTCCCGTCGTGCGATTCCTGCTGGAGAACGGCGCTGCCATCGAGCATGCGGACAAGAGCGGTCGCACACCCCTAGATCTGGCCGCCTTCTACGGCGACGAGAACGTGGTTCGTTTTCTCCGCCGGCCTTGGAATGCGGTGACTCGCATAGCAAATGCTGATCATCCCGATCAACTCCTTAGTGCCGTGAGGAACGATTGCTGCGGAATGGCGCACGCTGTGGTTGAGGAAAAACACTCAATATGGAGCTGCCCAGACATCCCAATCAACACCCTCATGGAAAAAAACACTACCGCCGGATACTTATTTGACACACTGTGGATAAATAATGTTTTTTTCACTTTAACATGAATTGCTGTGGGGAATTTCACTCGAATGCTTAAAATAATATTTAATTATCAGTGCTGTACTGAAAAAGTATGGAATTGATTGTTTCTTCATGTTTTTAATTGCTGATGCCTTTAATATTTAACCACTTGTAACATTGGGAGTATATAAATGTCATCTAGGAGGTACCTAGGATATGAGGAATTGTTTGTAATGTTAGAGATTTTTTTCTGAGTTTTGTGTAAAGCTTCTGTGTTTTTAAGACTAGCCAAATTTACATCAACCCCAAAACACGTTTGTTGCCCGGCGGTGTGGGGTATCGGTGGCTGCAGTGATGCATTTCCACACCCACAAATAAGATGACATCGTGACGTAAATAAAACCACCAACAAGATATCGCGTGTACAAATCATCAAGAAAGCATGTCTCTGACCGGAAGTGTTATTAATTGTGAACGATCTGTCCCCTCGTGGCGTAGATCGACTGCCTCATTGAGCATGGGGCATCAATCGACCACACGGACAACAGTGGCATGAGCCCGCTGGATCGCGCCATCGGCTGCCGCAACTCCTCTGTGGTGGTGGCTCTACTCAGGAAGGGGGCTCGCCTAGGTACGTACATTCCACACTCCCACATTTAACAAACGTCATGGGTGCACGGCCATAGTCCATTACTCTTGAGGTGGGAAAGGTGGAGCACAACCGATATTATCATATTCACGAGGCGCTGAACTGTAGGAGGGTGACCAGGATGTGGCAGTGCAACAGATAGGTTTATGACCTCTTTTTATCATGATTTTCCAGTGTTATTTTGCTCCTACTCGTGCGTTTTCTCCAGGCTCACCCCTTACAAAAATGGATGTGGCGCAACATTCCAATACTTACCTTGAATAGAAAAAATAGTATTGAGACTTGAGTGAGTCTTTCCTCCTGGAATAAAAGACTTGTTTATTTTTATTTACATTTTTTTTACATTTTCTCAACTCTAATTTTGATGCCACGAGAGCATTGGAATGGCATGGCAGTAAGTATTTACTGGCAGCCATAAAGCAGGTACTGGGTGACTGACAATATTTGTAACGCAACTAACTTCAACCCCACACATGCCTCACGACTGCAGTGATGGAAATATGCAAATAAACACCTCAAGAACCAAGGATCATTTGATTTGCGAGGGAGAGTTTTGATTTTATTGAGTCATGCTGGTGTTGTGGGTATCTGCATTTTCAAAAAAGAAACCTCAATGCATAGCAGTGGAAATATTATGGAAAAAACACCTCTAATTCTCAGTTAATTTTTATAGCAGCAAATCTAACTGGATGAGTTACCATTGCTGCAGAATCTATATACATTTAACCCACACTGTTTCTAACTGTTTATCTTGATTCTTTTCTTTTTCCTTCCTATTCATCTGTCCTCGTTGTTGTTGTGTGCATCAGGCTACAAAACCTCTCCTGATGAGCAATCAGGTAGCTTTGTCAGCCAGGTGATCTCCTCCTCGCCATGATGCACCCCTCCTGCGTTCCTCTTTCATTTTTTTTTTACTTTTTTTCTTTCTTTTCCTTTATTTCTGATAGTTCCGTTTGATTTAAATCATATAACTTTTGTTAAAAACCTTTTTTGTATGTATGTATGTGCATGCATTTTTTTTTTCATTGCAAAAACTACATTGCCATACCTATTTTTATTATTTGTTTGCTTTTGTTTATTTACGTTTCATTGGTTGGTGTCGCCTTGGGATCAATCCGATTGCTTGGCAGGGCCAGCCGCTTGGGCTATGGCCACATCCAAAGCGGACGTTCTCATCGTGCTGCTCAACAAGCTCATCGAGGAAGGAAACTCTCTGTACAAGGTGAGGGCCACCGGGGGATGCTCTGCTTTCCCCCCTTTCAGGCTCTTAGCCCGTGGTGGTCTCTAGCGAACGGGGCACGCACCATGTCTCTTGAGCACCTATAAGGCCCTGTTTGCGAAACCGGGAAAGTGGGCTTGACCCAGATTCCAATGGCAGCCTCACTGAGGCAAAGCTAGCTCCTATCGGGCCGTGTAGCTCACTTGTAATAGGTCACTTGGCTCGCTTTCCTAAGGGAGGCAGCGGGCCTTCACCTGGGCCAACATTAGAACCACTCATGATATCACAGGGTCAATGGAGGAGAGATGTGCGGTCAATTAGGACTTGCGACGATTTCAGGACCATGTAGTTATACCTACCATAATCACCCAGGAATGTCTGTCCTTAACGCTCGTGACGTCACTCCACATCAACCAGCCCCCCTCATTAATATTCTTGAGTGGGTGACGTCCTCCAAATGGACACACCCCCCCACCCCTCATTAATAATCATGAGCAGGTGACATCACTCCACGTGAAGCACCCTCCCCCTCATTAATAATCATTAAAAGGTGACGTCCTCCAAATGGACACCCCCCCATTCATAATAATTAGCGGCTGGCCGAGGCGCCTCCTCCCCCCTCGTCGGCGTCAACTTACAACCCTCACTCCAAAAGCAGAACCCTCACGTCACGCCATCTCCGTAACGCTATTGAGACATCAAAGTAAAAAGGACGTCATGATGAACAAGGGATTATAACCTTAAAATTAAATAGGTCTGTGTCACCGCGCCCTTACAAATTGCACACGAACAGATGTAATGAATATCACGTCGCGGTCTGATTTTCGCTGGGACGGGCAAAAGACTAGTTTTAAAGATCAAACACAATCGCATTGTTTTTCTTTTTCAAGGACATTTTTGTAGACAAGCAGATAGCTGTTATGTGTGAGGGACAAAACATTTAACTAATAAACATCTGCACAAAAAAAACTGACACAAATCCAGTTTTGTTTTGTCAGACTAGGTCACTGGGTGTTAGCCTTTAAGAGGATAAACACACAGTGTGTGCACAGTTTTCCTTTAGGTTTTTTTTACTGTTTTTCTTTTAATTACATTTGGCACCGTGTGTTGTGGTGTTCGTGGCCCCTCTGTCGAGACAGATTGGCAGGTGATTAATGTGTGGAGGAGAACACTGTGGGTGGTGAGGACGTGTCACGTGTGAAAATACACCGGCGCAATATTTTTATGCCAATTTCAGTTTTTCTAGCCAGAATTTTTTTTTTCGGAGGGGAGGATTATTTTTTTTAAATGATCCCATGGTACATTTTATGGCGAGCAGCATGTGCTGACGAGCAGGATGTGGGCTGGCAGCTCTGAACGATCCGTATTTTCGTCCCGTGCGTCGTTTACGCAACAGAAAGGACGAATGAAGGAGGCTGCCCAGCGCTACCAGTACGCCCTGAAGAAGCTGCCACGGGAGGCTCTCAGTGAGGACCAGCAGAACTTTACCGACCTCAAAGTGACGGTCTACCTGAACCTCTCGCGCTGCCGGCGCAAGATGAACGTGAGTGCCATTGCGAGATGGCGTGATCATGGGTGATCACGTGGGCTGTGTAACAAAACGTGCACCAACGAATACCGACATGTCGAAATCGAGCATTGTATAGAATACCAAGATGCGCGTTTGAGAACGATCAAAGCCAAATGTAACGTAAAGTAGGGAGTCGGCGAAGATGAAATGTTTGCTTGCCGATTAGCTTGAAACTCTTGATTGTAGGTAGAATGAAGGGGGCTTTGTCGTGATCTTTAAAGTTGGTTCACACTGTATGAATTCTCCGACACAGGTCTCCGGTTCTAAATGTGCATTTGTTATATGCTGCAGCACAGGAGATGTCGGTTTTTAAGTGTGAAGTTTTCCCCATTGTGCACACTGACGTTGGCTTTAGCAAGCAATATCTGAATGATTCCAAGAACATAGCTGGGTGAGGAGAGTTCTTACGTCTCAAGCAGTTTTTTATGCTGTTGTAGGGTTTGAACATTATCAGGAGGGATGCTGTTCCAGAAGTTTAATTACCCAAATATGTAAACTTTAGAGGTATAACAAGTTACCTCTTTTGCTCATCTCGTGGCCCTCATGGATGGCATGAACCCCTGACATAAAACATACAAATATGAAAAACAGTGATTCTTACACTCGTGACGTGATGCATGTATCTCGTGAGCTTAAGAATACGATGTGAAGTAACACATTGTTACAACACTACTGTCTGGTGCGTGGCCCTGTGTGAAACAAATCCAATTAAGTACAGCGATCGTTTATTTCATTTTAACGATATCCATGAGCAGGTGTTGCCGGGTGATTATGATTGCAGTGTCTGCTTGAGGGTTCTTTTATCTTGATTTCACATCTCGAAATAATTTTTTGGTAGGATTTTGGAATCGCTGAGGAATTTGCCACCAAGGCCCTGGAGTTGAAGCCGGACTCGTTCGAGGCGTTCTACGCTCGCGCTCGGGCCAAGCGCAGCAGCAGGTGAGGCCTCGTGGTGGCGTTTAGCAGTGTCCTTCAGCTCTTAGTCCGTGAGTTTAGACCAGATGTATTTTACTTGTTGGTATCACCTGAGATGGCATCGCTGTAGTGGTTCCAGCTTCTTTGTGGCCAATAACAGTGGATTATGTGAGAACAAATAATTCACTCTTATTAGCCGTAAAAACACATCGTTACCACTTCGTTTTGCCACCTTAGATGTGGTACCAATTTCTGCTCTCGCCCATGGACTGTCTCACAACATCAACTGCCGCCTGCTGTGCTCTCTGGGTTATAAGATGCACATTTCCCTCCTGTATTTGAAGCACACATTAGCGCTGCATATTATTTGCTGATAGGGGTGCATATATGCGACAGATTTGTATACCTTATTGACACGGGGCACAGGTTTTGGGTGTGTCTCACTTTGCAGTGTGTCTTATAATCTGGAGAGTGTGGGTTATCTGCAAGTGGGTTTCTCTGCTATGTAGCAGTGAAGAGAAGTTGTGCTGTTGGCCACACCATATTAGAATGTGGTTTATAGGGCTGTCATTATTAACACTGCTCCTTGGACCCAGCAATTAGATACATTTTTATGATCCATGGTTTCCATTCGCGTGAAGGATTTCTTCTCTGTTTGACATCATGGTGAATGTAGTGGCCTCACGTCGCTGCCAGATCATATTAACCATTTACATGCAATATACAATATAAAAATACCTAATTACATGAATAATTCAAGGCATCAATAATTTATCTTGAAAATTAATCGATGCATTGTTAGACCCCTAGCGGTGTACAAACACCCCACAAAGCTACTGATGAAGAGAAGCTTGTAGCAATGCTAATCCAGCCACCACCAAAAATAAAGGGGTCAAAGCAGGAATGTGAGATATGTGGTCATGTGACCATTAGCAACCAAATGGAAGACTGCTCCCTGGCCACCATGTTCAGTCTGCTTTTCAGATCTCTGGGATTACATTATATTTCCTTACCAGATACAATGTTTGATTTGGGAATCCAAAAATAACTGACAAACGTTAAACACCGGTGGATAAAAATGTAGCCTGCTAGCCTCCAGTTGTCATCAATTTATGAGCACAGTGCAGTTAGCGATGACAGCAACTAATGGCGTTCATCTCATAACCACTGTAATACAGTAATTACCAACTACATTTGCAACACATTGTGTTTAAAAGTGTGGATTTTGCTCGGTTGTGACAAGGTGAGGTTAATTATGTCATATGGATCTGTTACAATATTACATTACCAATTGCTTAGATTCATAAGTTATCACGATTATGCAGATATTTTTTCCCCATCTCATTAGCTTTCATTCCAGGCTGATTATTACTGAATTACTCTGTTGTAGTAAATACGAACATTAACACTCATGCTCTCTCGTGATTGTTATTTCAAGGTGGACATTTTCAAGTAATATATTAGCTCGTGACTTTTTATCGTGTGTCATTCTCAAGACTTTGTTGTCAGACCCCTTTACGTAAATACGCATAATTATTTATTTTACGTGATATTTTTCCCCTGTATCTCATATTTTGTTGTATAAGTAACATAATTCTAATGTCTAAGGTAAGTACGATGAATCTTCCCCTGCTGCTATATTGATTGCCCCCGTTGTTTTTTAATCTCGCTTCATATCTCCATGTCCACCTTTCACCTACGCCTACAGGCAATTTTCGGAAGCCCTGTTGGACCTGCGCGAGGCCGTGCGGCTGTGCCCAGGGAACAGGGAGATCCAGCGGCTGTTGATGCGCGTGGAAGAAGAGTGCAGGACGCTCAGCCAGAGCCAGCATCAGCTGCGCAGGGCCGCACCGCTCCGGGCTGCGAGCATCGGCGGCGGCAGCCCCGGGCTGTCGGGCTGGCTGGCGAGCATCGAGAGGCCGGGTGGGTCGGCACAGGGCGCGCTCGAAGCAGACCGGCTGTCGAGCGCCTCCGCGAGCAGGACAGGTGGCAACGTGGACCGACCGGGCAAGCACCGACTTGGCAGGAGTGAGAGCGAAACATCAGCAAGCGCCAACGCAGAGCGGCTACAGCGGGGCGGCGTGACCAGGCCTGTACCGCACTGGCCCGTGAGCCAGACAGGGCCGAGCGGGGTTGGTAAAGGGTCCAGCGAGGCCACGGGTTTGGTGGGTGGTGCTGAGTTGGCGGCCTGGTTGGACAGCTCCGGTTCCCAACCCAGAACCAGAGCTGGGATCACCGAGGGGGCAGGGCTTGCGCTCCGCAGGGCCTCGGGCCCAGCGGCGGCTCAGGCTGGGCCATCTGGAAATGCCGCTGACAACGTGGGGCCGCAGTCACGTCAGCCAGAGATGGAGTCCGACCCAGAAGAGGATGACGATCCTTCCCTGGGTGAGTGGCGCTCTATTAACACAGCGATGGGTGTCTTGTCAGGAACTCATCATACTTGCTTATTGTTGCTTCTTGTTGTGATTGCTGGCATAGAGGCTTTGCCCTTGCACTATTTGTTATGTGTCGCTGGTTCGTGCTTTTGTTTAACTGCCCGAGGAGGGGATTTGAGGAATAATTGCTTTTAATGATGGGGTGCTTCTATTACACAGTGAGTACTCTCCCACGCTCATGCGCTGCATGATGAAGATAGCATTTGATGAAGTGCACATCCCTCACACCACTAATTGAACAAAACGTCACGGTTCTCTCGTGTCTCATGGCCCTGCACCGTGGTACAAACACTGCAAATTGTATAGAAGGATAAAGCCAACATTAAATTTAGTCAGTAATTAATGGGCCCTTGCATGCTTTCATAATTTATGCTGCTGTTGCAAAAATGAAGGATTTCTCGAATGACGGTGGCTATTCTGGGACTGAGTATTAAGATATTTATGGGAATAAGTTAGATTGCAAAGGTTTAACCGTAACTATTGTTGAATGCTCGAGATGCACAAGATTTCCACATTTGCAAAACATTCCTGTGGTGAATAAAAAAATTGCATCTTCAGAAATCCCTCAATTTTCTTTGAATATTGGTAAAAGCCCTGCTCACACCATGCCTCTCTTCCACATTGGCAGGCATGGATGAGGAGAATGAGAATGCAGAGGGAGACAATGAGGATGAGGATGACGACAGCACAACCTCCTCGCCCATCCTGCGCCAGGCGCCCGGGTCTCCTCGACCTAAGCACTGCTCAGAAGAGTCTTCACCTTCATCCGTCTCGATCTCAGGGCACAATGAGGCCTGGCGGCCAAGGAAAGAGCCCAAGAGTGGCAGTGCTTCCCTCTCCTCCTCATCACTCTCTTCTGTCACCTCCTCGTCCTCCTCCTCCACGTCATCTTCATTGTCGTCTCCCGCAAACACACAGAGGGACCCGCACTCTCTAAAACCGGCGCCGGAAGGCATCTGTCCACCACCACTGCCACCAAAAACACGTGGCGGCAGTGTCAAAAAGACGGTCATGGTGGAGAGGCCAGAGAGACCCGAGCTTTGTGGAGATGCCTGCCTGAGCAGTCCCTGTCAGTTGCCGCATCAGGACAGCTTCCCTGAACCCATCACTGTGGAACAAGGGCTTCCCCTGCAGACGGCAAGGGCACAGATTGTTAAGACCAGGCAGGTATGCGGGACGCCTGTGCACAGCGGAGTGGTAGGCGTAGGTCCCAGGGCCGTGCTAACCCCATCACCCCTGTCATTGGTGACTAATGGCTCCGAGTGGCCAGGAAGCGGCGGGAACAGTGCGGCCACGAGTCTGGAGAGAATTGCTCGCCAGCTCGACGGACCACAGCCTCAGGTTTGTTACAAAGTGGACTTTTACAACCGAGACAAACGATGATTATAGAGTTAATAATTGAAATAACAAGAAAAAATTTTTTGTTGCATGCCAGATGTACTGTTATTATCATTGGCTTAAGACTGCTTTGTTTGCAGAGCTCCATGCCATCGTCCACTACCACTGGCCCAACGGAGACATCTACAGTGCCTGCTGAAGTGAGCCACACTCAGCGGGTTGGTTTGTCGCCGCTGCCCTCCCCAGGCCCGCACCTGAAGACATCCGCATCCAGCAGCAGCCTGACCTCTACAGCAAGTTCCAGTGATGGCGACAGGCCTCACGCGCTCGGTTGTCTGAGCAACCTGGCGCACGACCGCCACGCACGAGCAGATCGGTCCAGCGAGTTCCACGCCTGGCCTCAGGAGTCATTGGGCAGGAAGCCACGCACGACGCCCTTCATGGGAATTAAGGACAAGACGGCACGGACGCATCAAGGCCGGGGCACTGGCACCCTCTCGTCGGCACCTTCGACCGTCGCCCATGCGGAGGGGGCCTCCATGCTCCAGGGAATTGGGCAGCTTTCTCGGCCTTGCCGGGTGGCCACCACGTACAACTGCGGCGTGCCGAACAGCCCGCCCGGAGGCACGGCCATCGTGCTCAACGGCACCCAGGACCCCAGGCTGCAGCGACCCACGCTGGGAGTGCCAGAGGGACCGTGCCGGAATGCGGCGCAAGACGGCGGCGACCCATCCAGGGCAGCGCCCCCAATGCTGCCGGCGAAACCAAAGAGATCCTACGTCGAGTCCAATGTCTGAACGAAGGCGCAGCGGAGATGGCGGAGATTAATTTAAAACCACGAGCAGTTGGACAATTGAATGTGGGACAGCACTTGGTTTACAAATGGGAAAAAACTGTGTGGATTAAGATTATTTGGAGAATTGTATTGTATGAAGATGGGAATTGAGAATGTTGGTTATATGATTAAGTAGATCTGGTAGATGGCGTTTCTCTACCAGTATGAAGGGTGAACTAAAAGTTAAAAGTCTTGATCGTGAAGCGTGGTTTTTAGATAACAGTATGCAGGAGTAAAGGAAATTGTATCATCACAAGTCAATATTTTTACTTTTTCTTTTCATCATTATTAGGTAGGAGCTTGTTGTTCAAGCCTTTAAATGCATTTCTGCTACTTTCATGTTTCATAATAAGCATTTGTTGATACATCGGCATCTCACCGTGGACCTAACAGAATGTTTTTGATTAAATAACCAGGTTGGAAAAGTTAGGATTCATAGTCACTGCTCTTTACGGTAAAATAAAGTGTCAGAATATCAATGAATTTGTTAACATGCATACATAGATCCCCGTATAGCCTCAACAGTGCTGTTAGCGAGCGCCTATGAAGGCGCCAGCACTGCACACGAGGTGGTTGGGGTGGCCAGCACCATGCCCAGGCCACCCTGTCTCTCTAGTGGCATGCATCAGGTACTCATTTGAGGCTCTCGACCGATGGGGTGGCCCAGGACTAGTCAAGATATTACCCCAACCTGATTATTAGCCACGGCTGGGAATTGAACTGGGGTTACCAGGGTTCTAATGCAATGCGTTAACCACTGTGCTACAACTCCCTGTACACACACGCCCTACTGTCAGTCTGCCGCTTCAGATAATCATCACTGGTGTTCGCCGTGAGCGGGAATCGAACTCGGGTCGTCGTGTTCATGGCGCAGCACGTTAACCACTACACTACCACTCCCTATTGATATACATACACATGCAGATACGCTGGTAAATGCTGTTGGGAGTGCTGAAGTTTACGGTTTGGTTTGGGAAGGCTGCACTTGCTGTACTGGATGCATGCCGGGGTTGGTATGGAGGTGCAGTCTCCGCACACAGGCTCTGTATTGCAAGTGCACTTTATCGGAATGATGGAGACTGGGGTGACTCGAGACTGGTTAGTGCTTATTTAAAGTTGTAGAAAAAGTAAGAAACTCACTAACGGGCTTGTATGACTAAGTGCGACAAATGTGGGGCTGGAAACAAAATCAAAAGTGTCGTGTAATTTTTTCTTGTAAATGGGCTGATCGTTCTTAAACATTTTACCAGTAGACTGACGAGGTTTTTTTTCTTCCCCTTATGCCACTTTTTTATTTCATAAAGTGATTTGCAAAACAAAGATAGGTAAGGAGGTAGTTCACGTTTTATAAACTATTGGCTTTTGTATTGCACATTAATATCTGTTGTAAGATGATAACTACTTGCATTTAAGCTTGTGTAACATTTTTACGTAAATATATTTAAAGAATTCGCTTGGTGTGCCCGAGACCTGTCTGGAGAGAAGAGTTCGTTGTGCTTGGTGTATTAACGCTGTCTGCCACACTCGTAACCACAATCACTCGCTCTGGTTTAGAAAGGGGGTGTTTTCTCTTTCAGGGAGGGCAGAATGTCGACTAAAACAATCTGTAAGAGTTTTGAACATGTAAATAGTTTTCCTGTTCTTCACGTGTAAAGTTCACAGTTAATGACACATGAGATATATTGAAGTGTGATTCTACTCTTTTGGTGCATTTATTGGTTTGATTGCCTGAAAGGTAATAAACTGCTTCTAATTCAGACAACTAGTGTGGTGGTGATGTTATAAGTCTGTATCTCAAAGTTTTCCCTCAAACCTGATGTATATCCCATAGCTGGTTTTTATTAAGAAAATGCTTTAACAATGCTCACAATCTTAATTTGTATTTTTTTTTCTATTAGGTTCTATATAGATGTACTATATTTTTGTCCAACAAAAACGTACTTTTATTCTTTTCTGCAGCCACCCCTAAACAATAGAATAAATGTTATTTATGTTTTAGTTATAAAACACTTTTGAAACCTTATCTTTATCATTTGAAAAACCAAAACAGTTTTATCAATTATTGCCAGATGGTCATGGATATCATTCCTTCCCCCCACCAAAACCAGTTTCATCATTTGCCAAGTAATGATTTTATGCTCCAAATGGCTTATTTTTTCAACTATCATATATTTGTGATAAAACTAATAAAAAAATATATTTTCTTGGGTAAAATCAGGCAAAAATGCCATGGCACTTTTTTACAAAATGAGTATTTGTATTTTTTCCAACGATATTAAATCAAATTTCTAGGAATAATACATTATATTTAGCATTTATTTATATATATACAACTAAGTCCGGAATGTGTAAATTTCATAAACGTGGGTTTTTATCAAAAACAACATGCGTATTTGCGTGTGGTTATGTGAGCGAATCTGGTTATGTACGCAGTATCCGTTCTGAAGGTCATCTCCACGCTGTTATATGTTTGGGGAGAGTCCATGTATTCTCACGTGTGTACGAGTGCACGTCCGGTCGCGTGTTTGTGTGAACAGGTGTTCACATGTGGGACACTGCTCGTGCAGTTGTGTTTGTGGAGGTAATGGCATGTGTGTGGCCGTGCGAATCCATCTCTTCAAAACACTTGAATAAATCACCCTTTCATGCATTGGCAAAAACTTCAGCCTCTGCCCTCATTTCAACCCGTGGACAGGCCAAATCAAGGGTGGCCAAATAAGTCCTCAAATCATGAGCTTCCATGCAAGGAGTGCAGTGCCTGAAAAAGTATGACCAAAGTCCTTTCCAAATTGAGAGTGGATGACGCGCGTCGGGTAAATTATGCGATTGTCCGCGAGAGAATCGTCCGACACAAGAATGTAGAAATGTCAACACTGGTCTGAGACCAGTGGAGAAGCGCACCACCCAACGTTAGTATGAACATAGGGACAATTATGTTATAGTTATAATGATAGTCATAATATAGCCCGATATGAATGAATGGTATACCCCCTATAACCGTGGATGTAAAGCGCTGCATGCAGCAAATACAAGATAGCCATTATAATGTAAATGCATACATTAAATCAGGAATGGTTAACCGCTTATTTGTGTTGCATAACAGCAGATTGTGTTGCTTAGCATCCCGCTGCCTCAGAAGAATTTGAGATGTTTTCAAGATGCTGTCTAACGAATCAAGGGCATACGTAACTTTATTTAAACAAAAATCTTTCAGCATGGTCAGGGAATTGCATAATCTCGTGTAATTACCACAACTCAACTGCTAAAGGTGGCTGTGGATCCAGCGTTTTGCATTACATTTGCCAATGAAATTCATTGAAATGCTTTGATAATTATCTACGCTTGTACAAACAAGTCCCCAAGGGTAAATGATGTACACTGGGAGCGAGTTTGCATATAACATGAATGCCTAATGAGGTACAATGTAGCAGAGTTTGCCTTCTAATAATTGCGAATATACAATGCGTACATATTCAATTCCTAAAACTGCACATGATTTGATTCCATGCGACTGCTCGTGCTTTTCCTTATACATCGATCTTCATGTATTTACATTCATGTGGGCGCCAGATGAAGTGGAGGCATTCCGCTGTACCACAGGAAGCCAGTTCTCAATTGTTTCGCGAAAACGACCCTCCCAACACATTAATCATCCAAAGTGTAATTTATCATGAAAATATCGATTGTGATCAAATGGAAGCACTGAAATGCTTTTGGGAGTGCCCACCTGCGTTTGGACGTGTAAAATGGGACTGGTTCTGCATCAACAAAACAATTTAAATTGAACTGCCCAGTCATTCGAATATAAACCAACATAACTTTTTTGTGGAATACACAACGCACAGACACACATGCGAGACTAATGTATGGTTGGTGCCCCAGTGCTGATAATTGCCTTCTAATCGTTTACCAACGGGCAAGTGCAGACCCCTTGACGACCATTACTTTGATAACAGCACATGGCGTAATACTGTCTTGACTTTATTCAGCTGGTATGGCACCGTAGGCGTGGTTACATCAAATGGGACGTATTCAAAGCACAAGATTGCCATTGCGACCAGTAAGTACACTTCGTTTAAATAGCTCGGCATAAGCGTACCACGTCCAAGGTTTTTAGTTAACAGGAAAACATCTTTACAGTGGAGTCGTATGGTCTCTGAAAATGTGGCAGGAACGCCAGAGATCCCATAGCAGAGGGTATTTCTGCCACAACCTCCTTTTAGACGGTTGGATGCCTGTTTGTATACGCGAGTTAACTCAAGATTTTTCAAATGAAAAACCGAGACAGTTGTGCAGATGAATGACAAAGAGGGCAGTACTTGTCAGTTAATTTCATTCCACCATGGAACACCGCCACCTCGTGGCTTATAAACTTCAGTTTGGCCATATTTAGAGTAAATGCATGGCACCAGTACAGATCACGGGGGAACAGCACGGGTCAGACATGATGACAATACAGCCACAAATAAACTTAACCAAATGAATTGAAGCAGTTAAATTACCAGCTACATATTTACAATTTTCTTTAAAACATTCAATAATATAATCTCCACATACAGCTTTGTATCATTACGGTATTCTTGAGCACTGCTTATTTTGATGTACAGTAGTGCAGTGCCACATTAATATTAAACACCACTTTTCCATCTAAATTAGGATTCGGGTTGTACATGCACAGTTACAAGACAAACAGCAAATGGACACGTCAAATACTCCCATGTAAAACTATTGCAAGTTTTGTGTGTGAATATTTGAATTCCTCATGGAATATGCAGCCCACTTGTTTTATGCATGGTCCCCAACCACTGTTAAGCCTGTTTAGCTTCGGAGACCTGATAAGACCCGGCACATTCTGGATGATTTTGTCATTAGCACCAAAAGTGTAATGACAAATAGTTATAAATGAAATAAAAACATGTTTACTAATTCTGTAAAACATTCTGCAAAAACTAGTTTTGGGTGTTAGGCTATAATCATTTTGGCCATATATTTTGCTTTAATGCATGAAACCAATTATTGAATGAATTCGTTAAAAAGACGGGTTATTTCCACATTTAATTTAGCCACGTAAAGTTATATAGCCAAGAAAGCAACTACAACACTGCCCCAGGAGTCATCTCATTGTTCCCATACAGCTGCAGTGCCCAGCCAGTGAGCCTACATCGCCTTTATTTCCTCTTTCGGACCACGTCTTGTAGACGGCTAAAACGCAACAAATGCAAAGTTGGACCTTTGTTGTAACCAAGTCTAGAAATTAAACTGCATCAGCTCAACACATTCGATAAATATAAATACAGGTGACCCCCGACTTACGACGTCTCAACTTGCGACCTCCCCCGCATTTACGACCTTTCTTACAGTAATTAAGACCCCCACAGTAACGACCAAAACTCGTATCTACGACCACCGAATGACTGCTACCGACGCCGAGTTGATTGGTGACGAGTGTGTGCATGAAATGTGCACTCGTCGCTGCTTTGCTCTTCTGCCATGTGTATACACAGGAGAGCCCGACAGTCAGCAGCTGCGTCGAGAGCGAACGCAGCAGCGTCTCTTTTGCAACGCTCTTCACTTTTGTAATTTGTCTTCAAAAAAAAAATCGCCTTTCGCTACGTCTGAGAAGAAAAAATGTGATGCACATGTAGTAAAGTACTTAAGTGTTTGTTTTACTTAACATAACCTTTACAGACATTTATTAAGTTACAATAAATATTTGTTAGGGTTATTTTCATTTCTTTTCGTGGTCAATTTTGGTATTTTTATGGTAATGGGTTTCCAGGAACTGAACCCCAATGTGTAACATTGCGCATATGGGAAACGAGGGTTCGACTTAAGACGGCTCCGACTTGCAACCGTCATCCAGGACCCAATTAGGTCGTAGGTGTGGGGGGGGGGGGGGGTCGCCTGTAATGCGTTGGTGGTTCTCTTTCAAAGGGAATTCATATACGACGGGTGTTGGCAGCAACAAGGTGGCATCTTGCAGTTTGCAAGTGTGACATTTCGTCAGGCCTGAGCTGGTGGCACTCGGTTCTCCAGCCAGCGCCGAATGGCCGCCTGCAATGCTCGGTTGGGTATGAGGATGGCCGACTCCAGTGGCAGGTTGGTCATGGGACTCGTGCGCCGGCGGCCATGCAGCCAGGCCTCCACTTCCTTCTTCTCGTACGAGTAGCCATCTGTAATATGAAGGGGTCAGAGCACGTACAAAAACTTAGCAATGTTGAGATTTTCACTATTTGATGTGATTCAAAGAGCACAAGCATCCCCCCCATGCATGCGTGTGTGGGGTCAAGTGATGCAGTGGTTAACAATAGACCCTTACACCCGTATGGGGAAAGGTGTATGACTCAATGTAGGATCTTTGTCTTTTTGCATCCGAGTACATGAATAAGTGTGTGTGTGTGCACATATCTCTGCGTGTGCTGAAACTGTAAACTGAGCTCGCACCAGCAGCAATGACAGGGTTGTGCATGAGCTCCCGGCTGATGGGGCACAGGAACTCATCAGGGCACATCTGTGTCTGAGACTGTCTTCTCCAGGGATCTCAGCTCCTCCAGCTTCCGCCACAGTTTGTTCCGCAGCCCGAGCGACTCTGCCCGAACACATTCACCATCAGCGGTTGGGTTCAAAAGCACATCTGTTCACACATTCCTATTAAGTAATTTCACCATTTTAGCCCAATTACCTATGTTGAGCTCAGCGCCGAGGCTTTTTTTCTCCAGCAGCAGCAGCTCTTGCCCATCCAAGTGATTGTTGCGGAAAGTTTCTGTGAGCTCGGCGAGGCCCTCATCATGTAGCCAGCTTGTGACGTCCTCCACAGACCAGTGCATGGCTGCTCGATGTCCCACTGAATCTGCCGACCCGCCAGCGCAATGCCCACTATAGCCACCCCCTCCGTCACAGCCGCAGCCAAAGCCAAAACCACAGCTCATACATGGGCTCACTGTAAAAAAAAAAAACAGCATTATACCACCACTCTGAAATGCCTCCAACAATATACAGATGTTGCACCTTCCAGAATTGTTATTCAGGGCACAAGAGTTAAATCAACACAAGTCATTTGTTTAAACCTGATGAAAATAGGTTTTGACAGCTTTGACGTGATTGTTCTTAATTAGAAATAAATACATGTCAAACTCACTCAAATTTACATTCAACAAATGTTTGCAGCAATGAATATTTGGAAAGTATTACAGAGATTAAAAAAACTGCATATTAAAAGAAAGTCGTTAGGCATTTTAATATACACAACCACGTAATTGGGAAAGCTAACTACAATGACAGTTTTAACATTTATCATACGAAATAAATAACAAATATAAATCAACCTGAAATTGATGTACCTGTTCTCTGAAATAAACAACATATTTGCAGTCAACTCATTGCAAACCTCACATCACATACAGAACACACCTTGTGAAGTAGGTGTGTTCTCCAGTCTCCAAAGCTTCACTGTTTTATCCATTGACCCCGTAATGAGATAAGGAGCCCCAGGCGTGAAGGCACAAGACGTCACATACCTAAATAAAACAACCTCTCGGTAAAGGCTCTACACAAAGCATCCCCTCATCTTTTAATTCAGACTTGCACAACTCTAGTATTACACTCATTGCAATGTGGTTAAGTTAACATTACAAATGTCTCATGAAAAAAATGTTACATTACAAAAACATACCTTTGGTGCTCCAAAATGCTTAAGAGCTTTTCTCCGGTGATCTAGCAGGATAAACAAATTTATAATTAGTGTAAAAAAAAATCACCGTAGAATACTTGTATTTTAACTGAAAAGAAACAATTCTTAATTTCAATGTAAAAACTACAAAACATTAAAATTTCAAGAACAAAGTGCAGTGTTATCAATGCTTTTATTACTTGGCGAAATAGCATACTCACTGGGTTCCAAAGAATAACGGACTTATCAACAGAACTGCAAAAGAGTAACACGTCATTAGCAAATGGTTGGCACCTTTGTGTCCTTTTAGCAATGCCTCTGTGTTCTTGCATCAGGGCAGCAGGGATATGTTTCCCATGGTCTAGCAATAGCACCAACTACTCATGTAAAGACCACACACCATGTATCATGTTCCCAGCAGTCCCATATTTACTACTGAAATGAGCCAAGAATGTCTGTGTCCCGCGCGTGACGTCACTTCGTCGGCCAGCTCCCTTCAATAATCATGAGCAGGTGACGTCCTCCACATGGACTCCCCCTCATTAATAATCATGAGCAGGTGACGTCACTCCACATGTAGCACCCCCCCTCAATAATCATTAGCAGGTGACATCACTCCACATCGAACAGCCCCCCCACTTAAATAATCATGAAGAGGTGACGTCTTCCAAATGGACACCCCCCCCCCCTCTCCCACATTGATATTCCCTATTGAGACAAGTAAAAAGGACGTCATGATGAACAAGGGATTACAACCTTTAAATGAAATAAGTCTGTCACCGCGGACTCATAAATTGCACACGAATTGATGCAATGAATATCACATCGCGGTCTTCTTTTCGCTTGCAAGTTTCAGATTTACTGAAATACACCCGTCCTTAGACGGGCAAAAGGCTAGTTTAATCATAATACACAAAACCCTTCGCTGAAGCATACAGTTGCTTAACGCACCATTGTGCATGGCTTTGTCATGTCTTTGGAGAAGAGGATAATTGTCTAAAAACAAGACAGTGGAAGATGGTTTTGTGCAAATCACCCAGAGGCAAGCACATGTCCATCTGAGGAGAAGCAGCAACAGAGCACAGGTGCTGTATGGCCCTCAAGGTAGAAGCGTAGGGTCAGGCAGTCTCCTGCAGGGCACAGTGCGGTACACACAAATCACTAACACATGCCATTCCTAACAATGTATAATACAACATAACTAATAAGAGAATATAATATACTAGCAGTAGTGCGATTCCCATTTGTGCTTACACTTTCCCCTTTCATACAAAATCAATGCAGGGTTGGGTAAAATCACCTATGCACGTATATTCACATCTCCTGTTCACAATAGACTCTCAATGTTAAGGTAACTGAGTGAAAAAAACATTACCTGGAAAAAATTAGACCCACGAATATGACTGTGACCTACCGGTCCGGTCCAGCGCCAGTGTCCACAGGGCAACTTTGTTGTCTTGACCACAGGAGGCCATTATTGACCGCTGCGTCTCAAATCTTTCAACACCGGCCACTGAAAAATATTACAAATTTCATAAGCAACATAGGCAGTGACTTACAGCAGAATATTTAATCACGTCAGTACAACTATCTGCAAATGTATGTTTACATATTTATCAATGTTACTCTTATTGTGCTCTGCATGATGTCAAGAAGCCAAGCATCCATTCAGAAATGTTGCACAACACTGCATCATCCCATGTCAGAGAACGGCTTGTACAGGATTTCCATGATTATTATGCATGTTTACCCAGGATAACCTCACCGATTCTCAAGACCTTTTTTCAGGAGGGTTCTGCCAAGCTTTTTCAGTAGGGGGAAATGTTTCTACGTGGAATCACAATTGAGTACTTTGTAGGTAAATTTTCAGAATTGTAAGGGTTGGCCAATGTAAGTTACATTGGGTTTTTTTTTTGCTATGGGAGGCACAGGGAAGAACATACAAATGCAAAATATCGAATCAAGGCCCTTCTTGTGATGCACAAGCTTTACCAGTGCCACCTTGCCACCTACTACTTCTTAGATCCAGTCAAGTAACTTTTTAAAACACTAATTGCAAAATCACAAGACAAAACTATAGTTTTGCCAATGACCATGCTCAAACTATCAACTATTTTTAACTTGAAAATCTGTGTTCTTGGTTATTTTGCTAAAGTCACGTAGATAGAAAACAATCAAAATTAAAAGTAAAAAACCCACGACGTTTCGATCGCAACACAAGCAGTCTTCTTCTGAAGAAACGTCGTGGGTTTTTTGCTTTTAATTTTTGTTTTCTATCTACGTGACTTTACCTAAAGAACCAAGAGCAGGAATACTTGAAAATCTGGTTTAATAATGATTAGCTGAAACCTCTAATACATCTGAATTGACCAAGTGTGCTATAGGCAGGGACACTCTCTTCTGCTCCTACCAGGGCGGGGTGGTGGGGAGAAGCTGACGGCAGTGACACCAAGATCGTGTGCACTTTTGGTCGTGTGCAAGCAGCGCATGCTCACAGCGTCCCACACGCTAAGCTCGCCAATAGTGGAGCCAGTCACGAATGCCCGGCCACAGGGCGAGAAGGCACAGCCACTCACAGAGCCGTCCTTGAGGCTTGCCACTCTGTGGACATAGCATGGCACAGGCACCACTTCAGCACTGTGCTCTTCACTGCAACTCAAAGGCCGACCTCAAAACAGCAGTGTCAAATGTGTCTGGAATTATAATGCAGTGAGATAAAAATTGGATAATTGTGAAAAATGTTCTCATCAGTTAATTCAACATTTTAAAATGACGAATAACATGCTATATTGTAAGGCTTAAGATACAACGTATCGTTGATATATTTTGTACAAAAAATGCTCAATTGAATGCCTGTCAAGCATAAAAATCAGCTCAGGGAATGTTCATGTAAGAGATTTGATAAAGAACACAACACAGACTGACATTTACTTACTTTTCACAGTTTTGATTGCTTTAACAACCCATAATAATACATTCTACTGGAGCGAATAATGAATTCTACAAAATCCATCAAACGTTTGACACATTTAAGACAACCTCACCACCACCACCACCCAACGCGTTCACTCGATACCAGAACACAACACTTTCGACCCCCCGGCGAAGACAAACCAAGACAATTAAGTGCGGATGGCGCAACGCACTTTAAGCACCGATGGGCACGCACGTCCCACATGGCCAGGGTGCCGTCTGTGGATCCCGAGAGGAGGCACTCGACGGGCAGCGCCGCCGCCGCCGCTGTGGCTGGAGCCGCCGCTGTGGCCGGAGCCTGCCCCGCGTCGCCGTCGAGAGGGCGCGGAGAGAAGGCGCAGACGCGGACCCCGGCGCCTCCGCCGGGCTGCAGCAGCACGGTGATGCGCTGCCCGGTTCGCGCGTCCCACAGGGCGGTCGTGCCCTCGGTGGAGCAGGTGGCCAGCAGGCTGCCGTCCGCGTTGAAGCAGCAGCAGTGGACGGCGTAGGTGTGCGCGCGGATGGGCGAGAAGGGCGTCTCTCGCAGGGAGTCGAGCGCGTACGCACGCACGGTCTTGTCGGAGGAGCAGGAGGCGAGGCAGTGGCGCGACGCGGCCACGCAGTTCACGTCGTCGGAGTGCTCGCAGAGGCTCTGGATGAGCGTCACGGAGGCGCTCTGATGTCCCCTCGACTCCATGGCGAGTGGGTCCCGGCCGCCTTCCTGCCTTCCTGCCTGCAACGGAGTGGTAAGGGCGGAACACACAAGGCAATGAACACATCTAAAACAACGGAATTTGTGGTATTGAATTTTGATTTAAAGCTTTCGTGACTGCAGGGATTCATCTGCTTGATTCTTTCGGTAAAGTCACATAGAAGGGAAATAATAAAATAATAAAGCATAATAAAATACAATTCTCGGCCACAACGCAAGCAGCCGTCCTCAGGTGAAGAACAGGGCTGTCTGAAATACGCTGTCTTTCCGACAGCCCTGTTCTTCACCTGAAGACGGCTGCTTGCGTGGTGGTATTGGTTAAAAAACACACAATCACATTGGTGACAAATTGCGTTCAACTTTGGCAAATTGGGATAACGACGATCAACATCGCCCCCGCCTGCCACAACAACTCGCGCGTGATTCACACTCAACATGCGTCCAGCAGACCGCGATGTATTTGACGTGCGACGCTGGTGATGCGCATGAAGCAAGTTGTATTCATCTCCACCCTGTGAGGTTGACACCTTCTCACAGCCCCCCTGCCCCTCACCTCACACGCACCTTACACGTCAACCCTGGCAGTCAATCTAAGATAGCACTTCGCTTGGGTGGGACACCTGTGAGTCGTCTCGACTTCCCCTTGACACCGGACTCCAACCCCCTCCACGTGGACCCCGACCTCTGACCCTTGACCTCCCCCCCACCCACCCGGCGGTGTTGACCCGTAACCATCCACCCGGGGCTCGTGATGATGATGATGAAGATCCGTCCGTCAGCCACTAAAAGGCGAAGGCGGCGGCGCTCTCGACAGCAGCTCTCTTACCAAGCCCGCGGCGGGCGCAGGGGACGCCGGACGTCTGCTCGGCGCTCGGGAACGCGAAAACAAAAACCCAAAGCCAATTCCCACAGCCCCCCACAGCCACCCACAGCCCCCACAGCCCCCCACAGCCCCCCTTTCTCGCAGCAAGCAGAGCTCTCGCGGCCTTCCTCACACAGTGCGAGGCGGCGGCACTTCCGCTACCGTGACGTCACGAGCCGGGGAGGGGGTCGGGGGGGTGAAGGGGGGGGGGTCGAGGGGGGTGTTTGGGGGGTGTTGGGGGGGGTCGAGGGGGGTGAAGGGGGGGGTGTTGGGGGGGGGTCGAGGGGGGGTGAAGGGGGGGGTGTTGGGGGGGGTCGAGGGGGGTGAAGGGGGGGGGTTGGGGGGTGTTGGGGGGGGTCGAGGGGGGTGAAGGGGGGGGGTTGGGGGTGTTGGGGGGGGTCGAGGGGGGTGAAGGGGGGGGGGTTGGGGGGGGGTCAAGGGGGGGTTGGGGGGGGTCGAGGGGGGTGAAGGGGGGGTCGAGGGGGGTTGGGGGGTGTTGGGGGGGGTCGAGGGGGGGGTGAAGGGGGGGGGTCGAGGGGGGGTTGGGGGGTGTTGGGGGGGGTCGAGGGGGGTGAAGGGGGGGGTTGGGGGGTGTTTGGGGGGGTCGAGGGGGGTGAAGGGGGGGGGGTTGGGGGGGGGTCAAGGGGGGGTTGGGGGGGGTCGAGGGGGGTGAAGGGGGGGGTCGAGGGGGGTTGGGGGGTGTTGGGGGGGGTCGAGGGGGGTGAAGGGGGGGTGAAGTAATTCACCCTTTTTACCGGGTTCAAGGGTTAAAGGGTGAAGGTGTCGGCCATGCCAAGGAGTCAGGTAAAGGGTTAAAGGGTAAAGGTGGCGCTGAACAATTACCCGGTAAACACCCAGTTTACCGTAAACACCTTAACTTTTAATTTAAAGCTTTCGTGACTGCAGGAATTCATATTCTTGGTTCTTTTGGTAAAGTCACGTGGAAGGGACTTTACCGAAAGAACCAAGAATACGTAAACACCTTGTGTCGCTCGCTAACAGCTCCGTGGCGCAGTCCGTGGCCTTAATTTAAAATTGGAATAACGAAGAGTAATCTACAATGTTCATGTCGTGTTCTACATGTCGTGTTATACATGTCGTGTTCTACATGTCGTGTTCTACATGTCGTGTTATACATGTAGTGTTATACATGTAGTGTTATACATGTAGTGTTATACATGTAGTGTTATACATGTAGTGTTCTACATGTCGTGTTCTACATGTAGTGTTCTACATGTCGTGTTATACATGTCGTGTTATACATGTCGTGTTCTACATGTCGTGTTCTACATGTCGTGTTATACATGTAGTGTTATACATGTAGTGTTCTACATGTCGTGTTCTACATGTAGTGTTCTACATGTCGTGTTATACATGTCGTGTTATACATGTCGTGTTATACATGTCGTGTTATACATGTCGTGTTCTACATGTAGTGTTATACATGTAGTGTTATACATGTAGTGTTATACATGTAGTGTTATACATGTAGTGTTCTACATGTCGTGTTATACATGTCGTGTTCTACATGTAGTGTTCTACATGAACATAAAGCGCTCTAACTCGCATGTACCTCTCACACACCTTGCTCGTGTGGAGTCATGCCCCAGTGACCCCCCCTGTGATCGGGTAATCTGTGGGGTCAGGGTCAAAGGTTGGGTCAAGGTGGCCTCGTTGCTTTTGACCTTTCACCTTGCCGAGGCCGATGGGGGGGGGGTCGTGATGTGGGGGGAGGAGTCGAGGGGGTGGGGGATTACGGCGACATGACATCACCAGGAGTTGGCGGCGGGGGGATGACGGTGACATGACATCACCAGGAGTTGGCGGGGGGGGGGGTGTATGACGGTGACATGACATCACCAGGAGTTGGCGGAGGGCGGGGGTGGGGGGGCGCGCGCACGTTTTGGTGACGTCACAAGAGGGCGGCGGGGAGTGGAGAGGAGCCACCTGGTAAAGTGACGTCACAAAGGCTGCGGCTCGCGCGCGTCTCCAGGGTGACGTCACGGCTGGCGGGGCTCCACGTGCGAGGTTCCGTGCAAGAGCCACCAGCGGCGCGCATCTGAAGTCCCCGCAAAGTTTGTTTGTTTTGCTGCGGCGCAAACTCAGGAGAGGTCAGAGATAGTCTCGTTTGCAAGGGCGAGCTGTAGATAATGGTAGCAACGCATGTTGTTGCAGCCAACACTGTGTCGTGATGATGATAATCATAATAATTACATTTATGTAGCGGCTTGTCATCAAGGATCTCAAAGTGCTGTAACAGGACACCAGCAGGAGCAGACGCTCAGCATAAAAATGAACATTTAAATACATTTTAAGAATCATTTACTAAATTAACTAAACGTTTAATAAGCGGAAGCGTATTAATTCGGGTTTATTTTTTTAAATGTCCACAGACTCAAAGAGATGAAACAATAAGAATATGTTAGAGACTCTGATGTCTCGTGCAAGAGCGTCGGCCCATTAGCCCGGGGGGCTACACGGGAAAACAATCTCGGTCACCCATAGACCGAAACGTCGGCCTTGGTAGTGAAGAGAGAAGATCTTAGTGGCCTTGAGAGAGGGACACGTGTGGGCGCAGCGTGTCAATGATGTAGGCTGGGGCACAAGATGGTTCACACAATTTCCGGCTGGTGTCAAGGAGCTTAACGACGAAAACTTTGTCATATCATTACGTGGCTTAAACATCGATTACGTGCCCTTGTGATGTTCATAACGTGCGTTTTACTGGTTAGGAACCCACTGGTTCCACCAGCCCACAGGGGATTCTTGTGTCCGTCCGTCGTGCAGAGAGGGGCTGGGTGGGGAGGGGCTGGGTGGGGAGGGTGGGGAGTGAGAGGGGTGAGGCTGGTGGGGGTGGGGGAGGGTGGGGGAGGGTGGGGTGGGGAGGGTGGGGATGGGAGGGGTGGGGCTGGGTGGGGAGGGGAGGGGCTGGTCACCCCGTGGTGCCCTTATAAAACTCAACGTTTAACCTACTCACGCCGGCTTGTGCTCGCCCTCACAGTCGGGCATATTTGCGGAATACACCACGCCGCCGTTGACCCTGGCCATTGACCGAGCAACCCAACGTTCCTACCAGCTCCCTCCGCAGGAATGTGTTAGATCTCGGCGTTTCTCGCCCGTGTGTTTTCCCAGCTACCTCCGTGCTTTTTTTCGCACTTTCAGATTCATCCAAATAGTTTTTTTGGGTTAGATCGAGTAAATATAAATGTGTCGTTAAACCCGCCACCACCAGACACAGCCAATTAGTCAGATTCGTCACGTAAACAGAACGACACATTAACGCGATCTAACCCAAAACACCTCTTATGGATGATATTGGTCGCGAAAACCAACGTGTTAAACTGACTTTCAGATTTAGTTTCAATATTCATTGTAATTTTTGTAATGTTTCTGATTCGTATGTCACTGCGAGAGATATACGCTTGAGTACTGATGAACAATCTCGCGAAGCTATCCGAGTGTGCTCGGTTTTCGTCTCATTGTGGATCTGGTCCGCTTTCAATAATTGGCTGTTACATATTCTATTTAGTTGTGGCACCACTATTGTCTCTTTTTTGCTCGCCTTCGTGAAAATTCTCCCAATTTATTTAACAATAAATTGAATACTTCCACAGTTCATGGTTACGCTTTTATATCTCCATTCCAATTTTCGTAAAATATCTTCAAGAGCCTTTGGATACGCGTGGTGAAAGGGTACAATCTCCTTGTCTGACTCAGATGTCATCATGCAATGTCATATCGCGGTTTCTTTGTGTTCACGTTGGTGACTGCTTACATTTCCTCAATAGTTGATACAAGCCAGATATTTTATTCTCTTTTCTAGAAATAGTTTCAATACACAGTGCAGTATTTTGTTAAACGCATTTTCTGAATTCGGTTTGCTGGTGTGGTTGGTTATCATCACGTGTACGTCAGTGTTATCTTAATTTACGTACAGTATATTTGTGGCCAATGGGTTAAATGTTTTCACTCGGTTGTCTCCCATTTTTGAACAGAAGATTGTGGTAAGCGTCCCATGATTATGTATTTAAGGCCAAAGTTTCGTAAGCAAGTCGGCTAATTTCTTTTCAACAACTGGTCTCACTTTAAATGACGTTTAGTTCCATATGTTACGAGAGGGAACCTCTCATTTTTATTCAACGGTTTTACTTAACTTGACTCTTGTGTCATGGTCAAATCTTGTAATCAATTTAGTCTACTTCCTGTTGTACAATTAATTCCAACTTTCGCACACGTACTCAGATCCGGTGACAATACATGCCCGTATCAAAATCTGCATCAATTAATTCGCTCCTTTAAAGCAATTCACATTTTGTATGGGCGCCTTATTATTTATATATGTGTGTAGGTCAAAAAAGTCACGGTCCCGAAACTCTCGAATCGCCTCGCCCAAGAAGCAGGCGCCACGTGTCTCAGGCGCGCCTGGTCCGGGCACCCTCACTCCACACAAACAAGAGTTGTACTGTACATTGAAGATTCAATTATAAAATAACAAATTAATTCAAGTAAGCGTTGATGTGGGAGCAGGCGCTGCATCATTGACGTCCTTCTCGACCGTGAGTTAAACGAAGTTGTGAATAAAACCGTTGTTTTTAAAACACTTTTTTAAAGAAGTTTTTTGTTAATGCGAGATTTCTTCAGCTTTGCCATCCTGAACATCTCATCTGAAATTGCAGTTTTTCTCCTGTGGTGTACATATTTCGGGTATACGTGAATTGCTTTGTGTTTAGTTTGTTGTCCTTCCCCAGCACCTCCGATTAACACGGTTGGCTACGTACAGTGCGGAATAAGTTCAACATACATACAAAGGGCTAAATAGATCTGCATACAATATCTCCAGCAGTATTGTGATTGTCTATCATGAGTTATGGTTCCAACTTTACACTACACAATAGACAGGAGCTTATGACCACATCACATTATAATTTCCAGACAATACCATACCAAACATGATGAGATCTGTTCTACAGCTGAACACACCAAGTACAAAGCTGTACCTGGTTTATTTATCTCCTGTACTGTATTAAAACGTACTTTTTATTTTTTAGTTTTGTGTTCAGAACGGATGTGCATTGGGAAAAACGACTTTAAAAAGCACACATGCACAAATGGGAAAATAACTCATTATGTTTAGATGTTAATCAAGTGATGTTTTATAGTGTAAAAAAACACAGGGTAGCTCAAATGTATGTTATTACTAAGTCACATTGTACTTTGGGGGTGAGCTCAAACTGCCAAGTCAGGCTTCAGCACATTTTCATCCATCATTGCAATTCTACATGGATGTCAAGTGTTTAAATAACCATGCACCGCACCTACTCTATGACATTGAGAGATTTCGATTCACTGCACCACCCCACATTCCAATCCTGAACAAGTAACACACACTTCACTTTGTTGCATACAGAAAAAAAAGCTTTTATTATCCATAGCACACATAGCCATGTAAAATATACCCCTAAAAATCAAAAGACAGCTACTATATTTTTTAAATACAGTATGTCACTTTTGTCCCCAAAAAGACGCATGGCATTACAATGTTGGGCACTCCCATAGTGGCATGAGGGATCTCTGGGTTGTAGAGGACAAAACTGGGGCAATAGCCAGACGGGCAGCCGGGGACAGGTGTGACGTGACACACGTGGGGTCATGGAGCAGCACCAAGAAGAAGCTGGCACAGCCCACCAGGAGCCTCCAGAACACAGACCCAAGAGAGCAAAGTGGGCAGCTAAACATTTACACCAACAAAACTTGAAATCATAAAAACCAACAACGCAATGAATTCAAATTTCACATTTTTAACAAGATGAAACTTAAAAGTCAAAGACTCATTTCCACTCCATTTCCCACTTGCCCCCCCCAACACCCAAAATACAGTACATTATGCAAAACATCCGACATTGGACATACAGTATCTACATGTATTTGAACAAGGTATATACAGTGCCTTGTACTCAATCGACTACAATCATCGTGACAATAGAGACTCGGCTTCTAAGGCAATACTAATAATACCATTTACTTAGTGTGTTGTGCGAAGGATATTTACAAAGTTTCTTCTAACCGCACCAATACTTTGTATATGTACATATAGGATTAGCATGATTTTCAGAGGCATCTGCATGCTCTTCCCTCTGACCATGGGGCAGGCAAGGGAGCAGCAGCCCCCTGTCCAAGCCCAGTGAGCACTCTTGTTCCGCGGAGTAGCATCTTGTAAACAAATAAACTTACATTATTATTTTTTTACTCAACAAACCGATGCATTCTACGAAAAAAACGACCCGTCAAACGCTTAGTGATAAATACAAACACAACAAATAATAAAAAAATTAATTTACATCGCTGTAAACCTCTACAGACATTCAATACATAAGAAAACGGTAGTTTCATAACCTATGTGTGTGACGTTAACCTGCTTTACACAACCACAGGGCTTTGTGACCATCAGACCACAGCATACATGATTAGAGGAACAAGGACTCTGCTGCTATAGTTGCCAAAGGAAAATACATCCTCCACCATGGAAACGGGTAACGGACACGAATTCTTTTACCGGTGGTAGTAAGGGAGCACTTTCAGTCCTGGGCCCATTCTGAACAACACAAAGTGTATAGTGGAGTGGTGGGCAGGCAGGACATCGTGCTTCCTCCCTACCCGATTAATGCCCTGCTGCATATCACATCGACGCGGCTTGAGACTACAGTAAACATGTCAGCATCACCAAGAAGAAAATCCTCACCGCGCAGCAGTACGGTGCAAATGGTTCCTTTACAACATTCGCTCGAATGCGTCGCTTTTATTTTCCAGTCCTGGTTCTGGAAACCTGATCCGACTTTAATACAGTATGCGGTAGAGTGCCCGGCAAGGGGTTCATACTTTGACACACACACCTGGGAATTCCTCACACAGTTTGTAACTTGTGAATGTTAAACTGTCACTAGATTGTAAATGACAAGTGATATTTGTTTAGTTCTTTCATATAAACGTGTGTGTGAGAGTGTGCCAGTATGTAATTAAATAAAAAATAATCCTAAGAATCATACAAGTTTCATCTTCAGTGAGTTATACGCGGTCACTGAATAATATAATAATTACTATTTAGTGCTATCATGCCATTAACCTGTGTTTTATACACAAGTCAATGTGAGTCACTTTACACATCTGCTGCAAAAATACCAAACTATAATTTGGTCTGCATGTAAACAACATCATGCTGCTTATTTGAAATGAAACATATCAAATAACGACATTCTGTCTCCTACAGCTTCATTAACTCTGGCCTAAAATTCACTGACTATATTTGGACTTTATTTGATGCCTTTGAAATCCAAAATAGATCTGGTTCCGTTGCTCTAATGCTTTTTTGGATAATGCATCATAGTTTCACATCCTGCATGCCAAGTCAGCATCATTTATTACAGTGTTTCACAATCTGGGTCAGCTGGTGAGTTATTGAGGCCCTATTGGGCAGCCTCACTGAAATCAGAGCAGTCACTCGCCAATATGCACCTTTTAAAGCAGTGTGTACTATTACAGGCATAAGAACAACACAGCACAAGGGGGCACATACATGATTATGGTTTTGTGGTGAAATGTCTAACCGAAACAGAAATGAACACAAGTTTGGTCATGATACCTTGTGTTAAAATGCCTCAAATGAGCATGTGTTTGTCTCCCCTAAGTAAGGCTTGTTGTGTATTCCCTGCCCAAGAAGGGCTGAGGGTTGGCGGCAGTTTGGAGCCCTGTTCAGGTCCCACCAGTCAGCTCCACCCAACGGCTCTCGAAGAAGCACCGCATGCCGTGGCCGGCACGCCCCACGTCAGACTCGTCCTCGTTGAAGCGCTCACAGTTCTTGAACACGAGACGCACATCGGCCATGAACGCTTCGCGAGTGGCGTAGCTGCGTGTGGCGCACACAAAATACAAAGATCTCCCGTTAGCCTCGTAGAGTCCGGAGAGACGATCACCTCTTCTAGGCCTGGCATACAAAATACAGTTATGGCTCGCAATATATATCCGGCTGCTTTTGTCCTCCCAGTGCTAATGCTTGCCGATGCCTCCACAGAGTGCTTGGTAAAAACAATTTCGTATCCTATCCATAAGGTAACATGTCCCAGAGTGCAGATAATCAAAGGAGGAAAATCGTAGGGAATGAGAAGCAATTAAGTTTGATTGAAAATAAATGTTTTGGATGACGTATTTCGAAACAGGAGAGAGAGGGGACCAGGCAGAGGCACCTAGGAAAGGAGTTACAGAGGGTGGGGTGTAGTGGCTAAGAGCTGCCACCAATGGTGAAGCAGCGGATCTTAGCAATGTTGTGGAGGTGGAAGACGACAGATCATGGTGACTGAGCATGTATGGGTGAGGGAAGCTTGGCATGGGGTCCAGACAGATGCCAACAGTGCAGACAATGAGGGTGCACATGTTATCACGTTTTAAAAATTATTCAGATTGTTTGTACAATGAAACGACAATGTTTGAAGTGGGCGCACTTTGTTCATCGTAATACTTTCAGTGGCTGTAGGGGGGTGCGAAAGTTTCAGCGGAGGCTATGGATTGCTCAATGGGAAGGGCCTTAACCAGACGCGGGATCATAATTGCTGAGCCCCTTAGGCCGCTGCTATTGGCTGAGCACTATACAGTCGCGGCCATGAGCTTTGTTTCAAACTTACAATGGCTTTGTTGCCAGAGGCAACGGCGTTACCGTAGTGCCGCTATTGTCTGCGAAGTGCTCGATCTACCAGTGCTAAAACTGTACAGGGGTAACTACCGGTCCAGTAGCTGTAATATGATGAGGTTGAATGCTGGTAAGCCTAACAGTATGCTTACTTACTTATCTACCAGTTATGTGTTACTTATTTATTGGATATTTACTTTTGTTACTTATTTACTGTTTTAAGTTCACTATTCCCGGTTAGTTTGTTTTCTTTGTGCACGTTATGATTTTAATGTTAACAATTTATAGTGGAATGTATTACAAATGTAAACTTTGTATTAATATGATGGAATTAAGCTGCGGTAACGACGTTAAAGATGTGAATGCATGCGGGGTATATGGAGGTGCGGGCTATCTAAAATTTGTTTTACACAAAACGCTATTTTTGTGGGGTATATGCGTCTGCGGGATTCCAAAGAACACAGGATGAGATGTTATTATCCTTTGTGCAAGCACTTCCAAGAGTTCATGAACAGTGAGCCTGGTGAAATTTGGGGAGCGCATCGTCAGTAGTGTATATGCTGGAAAATACTGTAATGACTACCGTCTGTGAAGTAGGACACTGCCAATTTTAAGAGTTCACTTTTTATTATTGTGTATATAAGAGTGTGTACATGTCTTCATGTGCGCGTGTACTCACTGCCCACTCTCTAGTTTGTTGCGCATGGTGGAGAAGTCCATCGGCCTCCGGATAACGGTGCGATATCCTGGCACCATCTTGCTGTTGACGGGCAGGAGGAATGGCCATGCATCATGGTGGGACTCCAGCTCAGACATGATCGTCCTGGTGGCATGGGAAAGTGGTATGAACATCCAAACCATTTTTATTTTACCATATTAATACTCTAAAACGTAATTATAATCTTATACAAAAATTAGATAATCACATCAAGTAATCTTGTCAAGTTGCAAACAAAAATCTCAAGCGGCCACTGCACAGTAGGTCTCTGCACAAAGACAACGCACCTGCACGGCGTGAGGTCCAAACTCGCCTCCTTGTTCCGTGCTTTTTTGCTGGGAGGTGGCGATTGTGCCGGGGATTGGAATGGTGAGGACCCCTCGCCTCCCGACACCTGCATGCTCTCCCGCAGTGAGAGCAGCAGGGCAGCCTCCAGGTCGTCATCACGGAAGCGGCGCTTGCGCATTTCCCTGCCACCTTTGCGGGGGCTGTCCCCCTCTGTGTCCGTGGTGGCCGGCGTGGCAGTACTCCCGGATGGGGAAGAGGAGACCGACGAGGTGGCGGTGGGGATGGAAAGAGTCAATGGTGGTGGAGGAGGAAGAGTAGGAGGAGGTTGCAGAGGTGGAGGAGGTTGCAGAGGTGGAGGAGGTTGCAGATGAGCAGGAGGTTGCAGAGGAGGAGGAGGTTGCAGAGGAGGTGGAGGTTGCAGAGGAGGGGGAGGAGGTTGCAGAGGAGGAGGTTGCAGAGGAGGAGGAGGTTGCAGAGGAGGTTGCAGAGGAGGTTGCAGAGGAGGAGGAGGTTGCAGAGGAGCAGGAGGTTGCAGAGGAGGTTGAAGAGGAGGAGGAGGTTGAAGAGGAGGAGGTTGAAGAGGAGGAGGTTGCAGAGGAGCAGGAGGTTGCAGAGGAGGTTGCAGAGGAGGAGGAAGTTGAAGAGGAGGAGGAGGTTGCAGAGGAGGAGGAGGTTGCAGAGGAGGAGGAGGTTGCAGAGGTGGTGATTGCAGAGGTGGTGATTGCAGAGGAGGAGGTTGCAGAGAAGGAGGTGGAAGAGGGGGAGGAGGTGGTGGCAGTGGAGGCGAAAGCACGGAGGATGACTTGGCACTGCGCCCGCAGCTTTTCTTTGCTGCGGAGCCGCCCTCGCTATTGTTCTTGCGACCACGTGGTGATTTTGTCTTTCCTGCTTTGGGAGACTGCCCACTGGCCTGTGGGTAAGCATTTCAAATGCACCACAGGGAGACAATTGTGTTGGGATAAGGGTTAAGCACTTTGTGGATGTTGCAAACACAAGGAGCACTGGATGAAAGAAAATGTTTTAAATTACAATGTGAATCCATAGACACAATGTCTGATCAGCAGCAATGATAAATGGTATCGAGACAAACAGCAATGCAGCAGCACCAACTGACACTGCTTGTATGGTGGATAAAAGCAAATGAATGCATGGCCTTTAGACCACTTAAATCCTACCCTTGAGAGGACACATCCACCACATGCAAACATAATATGGAGCCATTGTTTCACCATTAATGTGTGTACCATTTCAGACACAAACATGCTTCTGAAGATGCACAAAGGCATAGCACGACCATGCGACATTTTGTGGGAAGTGCAGGCATACTATGCGTGTGCTAGCTCATACGTGCGCGTGCGTGCTCGCGTCGGGCTGACTCACAGGAATGTGGTGAACCCAAGCAGCGGTGGTAGCGCCGGGGGTGGTGGTGGTGGCGGCGGCAGCAAGAGCGGGGGATGGAGCTGATGCGGCATGCAGCTTGTCGGGCGATGGGGCGGAGGAGCAGGAGAAGGATGTGACGGTAGTGGAAGATGGAGGTGCCGCGCGGCTGCCCGTTACCTTGGATATACAGGCTGGGCAGTACCAATCTCCATCGGGGATGGCAGGAAGCTTTGGCTTGTGGCAGTATGTGTGGCAGCCACGGTCACAGCCATCACACAGCAGAAGAAGCTCCTCGTTATCGCCCTTGCGACACATCTGGCAAAACTGCAGCACCATCACACACGGGGCTGCATTAGATGCGGTTTCTGTGTGGAACTGAAGCCCCTTGAGCAAAACAAAGGTCATGTACAACAAATCAATAATATTGGTCCTGAAAACCTACGCATAGAATCATGTACAACAAGTTGGCAAAATTAAATAAAACGTCAGTTTAACACGTGGGCTTTCACGACCAATATCATCATAAAACATTTTTTTTAAGGTTTATCACGTAAACAGAACATGCCAATTCGTTACTAGTACAGCACACCAGTGGACAGACAGATTTGGCTGTCCGCCTGATGATGCTAGTTGTAATGACTGGCGAAACGTCATACTCAAGATTGTAAATGTTATGGATTTGCTCTCCAACACACAACCGGTGTGCTATACTAGTAACAAATTGTCATGTTTTGTTTACGTGACAAACCTTACTAATTGGCTGTGTCGGGTGGTGGCGGGTTTAACGACACATTTACACGATATAACCCAAAAAACCTATATTATGTCAAATAAAACGTGTTGGAAGAGCACAACTGGAAACAACAAATTGCGTAAATAGGGGAACGAGAGCAGGTTTGAGTGATTTTGGAATCTAAAACTTGGAAAGGACAATGGCAAAATGATGGAACAAAAGAATCCTGGGGAGATATATTCTTAGAATTACACTAATTAATAGAACAAAGAAACATGGATCAGAGACCAAATGCCAATGAGACAAGTAATAATGAGTTAAGAAAAGTAAGTGGACTAGGGCGAGGGACACCGCTGGAAAGGATGATCTCTGATGGACAAGGCTGGTAATGGATTGGTAGCCAACGGGGGGGAACACACCCAAGAGTACAACCACCATGGAGATAAAGCGATGGGATCAGCAGCTTGTGCAGGAACAAGAAGGAGTGTGGCATCGAGGGGCCATGAGGGATTTTTGCAGCCTGGGGAGGCATTCATCCAGTAGTGGATAGATCATGGCTAATGATGATGATGATCAGCTCACTTATGACAGCTTCTATAGTAATTGACTGCTGCAGTAAAACTGTAATTATAGTTTATGGCAGTCAGAATTACCATAACAACCACGGTTGCCTTAATACTGCAAGCACATGGGAGCTTTTAAGGGCCCACTGAAAATGCCACGGGCACTGTGCCGGGTGGGGGGGGGGGTTTGCACTTCATTTAATTAATTATCAATTAACTGGACACGGACATTGGTGAGCACACTTAATTATTTACTTTATTCATAAGTGCCGCCTTATCCTTTTAACTGTGGATATTTTTTGTTAAAACGTATAGAGGGCAGTTAGTTTTGACGTCAACATTTTGCAGATGGGGCTTTTGGTTGTGGAGGAGATGGGGATACAGAGAAATATCTGCAATATTATTTCCCCCTGCGGGCAAAATTATGAAAATCAAGCTATCAATTTCATGCACAGAATAAGGACTGTCAAGAGTAATGCGCCACCATCACCACCACATGAACACAAAATTGCAAAATTACTATAATGAGAAATGGTATCAAGGAGCACCACGATAACATTTTTCTGCACAGGAATTGCACTCAAGTTGCATTTGCCACGCTGTTGAGCTGCAATTATGTTGTGTAGTCATTTAAATTTTTCTATGGCCAGAAAAAAGGGAGTGTTTTATGGAAGACTCCCCAAGAGGACTGACCACTTTCATGATGGATTTCTCCCAGGCGATGGCCTTCTCCAGCTGCTGCAGGCACAGCGCCACCTGCGAGGCGTTCTGAGCGCACAGCAGGGCCCTTCTCCAATCCCGCAGGCCAGGGGCGATCTCCTCCTCCCCCCTGTCACACACACATGCATGTGCACGACCTTTACACGTCAAGAAGAATAAAGACTTCAAAAAAAGCATCAGGAAAAAACTGTGCTTAAATATAAGCACATTAATTTGTTTTACGCAGCATTAAGTCAAATGTGTTAAATGAAGCAATAAAGTGCAACAGCCAGACTGCCTAGCCAAATTCCGCTTATCAGCTTTTTAGTTTAACCAACACGGATGCAACAGATAATCCTTAAAAGTTAACAATTTTTCGTATTGACCATTTATTTCTTTACAAATACATGAAGTGTATCGGAACTGGCCTCTACTCGGTCGACCTACCCATCCCACTGGGTGCTTTCGCATGGAGCTGGTGCCGGGACGGTGACAGTTCCCACATTGTCTAGCTGGATCTGGATGGTGGTGCTGAGTGGGCTGCGCAGGTATCTCCGCTCGATGTTGCGCTCCAGAGCAGCAAGACGCACAGCGGCCAGGTCCAGGGGGTTATCGTCCGAACGGCGGATTGGGCACCTTTCCACTTCCTCGGCCGCTCGCGACGCCACCGCTTCGCACGATGAGCTGCCCTTTCGCTCAAGTTTTTCATGCTTCCCTTCGGCCACTGCGGTGCCACTTTTGCTTTCTTCCTTCTCGCTTCCTGCCTCGCCCCTAATGATGCTTTTCATCTCCATGGCTTCACAATCAATGATGTCCCCCGTAGGGCAGCTTTTGCTCTCATAATCGTCGATAACTTTGATGTCAACCGGCGGCCCGTCGCTTCTGATCTCGTCCCCGTCTTCCATGTCCTCGACCTTCAGCCGGACCCCGGGGTCCCGCTTAGCCTTCTCTCCTTGGCTTTTCGTAGCCTTGCCCCCCTTGCCCCTCGACTCGCTGCTGCACCAGGCCAAGGGCAAAGGCTCACGGTTGTGATAAACGAGGTTCTTCCTCTCTGATGCTCTTTCCGGGCAGCGCCAGCCCTGGGAGGCAGCGACGAGCAAGGAGACAACAAAAGACAGAGCTTTGAGTGTAAATATGATAAAATAGTAATTTGTTTCAGGAAAATGCTAATATGATAGCTACCAACCTTGACCTGCATGCTCGCAGAAGCCACTCTCTCCTCCAGTTCCTCCACCAGCCGCAACACCGCCAGGTCGGCCTGGAACGCCTGCTCTTCCACTGACCAGCTGGCCACCTCCCGACGCAACACACACTCTGCCTTCTCCCCCTTGTCCCCTTTTGCCACTGGTAACACTGCATACGCACACATGCGAGTGGCAATATACGCGTATTAAAGCAAAACCAATGTTGCAATGCATTCTTATCTATTGAAATATTAGCTTATACAGCATACATTTTTCCGACAAGGTCTGGCATGCCAATGGGTTCAGCACCAGCTAAAAACAAAGCAGTTGATGTATATTCTGGCTACAGCTATAAACAAGGTGTGGACGTCTCAGCTGCACGCACTGTCCCGGTGTCTGGCGCAGGCCTGGCAGGTGTAGTCGAGGTGCTTCTGCAGCTGCTTCTGAAGCGCTTTCTCCCGGATGCCTCGAGGGTGCAGCGCCTTCAGCACGGAGTGGATGGTATCCGTGTCGGTTACGCGCCACCAGCCGTGCCGCAGATCTGTACAAATGTGATCACATCAACGTGCTTCACGTTTGACCCTTTAAAATGTGATTCCAGGCGGCCACGTTTTACAATGCAAACCTATTACTGGTAAAAAGTGGCCTTACACAGTAAATAATCCGTTGTTTAAATATTAAGAATATTCTGTCAATAGCATGAAAGAAAGTCACCAAAGCTTCAAATCAAGAATGAAAGAAAGATATTGATATTTGACGTTAAGGAATACTCTGAACATCTATTGTCAAAATTCTCCTTTATATTCATTGACAGAATTTTTTTTTAGTTTTACTCCACCTGTCCAATTAAAACAAAACGTCAGCAGTCAAATGCATATTTTTACCTATTCAGCTTTAGCAGTGAAAGTAAAGATACCCGTTATACATAGGGGGAAAGGGTTTCATGAAGTACAGAACATTTAGAATTGAAGTATAACAATTCACTTTCTAGATGATTGTCACGATTGAATTGTCACGATTAAATATAATGATTCTATTCAACAATGGATATGTTTTGGTAAATTGTGAATGTAGCGGCCACTAGTGGTTGCAAGGGGAGAATAAACCTATTTCAACATAAATTGAAAAACATTGATTCTTGCACACTTGATTTGATGTGTGTATTGTGAGCTTAAGAATCGATATTCATAAACCAATGCATCACTGCACCCCTATTTTTTTTATCTAGACTAATACATTAATGTCCTTTATGTGTTGAGCAGCAGAGAACAATGCAGCAAATTCTATTGATGAACTGTACTTCTGTGCTCCCAAGTCTATGCTCCTGGCCGCTAACCCGCACACTGACCAGTGTGGTAATGTTTGGACCAACAATCCCCACGACCAAAACGGCTTGGGGAGATCCTCACCCAGCAGTAGATTGGGAAAAAAATCTACGTGTACAGTAATCATCTTCTTGTTTCTTTCGGTAAAGTCACGTAGAAGGGAAATAATAAAAATAAAACATAATAAAATAATTCTCACGACGTTTCGGCCACAACGCAAGCAGCCATCCTCAGACTGTTCTTCACCTGAGGACGGCTGCTTGCGTTGTGGCCGAAACGTCGTGAGAATTATTTTATTATGTTTTATTTTATTATTTTATTATTTCCCTTCTACGTGACTTTACCGAAAGAACCAAGAAGATGAATCCCTGCAGTCACGAAAGCTTTAAATCGAAAAGTGTACAGTAATGTCCCTCTTTTGCAGTGTCTTGTGCTGAAGGCAAACGATTGCAGTAAGCTTTGTGGCATCCTGATGGAGCCGTGTGCCGCGAGTACCTTGGGGTATAGGCTTGGGCGTGGGGTAATCGTTCTGATTCTGCACCTCCGGCTGCGGCGTCGTGGAGGTGCCGGCCTGGGCGCTGTCCTCCGCACTGGGGGCCGAGCCCGAGCCGCCCTGGCTCGCCTGGAGACCGTGGCTGCCTCCTGACCTCGCCTGGCTCTCGGCCAGCGTCAGACCGGGGTTCAGTAGCATGGGCTGAGCGGTCGAGCTGGGTGGCAAGCTGAAGCCCAGGCCCAACAGGGAGCTGGGGAAGGGCAGGCTGGCACCCAGAAGGCTTGTTGGAGGCCACCCACTCAGGGGCAGGCCCAGCAGGGGCAGCCCGGACTTGAGCTGTCAAGGGGCACACGCCACGTAAATGATCTCGCAGCTTCTAATGACCCTTGTAATAAACCCACCACATTTAGTGTGATTTACTGGCTATTTGGCATGCAATTATTTGCGGTTACGATTCAATACAAGAAGCAATGTATTTTTTTGAAACCATTTTTGTGAATGCAACACCTTGTGACTGCAGGGGTCATCATGTATGTAACCAATTACATCCAACATATGCATTGAAAGTAAGCGATTGTCAGACGCATGATTTGATGCATGTAATTAATGCATTGTTGCATGCCTACTGCGCATATGGTATAGAATAGTATTGTTGCTTGGTACATTTTCCCTAAACAAAAGTGGTGCAAGAAATTCTTCTCGTTTAAGAATAAAATAAATTCTTAACAATCATGTGGCTTATCAAATTAAAACATATTCTTACACGCATCGGAATCCTCTTATGCAAGCCCTAGGCAAATAGTACTCACTTGCAAGGCTGCCAACGTGGAGGAGGCCGGCAGCTGAAAGGGGTTGAGAGCCAGGCCACTGTGCAACGAGGCCATGCTCAACATCTGACCGCTCTGCGTCGTCACCGGCGATGACCGAGATGCACCCTCGGTGGCCGACGTCTCCTCACTGCCGGACGCGCCTCTGCCCGAGCTGCAAAAGCGCCCCCCGGCCTTGGCTTTCTCGGAGAGCTCTTTGAGCAGCTGATCGGCCGAAAACAGGACTCCCGTGCTAAAGTCGGAGAAGCTGAGCATGGGCTCCATCTTGAGGCCCTGCTGCGAGGTGGTCGTGGATGGCGTCGGAGAGCTCAGCCTGCTGTGGGCAGGGCTATTGTTGGCCGAAGACGAGGAGGAGGAATCGGCCAAGTTGACGCCATTTGCAGACGCCTGGCCACTGGAAACTGTGTCCATCTCGGGCGCCATCTTGGCCACTTCAAGGAGCTCGCTGAACTTGGACAAGGAGCCCGGTTTCTGCAGGAAGAGGTTTCCGCTGCCACCCCCACCACTGCCCCCATGCAGCTTCCACTCTTCCTGCTGCTCTGCCGGCCTGCTGTCCACAATCACCATTGGCTTGTGGGTTGATACCAGCGAGACAACCGAAAAAGAGTTCGTTGGTGGAGGGCAATTCCTCTCCTGCTCCTCCTTCGCTTCTTTCTGCTCCTCAGCATGCTCCTCCTCAGCATCCTCACTCATTCCAGTCGTTTCATTTTCCGCCTGCACATCTTCCGCAGGTGATTTGGGAGGCTCTTGGCTCTCTTCGCTGGTGGATGAATATTGAAATTCTTCCTTCATCTCAGGCTCCTCGCCCCTCTCCTTCTCAGCAAGCTCCCTCTCCTCCTCCTTCCTCATCTCCTCCGGGCCTGTCACAGGACGTCGTAAATCCAAGCCACTTGACACATCTCTGCTCGTGCGCTCAAAACACCTCGCATCTACAGCATCAATCAATACAACCAGGCACTTAAAACTGCTTTTGGGGGGGTGGGGGGGGGGTGTTCTGGAACGATTACACTGCAAACAAAAGGAAGGAAGGTGACAGTAAGCAGGTGAGCAAGGACTGTTTCCACTGGCTCGCAGGTGTGTCTTACCCTCGGCGCTCTCCATGGCCTCCACAAAAAGCCCCCCGCAGTGCGGCAGCACCCAATATCGGCGCCTGTAGCGGTCCTGGCCGAAGGTGAGCGCGCGCAGGCTGTGCGACGCCTCGAAGAGCTTGCGCCGGTACAGGTTCTGTTGCTGTGGGAGGCACAGGGAAGCAGCTTTGTTGAGTAAACGGAAGATGATGGGCACAGTGCTCAGTTCTTAGTTTTGGTGATTTCAATGCAAATGGTGAACCTTTTTGAACAAATAAAAAAAATATTTAAAATGCAGATTTGCTTTGAAGAAAAATAAGCTGAATATAAGTGAGATCCATTTAAAAGATTACCTTATTCAACTTCTCCATCTGCTTCTGGAACTCATTTGAGCTGGCCGCCATCTCTTTTTCTTCCTGGAACGATGATAAATTTACCGTCGCGACATCAAGCAGCAAGCTCTCTTAATTCACCATAAGTATGCACGTTTCAACTGGATCTCGTCTGGAAGGTTAACCCTATCACGCGCGTGTTCACTGGCCGTTTTACATGCAAGGCTGGGTATGGTGGTGCATAAACTGTGCTGCTGGTGGGGTTGACGGTGCCCACCTGCATGGCTGATGTGATTTTTAATAAGCACTGCAGCATTAGGTTTCTGACCCACTCGTGTAGAATGTTTCGTATCAATGCCTCATACTTGTGCATTTGTACAAGTACTTTTGTTTTCTGCACATTCCAACAAGCAGGACCGTCTCTAAATTCTCAACTCTCGGTTGCATCCACACCCTCAACCAAAAGCTCGGCTAATCTCGTTGCATTTGGTGGGAAAGTCTGGAGCCGTTGTAATTTTTGCTCAAATGACTATAATTCAGTCGATATTGAATTACCACAAAATGGTGCTCATTTTATCAACTCCAGAGGAAGGATGGGCTGAAATAATCAGCGAGTTAGGTTAGAACTCATAACCTTCTTAACTGCTGAAGGATTTAAAATAAAAGCTGACATGACTCCTGCCAGAAATGTTCTATTTTAATGTTGCCTTTGATACGCTCAAAAACTCAGGACACTTCACTGAGGCAATTCGCATGTTAACCTCTAGGATGCATACAAAAACTGAAATGACAACTCATTGCACCTAAGTGGGTCCATCATATAACTCCACCTACTCTCTATAGTATATTTAAGACTAAAATCCAATGTTTTATGAAGTTCTGTCAGCCAAAATATCAAGAGTTTTCTTTTGAGTAATAGAAACAACAAAACCTGTTATAAATTTCAATTAACGTATTACATATAGTTTTTATTTTAATATGTAGATGCACTGTATTTCGGGTGGGAATGGTGGCGTAATGGTAAGCGCATGACTAGGAACCTCGCGAACTAAGTTCGATTCCCAGCCACGACCAACAAGTGACAATGAACTGATCAATCATGGGCCTCCTCTAGGCCGACTCGGCATTATATGAGCCCCCATGGTGCAATGTGTAAGTCCTGGTCATAAAAAGCAAACCAGGCATGGTGCTGGCCACACCACCCCCTTGTGTGCCATGACAGCCTTAATGGGTGCTTGGTAACAGCATTTGCCCTGAAAGGCTACACGGCGCCTATTGGCTGCGTGTGCACACATTTGCCACATGCGCTCATGCCACGCAAGCCTGCTGACGGCACCTCGTCCGTGGCGTGCTCGTTGCGCCGCCGCTTGCCACGCTCCTCCCGCTCCTCACGGTCCTCCTCATCCTCCTCGTCCTGCTCTGGGTCGCTGTCGTCATCGTCCTCATCGTCTTCATCATCGCTCTCTCCGGCCACTCCCCCGGACGGCGTCCCCGACCTCCGCTTGCGCTTGCGCCCAGTGGCGGCAGCGCCAGCTCCGGAGCCCCGACGCTCCTCACCCTCCTCCACGTTGGCGACGCAGCTGTAGCGCCGGCCACCTCGGCGCGAGTGTTTGCTCCGGAGCCTGGGGCAGAGTGTGCGCCAGCTTTGATTTATTTACTGACAGCCGTCATTCTGATGATCATCATAATGCACTTTTTGCAATTAACAAAAAACTCAACACATTCAGGAACAATGTGTTGAGTTTACGGCAGTGTTATTGATGAATGTGTTTTTGTTATGTGTACGCCACTGCCAATGCAATCAAGTATCATTAGGATGTTTGGCCAATTTCATTAATGAGTATTTGGCGAAGAGATCATAGTAAAGGATCTACACAGATGGATTCAAGAATCCACTGCTGTACTACCACCATGAGCAGGCTATTGAGTAAAGCAGCGTTTGGGGTTTATCTGGACCCTCCTCATGCACAAATATTGTGAGAGGAATTGGCCATACTTCCCAAAATAGGAGTGAATATCGTCAAAGAAGACTGAGGCTTTCCTGGCTACATATATAGAAACCATGCATATATACACACACGTACAATAGGTATTGACTATTACAGCAGATGTTGATTTACACCTTGCCAATTGAATGACAATTTTAACGAAGACATTGCAACACATAGAAATCACATTTGAACCAATACACCAGTACTCAAAGAAACAAAAAAAAGGTCATCCAATAATGACAGAAACAACCTTGAAATACAGTAATCGCATCAATAATGAATGCAGTATGGTGACATGTTCTTTGTTGCACTGGAAATAACACAGCAAGCCAAGAGTTTTAAGATCAATGACTCACGTTCGCAGCTTGCCTTCGACAATCCACTTGTCCCTCCTCAAGCTGGAGATGTGATCGATGTTTTTGTCAATTTCTCTGAAAAGGAAAAAACCACGAAGCAATACAGTCAGTACATTCATTGCACGCTGTGCAGCCGCCAGGCAGCAGAGATGTGTCGTCGTTCACAAGCAATTTACATGACACAAATAATTACATGTAAATCTACAATTTAACAAAAGTTTATTTAGTGTATGAAGGTTTTCTTCTCTGGTTATATAGCAGTTTTTAATCGGATTGAAAGATAGGGCATATATTAACTTGTGGATGAAATATCCACCTTGCAAGACTGCAAGATGGCCATATAATGCTACACGTAGCACGATAGTTGCTGACCTAGCTTTGCATATTTATGTTTGTGTTCTTCCATTGCATCCGTGGAATTTCTCTGGTATTTCTCAACCACACACACACAAAATACTTATTAAATTAATTATTAGTCAATCATCTCAATACGTGAAAAAGGCTTCAGAAAGCTAGGGCTTTGCTGAATAAATTGAGAACCCGTCAGAATGTTTTGTTCTAACTGCAGCGCAGCGGTACTGGCTTGAAGAGTCTACACTCACGAGGTGACGGTGCGGCTGCATAGCAGCTCGTCGCACAGGAAGGCTAGTACGGATGCCTTCTGGCTCGGCGTGTGCGCCAGGAACGCCTTGGTGCGGAAGCTGGACACCAACGCTGCCGAGAAGCTTCGCGCCTCCAGGAAAATCCGCAGAACCTCAGACAAGGTCTCCCGCGTTAGTTCCATGTCACGGAGGCGGCAGCCCAACACCGTTGCATCCTGCCACAACCACCACACCAACCACCGTGTCCATTTTAGTGCATCATTGATGGCTTGTCAGTAAACGCAAATGTGTCGGCTGTGTTAGCATGTTTCTGTTATTAGAGAAATCAGTGTCTCTGTGCTAGAAATGAGCATGCGATGGGGATTTTTTGGTATTAATAGTCCTAAACCATTGATTAAAATTCGACATTTCTACGGAATAGGAGATTATATAAAGTGAACAAATATTGCTGACTTTAAAATTGTAGTTGTGTTATAAACCCCAGATAAACGATGGGCTAAGTCAACTCTACCCAGGATTGAAATTTTGAACCATCCGTTTGTGAGACGAACACTCTGCCACAGCGCCACCCGGCCAGCTGCCTGACAAAAAATGCCGATTAGCGATGGTGTCAGTCAACAAAGGATAAAGCCAGCACATGTTAGTAGGATAAAGATGGCGTTAAGAACCAGATCAACTCCATGGGCCCACCAAATCCACAGCACACAAAGAAACATCGAAAAAAGCTTCGGTTGTGGGAGGCACCTTGGATATAGGAAGTCTAGAGGGTGCTGTAATACAGGTCTTGGCAAAGTAATCCCCGGCCTTCTGTGGCAAATGCGTGCAAGAAAGCGGAATAATCTGCACGGGGTGAACTCACCTTGAAGGCATGGGGCAGCCCCGGGTCACGCAGCACGGCACGCAGGAGGCGCATTGTGAGGTCGAGCAGCTCGCTCGTGGCCGTGTCGCCGCGGTTCAGGAGGCCCTCCTGCAGTGCGGCGATGCTCGGCACCTCGCGCACCACGTCTAGGCCCAGCACCTTGCCGAAGCTGCGCAGGAACTCCACCACCATGAGGCAGTCGGCAAATGCCGAGCCAGGCAACACGAGGCCCGGCATCCGAGGAAGATCCGGCATGGGCTGCATCACAGAATAAGAGAAAGAAGATGAAGAGGTGCAGGAAAAGGAGGATGAAGATGAAGAGGTGATGTTTGAGGGAAATGACGACCTTTGTAAAAAAAAATCAGATTTCAGGAAAAGGATAGTGGATGATTATTATCCGAGCAGGACCCTTTTTGTGATCGACATTCAATTACATGAACAAATATTACAAAAGACCAAAGGTTTGTCCCATACATTTTTTCCTTAATATGCTTTCTTTGTAAATAAGTGATAGTCTATTAAGCTTATTTTCCTACGACCTAGGTCAAATGTAAGAAATATGTAAATGCAATATAGCACTCTTTTTTTTTTGTTCATAACTAATTACAGAGAGATTGCATTTTCTGAGAACTTTTTGTTGTTCAGGAATAACTAAGCCAGGTGGCCAAGGTGCAGTATTTACAGCCACAGGCAGGTGTCTCCAGTACTCCTCTCAAAGTATTGCCAACGAACACAGATGTTGCCTTCAACAACATTTGTCAAAGAGACGAGGGTAAAATCTCGTGACTTTCTCAGATGAGGACATGCAGATTTACGAGGGATTCTAGATATGCACCAAGTATCTTTAATGCTGCATGCGGTAAACTGTTTCGTGACATTTTGATTACTTTAGAACGTCTATTAAGCAATATTTTTTTTTAGGTTTATTTCTTTGAATTTACACTTCAAGGGGGTTGGAAACATGACTCCTCTCGTGGCCAAGCAGACAGCTGCTTCGATCGGTGGTCATCCCGGGAGGGCCTCACCCTCTCGGTGGTCACCCCGGGAGGGCCTCACCCTCTCGGTGGTCACCCCGGGAGGGCCTCACCCTCTCGGTGGTCATCCCAGGAGGGCTTCATCCTTTTTACCATCATCGTCAGTTGCCACCCACCTTCTGCTCCGAGAGGCACATGTCCTCATTGGGCTTCTTGAGCTCCATGGCGATTTGCATCTCCAGCCGCCTCATCTCCATCTTGCGCTCCTTGTTCAGTTGCTTCTCCTGCACCTTCTCCTGCTTCAGGCGCTCCCTCTCCTGCAGCCACAGCGGAGAGGCATGCTCAGCGAGGCGTACGCCGGACGGCCGCAGCTGACGGACAGAATTTGCCCGCAAGTGCGAGCCGTCCTCAATGGGAGGCATTGCCTTTTGTGCATGAAAGAAACGGTTGAGCTGCATCTGTATTTGCTGCACTTACAATGCTACTGACAATATTATTTAAAAAATCCACTTGCTGTTAGTAACTTTTTAAACTCCTGTGTATTAAAGCCAAACTTTGGCTTTGCGTTTGTATTTGGGCTCTCATTTTGCAAAGCTAATTGAATGTATACAAAAAATTAAATGTTAAACACACGCACCATATGGGATAATAGGACAACAGGCAATGTTTACTTATGCTGTATTTTTGTCTCATTTGGCAAAGCAGCAAAGCGTTCGCTGTGTAGAGACAGACTGTGGGCCCCCACCTCAGCCTTCTTTTGAGCCTCAAGAGCCTTGAACAACAGCAGCTCCTGCCTCCTTCGTTCCCTCTCCTGTGGCAGATACAGCAGCCTTACGTTCACATGGGCCAGGGAAATGAGCGACGAGAAAATATTGCAAACGCCCGAGTGGCTGCATGTAGCCTTCACGTTATAGTGAACGCCGTGTATAATTTTAATTATTACTTTAATGAATTATTATCACAAAGTGTGAGCGGTTTTATAAAAAAAAACGTACTGAGAAGATGGTTGTGCAATGGCAGCATTCCTTTGGTTAATTGTAAACAAAGGCGAGCGGACAAACATGAAAACAAGTGACATGGCAGGGCCGGAGAGACAGTAAAACAAAGCGGAGTACTGTACGTTGAGGAATGCCGGAGGTGTTTGGGGTTTGGAGCTATGGCCAGGAAGCGTGTGCGGAGTAAAAGCAGCCATTTATGGAGTCTCACTTGGCCAAATGCAAAGAGTGATGACTTAATAATACAGTAAAGCTGTGAAGGGACATTACACCCTGCTTGTAGTTTTAAAGCTTAATTTAGGCTGGGCTTTCATGGAGTCACTTCACCACAACAACTCCAACTCCAAAACACTGCCAAATGTAAAAACCACAGTGCAATGCATCATTGCTGGATGTTTCAATGTACACTCACAATGCAATTTTGTAATCTAGTTCTTAATAATATTCTTGATTAAACAAGACATTCCAGTGTCATTGAAAATACTTGGTCAAATGAACAGTTACTGATTGAAAAGCGTGATAATGTAAGAAAACAAAAATCAAATAATATTTATGCAATTTGACACAAGGAACACGTGTGCACGCGAGCATGTGTACGCACGCGCGCACACACACACGCACGCGCACACAAATGCGTGCACGCGCAGATGTGGGCGGCCGGCCCTGGGGCTGGCAGAGTGGCGGGTGTAAGCGATGGACCGTGTGGCGTCGTCAAGCCATGCATTTATCGGATTTAATCGGGCAGCGTGAGAGAGAGCAGGCAGGCAGCCAGCCAGCACCACACAGCACGGGTTACCATGGCCACAACGCCACAGCCAATCACACAATGCTGCGTCGCTCAGATGGGAGTTAAAAACTGAAATAAAATAGAGACGACCAAAAAAAGGAAGACCCATACCATATCTAGCCTATGCCTCTCCATCTCCTAGTAGAGAGAGGTTGGCAGAGCATTATCAAAGAGAAATCACAGGAAAAACACAATGATAAAAGCCCACAGGTACTCGAGTCAGTTCCATCTAGTGACACTTTTGTACGGAATAACCTGCACACTTAATTTTTATTCTAAACATTCAATTGCGTGTTTATTCATTTTAACATCTAGCCAGTAGCCACTAATCAGCATTGCCACGTATTTTGGCGTGCGATTGTCACATACAGTGTGGGGCCCTCTGTGGTTTGGCAAGAGCAGCAGTTCCTATGACCGGTGGCAGATATCTCCTTGCCAGGAGCACGCATCCCGCTTAATAGGCCACGCCGTCATGTTACGAGACATCACAATAGCTTCGTCCACAGATGCCAAAGTCTGCCAGTAGGCTTCGATGCCTCGAGTACATGTGAATATTTACGTAGATTTTGTTAAAATTCAAGACCAACAAAGACATTAAGACTTTGTCCCGCAACCAAGATAATTTTGACACAAAACCCTAGAAAGGTCACCACAACTAGATCTTCATTGCAACGGAACATGACAAATACAACAATATGCATAAATATTAGGAAAGATGCATCGTATTAGGATTGGTTACACTGAAAAAAAAAAAACAGGGAACACACAAAGTAGACAAAAGCGAGAAGAAACAAGAGATTTAGATACACAATGATGCATAGAGGAGTTGCTGACCTGGTGTTTCAGCAGCACGGCATGTTGCCTTCTCATTTCCTTCTCCTTTTATTACGAGAGAGGGAGAGAACATCAGCACAATGAGTCACTCGGAGAATTTAACACACATCATAGGTCAAAATGCCTCCTGGTGAGAGTATTGTGTCCGTTACATACACGGTGCAGTGACTGCACGTATATTCCATTCAAGGCTACAGATTTGGCTCTCACAATTCCAAATAAAATTTTATGAGATTTCGTTTTTACACACTTACCACAATTCATTCAATGTTTACAATGATATCAACCTTATCACTGACATTCATCAGGGATTTTTTGGAGGGGGGAATTTTCATTTTAAAACGACCTCCCACAAAACCCAGGTATTACTGATGATGGACGTTGTAATCGGAATGTGGTCTGTAAGCAGGTTATTTTATGAATGTGCTAAGCAGAATTTCCTCCTTGAAAATCTACACATTCACCACGATCTAAATTAGTTAATACTTATTTCCTACAAAACTGTAATCCTTTCAAAGGTGGCTCGGCCGTAGTGGAAGTAGTTTTCAATTTGAAGGGTGCAATTTTCAAATGCTGGTTAGGAGTCAACTGAGCCCATCATCCCTCGAGGGTTGATATACTCTGGGAAAGTCAAAAGTGGTTGTGGTATGGATACACTCTCCCCTGTCATATGACTGTTGAATTTCCAGCACTTGCTCTGGGCTATAAACAGGAGATGAGCACTGACTGCTTTTATGCTTGAGCAGGAAAGGACTTTGACTCATAATTCTTTCACAGTAACTAGATATTATTATTTTTATATTGTGCAATACCCATTTTTGCTTTTGAATGTAATGCCATTTTAGTCCATGAATACTTAACATCAGTGATGGCAGAAACCAATGAACAGACCGTTTTACAATATAAAGCATGATAATCGTGTATATATTTTTGATGTGACATTAAAAGGTAATATTTTTTTCCCGTCACTGGCAAAGCACGTTGCCCTTGAATGCAAATGTGCCGTCCGTGATACCTGCTACTAATACGGTTTAGAAAAGTAAAAAAACCATACCCCCCCCAAGAATGACTTAAATGAAAATAAAAAAAATCACAACTGAATTAAATTACATATTTATTTTTAAATCACCCTTGTATTAATCGTCATAAGCCAGTTGGCCCTACATTGCAATCAAGTGTTCAAAGAAATAATTGTGGCGAGTTGGTAACGGAGCCCATGGGGGTGTCACACACAATGGGACAGCACAAGCCCTCACCTGCGCTCGCCGCTCTGCCTCCATCACTTTGGCATTGGCTGCCTCCTCCCTCCGGCGACGCTTGGCCTACATGTGCAAGAACACCGAGCAACACACTGCTCACTGGAAGGACATATGACCTGTACCCATATGTTTGTATATACACAAACATGTAGATTCCTGAACATAGCTGTCCAGACTGTTGCGAAAATTGCTGTTCGCGGGCACCTATGAAGGCCAGCGAGGTACACGAGGGAGTGGAGAGGCCGGAATCATGCCCAGCCACCTTTGTTTGCCCAGTGCTGATGTTGACACAATGCACCAGGTACTTATTTAAGGCTGAGTCAACCTTGGGAAGGCCCAGTACTAGTTCAGATATTCGTCACTTATGTAGCTAAAGTTTGGAATCTAACTCGGGTTTCTGGGTTCATAGTGCAGTGACCTAACCGTCACGCTACAACTTGCCATGCACGCACATAAACACATGACTAAAGAGGAAATGCAGGAGGGAGTGAAGAATGCATTGAAAAACTTCTACCACTTTCAAACTACAAGTTTTGTTAAGTAACAATACTTGCTTCTCTATCTAAACGACGTCTCAAACCCGTGTTATGGAGCTACAGGCAGAGAGGATAGGAATTATATCTGATCACCTCCAAAATCTGCTGCGCACGCATCTCCTTCTCTAGCCGCTGCTGCTCAATTTTCTGCATCTTCTCCTGAAAGCAAACAAGGAAAACATGCTTATCCAGCAGCATTATCTCTCAGCAACACTTTTTGCCAAGATTGTGCAGTCAAACAAAAAAAACACACCACTTTATCACGGATAAAGAGCGTTTGTGTATCGGGCGAAAGTGTATTAAAACCAAACAGCCACATCTATATCGGAGGTAAAAAAAAAATCCAGGCAGATCCATGAGGTGTTACGTTTAAAAGGTTAGTTGAGCACTTATAAGGCTTTATTTCACAGATAAATAGCAGAAGAACGCAATTTTTTGTGATAAGCGGCCAAAGTTTTAGTAGCTAGACCTAATATGTCACTTTTTAATTGACAGGTTTAAAAAACATGTAAGCGCATGGCTTGTTTTCATCTTCCGTGGTTAAATGCCTGCAAACTGTTTTCTATTACAAAAATCCAGCTATTTCGCTTTGACTTATGAAGGTTGCAAAAAGAATTCAGCCAAAGCAGTACAAGCAGAGATATTCTGGAGACGTTTCAAACAAATATTGTGGCCAGCTGTCTCGCGTGTACCTGCTGCTTAAGCATTTTCATCTGCTCCTTCTGCTTTCTCTTCACTTCTGCTGCTTGCATGGCTGTTTGGGGAAAAATTAAAGCCATATTAGGAGCTTGCCGCGTGCCTACCCAAACAACAATCTTCTGAGAATACAGATCAAACAAAACCCACTGGCACGCTGTAGTAACCAGCACATTTGATTTCAAAAAGGTAATGCCAAGTCCATTATAATGTCAGTGATCACTACAGTCGATACTGGCGCAAGTTGAAGGAAGATTGAGCTCTCCCTCATTCTGCTTGTCTGTTTTGTTTGCGATTTTAAAATTTTCTTGGTTCCACATGATCTTCCGACAATTTGTAGATAAAGCATAAATGTGTAACCTACACTGGGATGAATTCCCCAAAATCAGTCTGTGAAGAGGCATCTTAGAACAGTAAATGGAATGTGCATTACCTAATACCAAAGGAAACATGTTGACTCATAAAAAACTGCTGAGCCATTAAATAGTCGATCTCTACTGCAGACATCTATTAGGAAGCAGGATTAAAATTGCTTTATTAACTACCGTTTCTAACCCCACCAAAGGAGTAACAACGAATATGAAACGATTCTGTAAGGATGCGCAGCCACGCTTAACCTTCCCTTTGACGCCACTCATAATAATCATAGTTCACATTCCGTATCACAACACCACATGTGCTTTCATCCTACGTTGTTTTGATTCCAGGTATAGAGGGATTTGGCAAAAGTTACTATTTCAACAAAAATACACATTTTTTAAGAAGACAATTTTCTGCAGTATTTGGGCCTTGTGTGGTTGCATTAAAAAAAATATCAAAATGAAATATGGCTAACATAAAAACGAACATATTATAACAATACATACATAAGTACAGGTTAAACAAATACTTAAACTGGAGGTCTGAGAACCCTTAAAAATGTTTTACCACATTCGTCAAAAACACTGTAGCCCTATAAGAAAAAAATATATAATCAGCGACGTTTCGGGCAATGCCCCTTCTTCATAGCATATATCAGAATCACGATCTTTGTTTAGACTGGAGGAATCTGATGACCTGTGGAGCCCTTTTTCACAGACGCCCAGTATGGGCGGGTTAGCAAGTTACATATACAATAGACGCAGGCATGCTTAGGGGATCCAAAGAGACATAATGGTGTTCCACGGTCGTTTACAACGGCAAAACGTAGCCTGTGACATCGTGAAGGCAGCTGTAAAGAGGTCCTCAGTGCAACGAGGTTTGTAAACGGCCCGGGCAGGCAACGATGGCCTCAAGATGGTGACACTCATGCTCCGTACCGTTTTCAGCCTCCCACTGCTCACCAAGAACCTGAAAGGAAGTCAGGAACCACTGTGTGATATGGCGCTGTGGGGTGGCAATTGGCAGGGAGGGCTTTTTGTGGAAATGCTCACCCTGCTGCCGCCGAGCGTGCTTGGCAGCCTGAAGCCTGGCCTGCTTCTCCAGCTTCTGCATCAGCTTCATCTCAGCCGCTTGTCGCGCAATAGCTGCAAAGATGATTGAAGTGTAGGGAATATACTCATGTTCATTTTCCCAAGTGTTTGGTTACAAAACCGAAAAATTAAAATTGGTGGGGGGGGGAACAGTGTGTCCATACTTCACCTTGCTGGTCAATGCGAGTTGGTGGAGATAGCTACCCACTCACAGAGGACACCTCTCTCTCTCCTCTTGGGTAATCCCATCCACTTAGGAGTTAGTCAAGCACACAGCTCACAAAGCTGTAAAGTCACCCAACGAGGCCGTGTTTCCCCATGTAACGTCAGCCCAGACACTACTCATCAGCTATGATCTATCCTCTGCTGGACGAAGGTCGCATTCTCAAGTTGTCACCATGTTCACGGTCCTGCGATGCAACAGCCCATTTAGCACCCTCACATCAGCTGATTGCATCGCTCCATCTCCTCTGGCTGCCACTCCAACTCTTCGAGCGATGCGTCTTCCCCAAGCCTGATAACTTTTCTTCACTCACTCTGATGTCTCTTAACTTGTGCTTGTTGCCTTATCCATGTGTTCCTTTTTCCATCTTTGTGCAATTCTAAGCGTTCCCAAATGCTATTTTCTATCACTAAATTATACTATACCATGATAATTACTTACATGTTGAACAAAATATGCTCCTTTCATGTGTGTAATTATGTTTATTGTTATAACATCATTGGACTTTCACTGAAAAATGGAAAGAAGAACACACGAATCAGAGAACAAATGCAGGTTGGAGACATCTAACTATCTAAATTATCTAAATAATTATTGACAGTGAATAATACTGGGCTTGAGCAGGACATTGCTGGAAGGGATGATGGCCGATGGTCAAGATCAGTTACAGAGTAGCAGCCAAAGGAGAGAATACACCTATGAGGACATCCACTGTGGAGATGATGGACCGATGATGTCAGCTTGCGTGCAGGAGCTACGTTGTCGCTTCGTGAGACTGGTGACGGATGGGGGGGGGGGAGGACTTTATTAATTGAGCGCTACCAATGACGATATTTTACGAAACTACTTACTTGCTCGAGCTGGCAGGGGCATGATGTTCCGTGGCATTTGAGTGCATCGTTAGAAGCACAAAGTAATTCTACAGTTGCTGATGTTAACTAGCCTGAAGGGACGAAGGACTGCGCTGACCCCCAACCAGAATCTGAACCTACAACCTACCGAGTATGGATCCAGTGCTGTGCCACTGTGCTACCCAACTTAAGGACTCAACGAGAAATGTAGCATTTTGTTCCGCTCGGCATGGTTCACCCCGATCTCGTTTCGATGCGTTGCCGCCACTACTCGTGGTTACGATTCAATTCACAAATCGATTGTTTTAATTTAAACATTTGGTGAATACAATTGCTCAAGTGATTGAGGGGGATCCCGTGAATCGACTACGCAGTGAGTTAAATAATCGCAAATAGTGGCTCACATGCGGCATTCAATGTACTGTGAACGTAGGAATCGAAGCACCATTTTGGACCTGGAAGATTAGTTGATTTAGTCAAAAATGGTCATGCATTATTGTTTTTGTGGCCAATTACTCTTGGCCATTTAAAAATGGCAGCTGCCCCAACGTCCTCCCTCCGGCGGGCAGGAATCTCTGGACAAGCCACGCCCAGCATGATGCGGGTGATGTCACCAAGCCCTGTCCATAACCTCTTGTCCAGCAGCACGTCGGAACAGAGGCTTGTGCCATCGAGGCCACTGCGCTCACCCTGGGCCTCCAGTCGCTTGAGCAGCTTGAGGGACTCGGCTCGGCGCGCGTACTCCGCTCGCTCCACGTTGGGCGGCCGCCCCTTGCGTCGCCGCGGACGTCCTGTGCCCGATGAGAGGCCTGGAGCCAGACCCAAGCCTGCGCCCTGCGGCGAGTCCTGGCTGTGCTCCCCGCGTCTCCGCTGCCTCTCAGGGTTGGGCGGACGCCCTCGCCGCCCCTCCATCGCCTTGATCCGCATCGCAATCTCCGCGTCTCCCAGAAGGCACCACTGCATTCCCTGCGCCACGGAGAATGGTACAGCCCGCTTGTTGACAAAGAAAATGGCGCCTAGTGCTTGAAGTCCTTTTTAGCCAGAAATATAATGACAATGGAAGGGGAATTAGGGTGTGAGTAAGCTCACCTGGGGGCCTTCCCTGGCTTCGTAAAAATCCCCGACTCGCATTTTGGCACTGAAGCTGAAGCTCTGGCGGTTGATGTCTGTGATCCTGTTACGTGTGAGGAACTGGCAAACACGTTGGGATACACAGGGCCAAGGTCACAGCTCAAGGAAACAGAATCCCCATAAAAAAAATCTATGCTGAAGGCACCTCAAGGAATCTACATGTTTTTAATTCTCCATACAAGAACAAATCAGGGCTGCATCATTGTACAACATAACAACATCACTGCACCATGCCTCACCTTGTTGACCTCTGGGTACTGGCGCAGTTTCCTCCCACAAGGAGTGTAGTAGAGGACCTCTCCGTGAAGTCTGTCCCCGATGGTTTGGATGCGAGTTTCTCTCCGCCACCTGGGAAGCCAAGCCATTTCGCAGCGCTTTTCGATTAAGCTTTACGTGCACCACTGGCCACTAATGACTTGCTATTTTCTTACCATCCTTCGCTTGCAGCATACAAACATGGCATTTCAGAGGATGGATAATTACATTTGTGATTCACTTACCCATGGTCCAAGGGGACCCTCAGCTCCCTCTCATCTGCTGTCCTCCTCCTCTTGGCCATGCCTAAGACGGTGACAAAATAAAAGCATCTCAACGCGATGTCTTTTCACGTAGTCAAAATGCTGCTTCTGGGGAGGAGGATCAAACAGTCATTTAGAAATTACTTTCAACACCTCTCCGATGTATTATGTTGCACCAAGCATTGTTCGGCATGATGTTTAGCTTCACAAGCTGGGAGCTCCTTCAGGGATTTAATTTATATTCTTTAGATTTAGCTGCTCTAAATTACCACATGATAAGCTACTTCATTGAGCTATCATTTGTGGCCAGGTCACTTCTGACAAATAAGCAAATAGTTCAGTGGGCTTTGCCTCGTAACATTTAATAGTTTAGCTTAATTATCGTGTTTTTGTATTGTTTGTTATTCTAACGTTCTGACCCGCCCCAAACTGAACATCTGCGAAAAATAGCATTATAGCTCATCGGATTCCTCCAGTATTAATAAATATTCTGATTCTGATCATGTTATTCAACTGATTTCCTGAAGAAGCTCCCAGCATGTGCAGCAAAACGTCGGACAGCCACGCAGCACAGCCGCAAAAACCCTTCGTAGTAGTACATTCAACACGGTTCGTGTATCGCAAACGAGGGGACGACCTCTGTGGCCATGAGGCAGCGTACTCTCGGGAGTGACCATGGTGAAGGCGTTGTGCGGGGTGCCGGGCGACGATAGTCCAGCCAGCAGAGCTGCAGACGCTGAGCTCGGCGTCCTGGCGACAACGGCGTATCCATGGAAGCCCAGGGACGTGGCAGCCAGCGGGGAGGACCCCGTGGCTCCTAACACCGACGAGGAGGAGGACGGCAACGCGGCAGAGGTGGTGGGCGTGAGGCCAGACGCGGAGCGGCTAAGGTTGTGCGGGGTCCTCTCTCCCTCGGTGTCTGTCTCTGTGTCGTCCATGGCACCCTTGCCCTCCGTGTCGCTGCCTTCACTGTCCGTCTCCAAGTCGGAATCTGTAAGAAAGTGACGGTAACGGCACTGCCCCTCCAATTGCTTGCTTACGTCCCTGGAAGGGCCTCAACTCGAGGGATCTCTAAAGATCTCTAAAGAGCTCCCTCGAGAGGGTATTTTGCTTGCATACGCTTCCAAGCTGGCCTTAGATTTGCATGGTTGGCTACGTATGGTGCGAAAGAAGTTCTACATACATATCGACACTTCACCCCAGCACATGTGGCCTGCCGATCGACTGGCTGGTGTGTAACCATTTATATTGCCGGGTGGATTTAATAAACTTGGCCATCGCTACAACACCGCAGTAGAGATTGAACCAGCAGACGGGATTGCGAGTGTGTTAACCGCTATACCACGGCAACATTCCTTGACCCTTATATGTTGAAAACCCTGGCCACTTTGCCAACAATGAAAAGTATTCTTCTGTACAAATATGAAAAGGTTGGGTTTCCTTGCACAAGAAGACTGGCCCCTTATAGGAATGGTCCTCGAACACAGATATGCACCACCGTAAAATAATGTTAGAACGTAAACTCTTTTACTTGATTAACTAGATTATACAATTACAATCATATGCATTGTATATTTTCAGTGTTGTGTGCTGTGGGACACAAACACGAGTGACTGCATTTTTACCTGACTGGCTCTCCTCCCCATCATCATCGTCTTCATCCTCATTGTCCAAATCGTCATCATCATCATCATCAGAGTCATCCGAGTCATCGCTGCTTGGGTTTAGTGCCTCAACACCACGAAACTTCGCCACCAGGGTCTGCGCCATCGTCCCATGCTTGCCTTTATCCGTCCCATGCGGCTGCTTTGCTCGGCCACTTCTCTGGGTAGCTGACAAGCCCATCGTGAATTTCCCCTTGCCATCGGCGCAGAGGCTGGTGCTGGGGCTGGGTGATGACAGTGGCCCTACCTGGCCCAGCAGCCCAGAAGATTTCAAGGCTGCAAAGGTCATTGCGGACAAATCTGCTTTAGCAGAACCGCAAGTTGGAGGGTGGACAATCCTGCTGGATGTGGTGTGGGTTTTGGTGCTGCTGATGCTACCGCTTATGCCAGGTGAGAGGGACGTTGCGGCGGCCATGGCTGCCATGTGGGCTCTGGTGGTTGTCGTGAGATCTTGCGGTAGAGAGTCTGATGACGTGGACGACAGAGACAGCGGCAGCGCCGCCGATGATGCCACGAGGGCCTTGGTCTTGACAAGGGCAAGCGGCGACTGCTGTATGACAGATGATATCACGCCATTTGACAGCTGTGCTGTCATTGCATGGGACAGAAACTTTTCCACGGACCCAAAGGTGCAGCTTGCAGTTGTCATGGCCCTGGCTTTTTGTTCCATGAGCTTCTGATTGGGCACAGAGGAGAAGTTGAGCTTCTGCTTGGCCGAGGGTACCGGCTGCTTACTGTTCGCAGTCAGAGGGAGAATAACATTTTGAGAAGTGAGAGGGGAGGCCAGGGCCATTTTCTGGTGTGTAGTGACTGTGCTAACTGGAAAGGCCTTGCTGGAGATGCTGGCAGTGGACTTCCGGTTTGCTTTCAGCTCTTCCTGCTGCCGCTTGAGCATTGCGGGAAAATCTTGCCGGAACTGCTCCTGTTTGACAAAGGAGAGACCACGTGACTCCAAACCTACTGCTGCATACACGTCACAGGTATAAAAGGGTAAAGGTGCAGCTCTGCAATTACTCACTCACGCCACTACTGGCGGAAGAACCTCCACTCGAGTGAACTCTATTTGGCCTACCCTTCACACTGGCCTGACGAGGTGGGGAGTACCCACACGTTGCTCCACAACCTGAGACCTGCCGCTCGACTCACTGTGCTGTACTGTACCTATTTATACTGCTGGTTTGACAGCGGCAGGAGATTTTAGAAACGTGCAGAATCGTTTTAACTGCCGCGCCAGGAGATCGAACCAGCAACCTCTGAATTGCAAGTCCAGTGCACTATCGATTGCACCACGGTAGTGTCATTAGAGATTTACATTGGCTAATCGTGCTCGGTTCATATGTAACAGTAATATCGTGTTAATTGTACCAGCCCTTGACATCTCTTGATATGTGTCTTCATATCCCCATTCATAGCCATTTGTGGGAAACGATTTGTTTTGCGGGGGAAAAAATCCCATCCGCCACGAGGAAAAACAGACAATTCACGAGAGCATTGCATCTCACCGATCATCCCTGGTCCTAAAGAATGTTTCTGCCAGAAACATATTTCCACCCACACAAATCTTTAAGAAGATTTAAAGGCCGTCTACAGTCATCTTTAAAAGGGCAACTATAAAGCTCACAGTAGGGTTCTGTCTGGGACAAGAGCCAAAACGTTAAGACATCTCTATACCACCCACAGAGCGATTAGCTTGTCCCGCACCTCCACGGAGCCACTGGCACAGCAGTGAGCAGTATCAGGCAAATTGCCGCTGCCACCTCACCTTTTTCAATCGCAGAACATCCTCCACTTGTGTGACGCTGCTGGGCGGGGAGAGGCGGTTGTTGGATTTGTCGCTGGCCAGATCCAGGGCTCCCAATGAGGCTGGGGATCTTGCCACAACTTTTGGTCGAGCCGTGACGGTGCCCGGGGAAGCCCTGGCACTCGCGAGCCCCGTGGCCTGGATGACGCCGGGTTGCTTGCTCATCGAGGGCGCTTGCGTTTGCTGGAAGGGGCCAATTTAACGAGAAACGCTGCAGATCCGGTAGCGCCGTGGCACACACACTGTGCGCCAAGGACTGTGCTTGTGCAGTAGTAGTAGTACTACATAGCTGCTCAACGATAACGATGATATGAACCGTAGCAATTGGATTATATTCAATAAGGAAACATTGGACAACATTGATAAAACAAAAAGCTTTGCCATGGCAATCAATATAATAAATTAGCATTTTAATAGATAAAACATACAACTGCTTTGTTTATCATATATTTGAATGTCACCAACCTTTAAATGAAATGACCTACAAAAAGTATTTCCAAAAAACCAAAAGCACTCTGATAAAATGCATACTGTCAGAAGTGACATTCCAATTAAGTTAAACCTGATTTCATTTCCCCATCCATCAACACACCCCTTCTCCTTATGACCTTCGAACTCCATCCCAGTGATGGGCTCCATGATGGAGGGTCAAAGGTCAAGAGGAGGAGGAGGACTGTGTCGACAGCTGAGGAGAGCGCAACGGGCTCGCGAATTGAGACAATAACCTGCGGCGCAAGCGGTTAGCCACTGCCTGCTCTTTGGTCACATCCTCATTCCTCCCACAATCCTTCAGCTATAAAATTCCACGTGATATTTAAGCCGCGTACCTGTGTGGCATGGACAATGGGCCTGCCGTGAGCCTGGATGACGCTGGCGTGCTGCTGCATCTGGGAGTACAGCTGCGGCAGTTGGAGGGGCAGCTGGTGCTTGCCGAGCGTCGGCTGCAGGTGAGGAGGGGGCAGCAGAGGAAAGTGATGCTGGGTGCGGCCACCCCCATCCGAGGAGTCCTTTTCCAGTTTCGTTTTCAGATCCTTCTGTCGGTACATGAGCGAAAGCAGATTCTCAATGTTGTGATTTTAAAACAAATCAAAATAGCGCAGAATAGAGCACGGGAGTCGAAGGTCTTAATCGTGTTACTCTTGCAGGCACTAATGCCTGTAATTCAGTATTTTCTCTGGTTTTCAACAGATGACACATACGGAAAATCAATTGCTGACTGATCTGTGCAGATTTTAGAGTATTATCCTGCCATGGCATGGGTTTTCTCGAAGCCCTTTAGTTTCTTCTCACTTGCAAATTGTTCTCATAAATAATTAGATCAAACATCCCAAGCAGAAGTGAGTCGAAAAGTCTTGACACTCAAGTGAGTCTTTCCTGAATAAATAAAGTAAATCAATACTATTATTTGACACTAAATTTTTTGTCCATTGTATCTAAGATTGTTTAATTTATTTTCCAAATCAAGTTGCACAACTGAAATTTGGAACACTGCAGAATTTTTTTGAAAGCACAATCCACGTAAAATCAAGGCTCTTTGCCAAAAGCCCTAAAGACAGAAATGCAGATGAGACCAAGTAGAATAGTAATGCGCAACATAGCAAAAGAGCAGTTACGTTAGAACTTTTATAAGCCATGTAGAATTGGCGAGCTGTTTCAACTAGGCAAATAATATTCAACCCCGTTTATGTTCGAATTGTGCCTTACACTCATCACACCGGCACAGCCAGAAGCAGTTGATTATTGCAACGCAATTGACATTGGTCTTTCTTGCTTATAGATGCTTATACAACATTTTTTGGAAAAAGTGTAAAACATAGCGAGCAGTATTTACTACTATAATGAGCCAAGAATGTCTGTGTCCCGCTCGTGACGTCCTCCACATGGACCCCCCCTCATTAATAATCATGAACAGGTGACGTCCTCCACATGGACCCCCCCCCTTATTAATAATCATGAGCGGGTGACGTCACTCCACATGGAGCACCCCCCCCCCTCATTAAGAATCATGAGCAGGTGACGTCACTCCACATTGAACAGCTCCCCTCATTAATAATCATGAATAGGTGACGTCCTCCAAATTGACACCCCCCCCTCCATTAATAATCATTATGGGTGACGTCACTCCACATAGAGGGGCGAGGCGCCTCCTCCCCCCTCCTTAGCGTCAACTTACAACCCTCACTACAAAGGCAGAACCCTCACGTCACGCGATCTCCGTAACGCTATTGAGACATAGAAGTAAAAAGGACGTCATGATGAACAAGGGATTATAACCTTTAAATTAAATAAGTCTGTCACCGCGGCCTTACAAATTGCATACGAATTGATGCAATGAATATCACGTCACGGTCTGCTTTTCGCTTACAAGTTTCAGATTTACTGCAATACACCCGTCATTGGACAGGCAAAATGCTAGTTATACATAAGAGTTAAATTTTACTCAAAAATAGACAAAAGCTAACCCTGAAGACGGTTATGATTCCCACAGATAGCTCAAATAATGAAATGGATGTTTCAATCTTTGCCACATTATCACTTTCTATGAAGAAGGTTTTTATAATAATGAAGGAATACCGGCTGCTGCTTCTCAACGCGTGCAGCCCGGGGCGGCGTCTCAGCAGAGTCGGATTCCGCATCGTCCGTGTCAGAGTCGGAGTCGCTGGAGCTCAGCTCGCTCTGGAGTGAGCCACCGCTCGCCGAGTCGGAGTGGCTCTCACTCTCACTGCAGCTGTGGGGCTCAGCGTCTCGGGAAGCCTGTCGCACGCATGCACAAAGACACACGCACGTACGCACATATGCAAAGACAAAGGTACCCCATTTAGCAACACGGACTAAAGGGGCAAGTGCTAAAAACAAGCACCTACCTCGGATCAGCACGGCATCCACGGAATGATGCGGCCAGGATAATGGCTTTGTCTCCTGATGTTCTACACACCAGGCCAAGTTCTCATTTTGAAGCTGAGTTGCCTACATAAGACCCAGAAGAGGTTTCGATACTATAAGGCACTGATGTCACCTGTGGCTATGATTCACAGGAAGGTGTCCAAAGTGGTACAGCAAGTCACTTCGGCCAGGCAGCGAACATTAAGTGGCGGTGTGAATGCACCAGCACTCTCACACACAATGACAAGTGTAAACAAACAGCACAAAAATAATCAATCAATTTTTCCCACCACCATTACCCACATAATTGTCAATTCTGTGAGTTTCATTTTTTGAGGTCTCAGATGCTAAGCAGAAGCCTACAACTCAGCAATAGAGAGAAGCGGAGCAAGGATAGTAGGTGAGGGGTGAAAATATCCTTGAACGGAGAAGGGTGGCATCGGATAGAAAGACCACAAACTAACAATGAACAAAATGTGCAACATTCACAAACAACAAGGCATTGATGGGGGTTTCACTCCACCACAATTATAAATGCAATAAAGGACAGGATGGACCGGCAATGATTTCAATCTACCTTAAACTAATAAAAGAGAACAGTTTAATTTTACCCACTGGCCTCGCCCCTGCAAGCCTGCAAGGACGTGACACTTCCCATTACCTTTTCATTAACGTTATTGAGGGAGCCCTTCTTGTCGTTCCGCTCTCCGTCGGCCGCCGCCGGGGGCGTCTTGCGGTCGCGCACGTGGATGGCGCCCGGCCGCTCCGGCCCTGTGCCCGAGCTCGTGCAGGGGATGGCGCGGCCCACGGAGCCGCCCTTCACTGAGCCGTTGACTCCTGCGTGCGGCAGGAAGGGGGGCCATCGGGTCTCCGTTGTGCGAGACGCATCTGAAGCCTATGTACGTTGAAGCATAGCACTGCGACAATGCAACGTGCGGACAGGCAGTGACGCGGGGAAGCATTTCCCGCCGACAGAATAACGCAAAAATCTGCCCACCAGCCGCTGTGCACGACCACGCACTGAGCATTACTCTACGCCGAGATTACGCGCAACGGCTGTGTGATTGTATAATAAATCTGTTCAAGGCTTCTTGCTTTTCTAAAATCCTTAAATTGTGGGCACTGTTTGGAAAGCAAGAAACCTGCAGTCAAGGGTGGCATTCAAGAGCACCTGTGCTCTGCTTTCAGGAATGTAGGAGTATGCATGAAATAATGCACTCAATGATGTTGTTGGTCACATGAAATTTATCACGTCGAATTCACACACCAAATTCAGTCTTTAAAATGTAATTATTTTTTAAATATTCGGCCAATTGGAAGTACAATTATAATCAAAGAAAACAACATAAAAGTGTAATTCCTTTCACAATTAGAACACTAATAACACCTGGATATGTCCCACTTAATACTGCTTCACATTTCACTCAAATCTAGCCGATTTATACTCTCCAAACAATGTGAAATGGAGTCTGCATTACTGCACATTCACTCTTGCAAATATTGGGTGGCTGAGCTCCCCCAGCACTCTGGCCCGAGAGCAGGAAGTGCATCCTGGTTAGATCGTCCTAGGGAAGATAGGTTGCAGGGTCGCACACTCAGTGCCTGTCTCAAAGATCTCTCTGTGCTCCGGTTCATGTGCCCGTGGGGAATTGCTAATGTAATGACTACAATGAACCCTGTGGGCTTCAACAAATATACACGTTCGTGGCACCTTTCTGCGAATTCTGCCCAAAGATGGCCGTGTTGGGCGAAAGTGACATGGCCGATGCCGTGGCCGGGTCCAAAGGCTCGCGGGCCGTCAGCGTCTTTGCCGGGGCGGCCGCGGGGGCAAACGAGGGTGCAGGGGCCACATCGCTGGTGTGCTTGCTGGCCCCGGCCCCGTCAGGCGGCTGGGATGCGATGGCCGAGGTAGACGCGGCCAGGAGCTGCGGGGAGAGGCCGAACAGCGCGGGCGGGAGCAGCGATGGGCCCGGTCGTGTGGCCGTCACCGTGGCAACCGTAGGGGCCCTGTGCGATGCCCGGAACCACTCAGCCGCTGCCAGGGAGAGGGGCATGCACAAATGAAAATCTAAAATAAAAAGACATAACAATGGAAATTATGATCACTCTACTGCACCATCTTTCATTGTTGTTGTTTAACAGTATTAATTGTAAATGAGGTGGAGGGGAGGGTAGTTTCCACAGTAGCTTATACATCACAATTGCACTCCATTATAATAATTGTTTAGTTACCCAGGAATGTCTCAAGACTCTCTTTAAGGTGGGTCTTGCCTCCAATATTTGGCCAATCTTTCCCCAAGTATTTTTGGTAATGTATATCACCATATCAGTAAAACGCTGCATCATGCACATTACGTTCATTTCAAAGTAAGAGAAAACCCCCTCTGGTAATGCGGTGCATTCAGCAACAACAAATGATAATGAATTATAATATGCTCAAAGATTTCTGGCGTTCTTGTGTAATATCTAACAGTCTCCAGGCAACCGAGCAGTGCAGTATTCTCACTGCCAGTAATTACACACCGATCTGCTGTTGTGATGTATTCATTACACGAACAAAACAAGTGTTTCCAGCACATGGCCTTGCTCTATTTGGAACACTCTTTGTCTGTGGGTAGTTGAAATATGTGCTGTGTGACTTTGCATTTAAGCAAACTGCTTAGAATGCCATAAAAAAATTAAGTAATCACATTTTTTTAAGCTGTGCTCATTTGTGGCCTTCTAGAATTTGCACACTGAAAATGCATTACCCGGAGAACACGGGGTCATATCGCTGGAATGGTCGGCAATAAAATTTCGAAAATCAATACAAACACAAATAAAGCACCCTCAGCCAACACGCAGCAATCACATCAAGCAAAATCGCAACATGGGCCATGGCGAAGCAGAAAGGCACTCCAATCGTGACCTTCCGGGCTGACCCCAGCCCCAGGCCCCTCCCCCCTCCTCACCTGTGCGCCGAGCAATCTCGTACTCCACAAACGGACAAACAAGGAGGACAACCACCATACAAACCGTAAACTGCACTCCACAATGGGCAACACAAACACATCACTCACACACCCACCAGCTGCCCCACCTGTGGCAATGGCTAGCTGGCCCGGCCCCACCGCCAGTGCACCAAGCCTGGCGAACTCAGCACGGCCCGGTACGGTGTGCAGGCCAAACGGAGGTGGGCCCAGCCCTGGGAAGAGGCTGAAAGGCGCCTGGTCCGATGTGGCCGGCCGCAGCATTGTCTGAGCTGCTGTGGCACGAAAACAAAGGGGGGCACTGCGTCATGGTCCCCGCGACGCGGTGCTGAATGTGGCCCCGCTCTGGGAGATGTATGTCAGACAACGCATTTGGCTCAACGGTAAACAAGGCCACGTCTTGATGGAGTGAGAGTGAAGAATTTAAAGGCATCCACCCGCCTTAAGCACTTGCAGCTTAGCGCACAACAAACACACAATAGGCCCAATTTTGTTTTGCTCCACTCATAAGAGAATATCAAATTCAAGGTGATCGGAATTGATGTCAAGCGAAGGATTTAACAAAATGTCACTCCTGAAATCCTCTTTGGAAATCCCTAGAGATACAAGGGATCATGGGAGCAGAAAACAGCAGATGCTGAGGTGCGATCGGCGAGATAAACGATTTGGCGGAATACGTGGACAAGCTCACCAAACAGGGTGGCTGCGTCGAAACCGAAGGTGCTTCCTCCAGGCACCTTGCCGGGTTTAGACGTGGAGCAGAGATCTGACACGGAGATGGGAGACGCCTTGCTTGCTGCGGACACTGCCGATGATGGGGATGACGATGCAGGCAGGGACGCAGAGGAGAGGGAGGAGGAGACGGATGGTGGAGAGGAGACCGAGGAGGGAGTAGGGGCTGGGATTCTCTCCCCAGACTCCATCTCTGAAAGAAGCATTAAATGGGAGGAAACGTCAATATCTGCAACATCAGTGTAAAGGTCAAATGTTAGAACCTCTGTATACAGTACACACCAGCTATACATTACATACACAAAATAGATGTGAAAACATACACACACACAATTCATATATATTTACAACACTGTAGAAATATCCACATTTCTGTTTCGCTAGACTAAGGATGGTGCACATAACACGGTGGGTATAGACAGAGCGTACACAGCGTGCGTACATATTATTCCAGCATTTATTTGGACATAAGGCACCCAGCAACTACTGCATAATGTTAAATGGAATCAATGGAATAAATTACCGCAAAGACTACATCACACAGACATTTACAGTCTTTCGTATGCTAATGCCCCAATATTTAAGCTTCTCAATGGAGCCAGAAAACCCACCACAGTTACCACTTATCCGTCAAGTTACCCAGCCACACGTTCAGGCATCAACACAAACGTAAACACAAAAATACATAAAGAAATCAACGTGCAATACGGTATTTGCATCGACGGCACCCAAAGTGTCTTTGCAAGATAAAGAGAAAGGTTAACAGGATATTCCTCCAGTCAATGCTGCCTTACACAAGTCTAGCCATGCTTGGTGAGCCTCCCGGTGGGGATGCTGACCAGGTCAACGCAACTATAAAAGGGAACGTGAATAAACCGGAGAAAGAGGGAAGCAGCTACAATAACCAGTGCCTTGTAAATCTGCTCGTGATGCATATCCCTCCAGTGTGGGCCTCATGGTGGAATAAAAAAAAAAAGAAATCTACGTTCTGCGTTCGGAGATCAGTGCAGGCGATTATTCAGACACGGCATATGAGCGTGATTCCAGGTATACATTTCAGTCGTGATTTATTTAACGGCAAAAATGGTTTTCTCACGGAAGCACTTTGGCTTTTATATATGTGGTTCAAAATGGTTGTGATTGCTCGGTATATGTCTTCGACAGAATTATAATAGCTGAAACAAACCAATGGCCACCTTTAAAAAAAAAAAACCTTTGCTATAGTCAACGAATGCAAGAGAACGGCACTGTTCAGTTTAAAATGCAGTGCCGAAAAGAAAGAAAAAACTCCCTTGACACCTCTGGCAGCTTGTCGGACAATCCACAGGACTGCGGAACACTGGTGATGTCATTGCATGGCTTTAAAAGACCAAGTGTGACTCATCGCTTCCACAGAGTGGGCAGCACTTAAGAGATCCCCAGCAAGTGACCATGCATCTGGTCCGATCTGCCGCAGAGTCACAGACATGTCCACAAATGGGTAGTGACCTCAGACACGTAGGGGGATGGCCATGATTAGATCAATGTTTATACGAGCGGTCAGGCCTTTCTACATTTCCCCCTCGGTGTTTCAAACACAACGATAGCGACATTAATTCTGCAGAACGTACAGCTTTGCAACAGTAGCTTATTGCACCCGCCCCTATCTTTTGTGACGGTGTTAACAGGGGATACTATAAACTGTGCTACAACCCACACAGGAAAACCAGGATCAATAAATATGAAATTGGAAGTGTGCCAATGCATGCATATTTATCGTCAATACCTTCAAGAAGCAATGCTGCTGAAACCATTGTTTTATGTGTCCATGTTCATATAAGTACATAGCATTTTCACTTTTAATAATATAGTATTATATTTGGTGTAAAATGTAACCATTAGACTGGATAAACAAAGCACAAATGCCAAAAGAAAAATGCATCATGTGGTTAAAATGACGTGCCCCGGCAAGCTTTACTGAGAATCGGATGAGGGCAGCCGCATGTATATTTTACAACGCAACTGAGTGGCTCATGAGATGCATCCCATCACTGTGTTTCCCTCTTATCCGAAGTAAAAAAAAAACAACTGTCACTTGTATAAACTGTGCACACGATACGCCAAGGTGAAAAACAATATCAGAACCTGCAGCGAAAAGAATTCAAATTACCGGAGAGTTTCAATGGCATGGCACCCGAAGCAGAACTACAAAGTTCCCAGGGGAGGAAGAGGGGTAGGGGTTAGTCCCGAGATTTCAAGATTTTTAAATAGGGCCCTTCAAATTTTCAAATAAAACCTTCAATGTACTTTCCGTGGTAAATATCAATGACATACCAACTTGTTTGGCTCTCAAGTGTGAGGGAAGGGGGGATAATCACCTTCATCATCCTAACTAGGATCCACCACCGACTGGACACTGTAAACATTAAATGGCCGTCAATTCTTCGCACTGCTAACACTAAACCAGCAATTCAGTTCGGCACACTGAACTCAAATGCAATTTAAAATTCTCTAAAGGTATTAAATTCGTTTAGGCCTTGTGCAGCGGCCACAATACGGCTACACTTACACAAGCCGCAGGGTCTACATATGGTGCTGACGTTTGTCTTCTTTTTTTCACACTGATGTGCTTACTCACTTCCTCATGTTTAATCAATTACCTTTTCTGACCATTGAATCTTAGGAACACAGCTAAAACATCTCTGGGATAATGCTAGTGAATTATTAGTTCTGATCTTAGGATTTTGGGAATAGCTATTGAGTTCAGGTTATTTTGCCACGCTATTACAATGGCAGGTGAGGCTCCCATGTTTTTGAAGTCCTCCAGAACTGTGACGTTTTTAAGGCCACATCTCATGTAAGTGGCCAGGCTGTGCTTTCCGTCATTTATAAAAGTGATGAGATCGTGGCCAAGGATTTTGTATCTCGCGGCTTTCTTGTCTTCCATGCTGGGTCGCTTGCAGGACCACTACATCAATTTTATTGTCCTTGAGGATCCTTGAACAGTGGACACGCTTTGTGCGTGACAAGCCTTCGGCACAGAGTTGTTAACCACGCAGCTTCCACCCTACTTGTTGTTGGCATCCCTTATAAGGGTAATTGAAATTATGATTGTACCGGGAAATCAACAAGTCGACGTCCAGTTGTCTTTCGATATCCGTTAATGCCAATGACTAGCCCAAGCACGAATACGTAATGCGCAGCATGGGCACCACCTAAAGGTTGCTGTTTAGAAGCCTCCAAACACCGAGAGCTCAAAACCGTGCACTGCCAATATTTCCCCACGCAACCGTCTACGTTCGCAACCTCAGCAGCCACCGCACAGGCTCGGGATGCGCCAAAACAACACAGCCGGTGCGCAGTTCACTGACTGGGCCTCACTTGAAGAAGTCAATCGGTTATTTGACCCCAAGGAGCCGAGCACATTCCATTCCGTGAGGTCGAAAAATATGTTTTCTCTCATGACAGCAAGTGAATGCCTTTGTCTGCATCACATGCTGTCCTGCAGTACTTCTTCCACAGCTAACACTGTCCCATCATTCTGCAAATTGGTCTCAAGGTTTCACTTATCGACTCAATGCCGAAGCGGCTCTGGAACTTCCGGAAAGCGAACTGGGTTCACATACACTGCAGAAGTTGAGGATCACATGCAGCACATCGAACAACAGAAAACGTTTAACTCTTTGCCCACACCTTCGTCATGTCTGCCATAAAATAAATATCCTACATGGCTATTACAAGGCCTACACTGTTTACTGGGAGAGAGAAATGAAAAAAAAACTCCTAATGAAGTCCAGCAGAGTGGTGACCTAGAGACAGCAACAGCACGAATAGAGTCACTGACCGCGAATACCGCATCCACCTAAGTGGTCATATAAGCAGAACAAGGACCCTCAACGATGGCCTGCTACAAGGTTCTGACAGACACAACACGGTTTCCAGGAAGATCATATACGCCGACGACATTGCCCTCCTAGTTCAAAGCACGAGTCTCACCACGATCGTGCTATCCTCACCACTGACCTCAAGGCAATGAGAACATTTATATTTCCCACTGGAAACTGCATACCAACTCCTCTAAAACAAGTGGCAGCCTTCCACCTCAACAAGAAGATCACCAAAGAGCCACTCAATGTCACCTTATGTTGTCAACAGGAAAAAAAAAATAAGTCCAACCTGAAATATCTTGGCCTAACCTGAACACAGGTAAAAGGAATGCAAAAAGGTCACAAAGCCTGGATCAACCTAAAATGAAAATTCGCAGGGACAGCATGGGGAGCCAATGGCAGCATGCTCCATACAGGAGCAAGAGCCAAATTCTGCGTTCAGTCTGATCTGCCAGCGCCCACACCGAGGCTCCAGAAATGCATCTCAACATCACGATGTGCATCATAACTAGGTGACTTAAAATCAACTCTGGTTGACTGGCTGTCAATTTTCTCTCACATACTTCCTTCCAAATTTCCAAGAGAGATGCACAAATGTCTTGTGTCTACAAAAGGACATAAAGGATTTCTCAAAGTCTTGATTAAAGTGTGGCTACCTTCTTTGAGGTCGGGCACACGCTCTAAAAGTTCCCTCAATCAATCCTGAGGCTCAGCGGAGAGCAACCAGGGACAATGCAATGTCCCAAACGAGCGCTTAATCGCCGACCCCACAAAAGAACCTCCCGGTTTCAGCTTGCTTCGCAAGCAGAAGAATGTGTGCTGAACCGCATCAGAACATCGGATGGAAAACGTGGCTCTCTCCTGCTACACTGATGAAAAATTAAGAATAGCCCGCTGTGCGAATGCAGTCAACCAATCTCACACAAAGGACCACAAAGTACAGCGGTGCCCACTTTAGCAGAATATTATATCGTCCCCAGGTTACTCCTGAGGCCGTCCACTGGCCGTCCAACCTCGACGACCATGTAAAAACATTGCTGATCAACCCCTCGTCATGCAAAAGAAAAAGATGATTATTAAGTGTTTCATAAAATACGACTTCTGTAGAAGTGTACATTTTCACTTCGACAAACATACAGTTTTTATTACACGCAATTACGTAAGTGAATGTTCTTCTCCAACAAATGTGATGGGATAAAGCGAACATCTCTAGAAAACTAGAAATCTGATATATTATTTATTTACCAGTTTATGCAACACAGGCTCAACTTACAGAGCTGTCCAGTGTAGAATTGAACAACTTAAATGTCAAGGATGCAAACGAGCG